AGCGATACCAATTAAGAAGAAAACTTTTTCATTCCCGATCCTCCGCTGTTGATGACAGTGCAGATCGTCTCAAGAAGATTTCTTGATGCGAAATACGAACAAGCTGACTTAAGGCAGGTTTGCCAAAGTCAAGATCAGTTAAACACGGAAGAGAAGGAAACAGCTTCATTCCTTACTGACGAAGTATCTCTGACCTATTCGATGGTAACTTTGGAAAGTGGCAGATGGACGACTACGAAGTAGAACTTCTCCCTGATGCTAAACCCATCAGCAGGGCTTACCTATTCCACGGGTCCATACCAACACTCTTAAGATGGAGGTTGAACGTCTCTGCGAAGCAGGAGTACTCAAAAGAAGTAAACCGTTCCGAGTGGCGCACCAACTTTCATCATTCCAAGAAAGACGGATCTGTACGATTCATCTCTGATTTCGGGAACTGAACAAAAGGATTAAGCGGAGCCTTATCCTATCCAAAAATACAGGACATGCTCTTGAATCTAGACGATTCAAGTACGCTACTAGTCTAGACCTGAACATGGGATACTATCACATCGAGCTGTCACCTCACTCGAAGCAACTCTGTACCATCGTACTCCCGTGGGGAAAGTACGAGTACCAGAGGTTGCCAATGGGCCTATGTAATAGTCCCGACATCTTCCAAGAGAAGATGGGAACACTAATGCACGACCTAGAATACGTCCGTGCATACATTGATGATCTACTCATCCTAACTAACGGCGATTAGCAGATCACGTTGAAAAGTTGGATGAAGTTCTCCGAAGGCTTCGAGAAGCCGGACTCAAGATCAATGCTACCAAGTCCTTCTTCGCAAGAGGAGAACTTGAGTACCTAGGTTACTGATTACTCGAGAAGGATCCAACCTATAACCAAGAAAATAGACGCGATCAAGAATATCGCTCCTCCTACCAACAGGAAGGAACTCCGTAGATCATTGGACTAGTGAACTACTATCGAACATGTGGGTTAGACGATCACATGTACTGGCCCCACTCGCTCGTTGACTTCCAAAACAAGAAGTGGAAATGGGAAGCCACACGACAAGGCCTTTAGCCAGATGAAGAAGATCATCAGCAAAGAAACCTTGCTCGCCTACCCTGACTTCAACGATACATTCGTTATCCACACGGATGCGAGTGATACTCAACTAGGTGCGGTAATTTCCCAGAAGGGAAAACCATCGCGTTCTACAGCAGGAAACTCAACCCTGCTCAGACACGTTACACAGTTACCGAGAAGGAACTTCTCAGTATCGTAGAAACTCTGAAAGAGTTCCGAACATTCTTCTAGGACAGAAGATTGTTTACATACGGACCACAAGATCTTACATGCAAGAACTTCAATACCGATCGCGTAATGCGATGGCGCCTTATTCTGGAAGAATACGGCCCTGAACTACGGTACATCAAGGGCGAACAGACAATCGTCGCTGATGCGTTGTCGAGACTTAACATCTCCAACAACGACGGTTCTTCAGAACAGATGGACCGCAGCGAGATCGCTGAACTCATGGCTGCAGACGAAGAGGACTTCCTAGCGAGTTCCTCTCTCGTTCCCCGAATGAACATCGTCAGAAAGACGACAACGATATCAAGAAGCTCCTCAGGACAAGCCAAACGACTACAAGAAGCAATCTTTCCCCAGAGGGGATAAGTCCTACGACTTAGTAGTTAAGGACGAGAAAATCGTCGTACCTAAAACTATGCAGAAGAAGCTAGTTGAATGGTACCATGGTGTGCTAATGCATCCTGGCGAGACTCGCACGAACTAACCATCAGCCAACACTACACCTGGAAAGGGCTGCGCAGGACTGTGCAGGCCGTATGTCAGCGTTGCCAAAGCTGTCAGATGAACAAACCCAAGACGCGTAAGCTGGGATTGATGCCTCCAAAGACTTGCGAGGAGATCCCTTGGAAAGACTATGTATTGACCTGATAGGCCCTTACAACGTCGGGGATCCCAAGAAAAGAACTCCTGCACACTTCATTGCTTGACAATGATTGATCCCGTAACCGGATGGTTCGAGATTGCAGAGATCTGCTCCAAGGCAGCAGACGAAGTAGCCATCGTCCTAGAACAAACGTGGCTTACCCGGTATCCGTGGCCTGCTGAGGTTATCATGGATAGAGGACGCGAGTTCCGCGCAGAGGTCGAAAAGACACTCCGGGATGAATATGGACTTCGTCGCAAGTTCATCACCACGCGTAACCCTCAAGCCAACTCTATGTCGAGCGTGCTCATCAAACATACGCAACTTGATCGCTGTTCAAAACATCAAGTGCCAAGACGACCTCGTGAATGGATCCTGGGATGGAGTCCTCACGGCGGTTCGCTTTGCAATGAATGCCACGATTCATACCACCTTGCGTGCAACGCCCGCACAGCTCGTGTTCAATCGTGACGCGATTCACAACGTCCGGTTCGAAGCCAACTGGAAGTACATTAAGGAACGTCGCCAACGACTAATCCAACAAAACAACGATAGGGAAACGCAACGCGTGTCCCTCATCAATACAATGTCAACGATACTGTGATGATTCAACAGTATCAGCACCGCAAGTACGGTCAGCCAAAGTACAAAGGTCCTTACACTATAGACCGAGTCAATGACAATGGCACTGTACGGCTCAACATGCTACCGCCAACGGCGGCACAGTCTACCAGACTTGGAACATAAGGTATATACACCCATACAAGGCCTGATCCCTTGTAGGATTGCCATCGTGCGACGCACTGTCTACATCCAAATCTCATGAGAGTGCCCCGCACTTTAAATCATATGTTCTCCTTGTCCGACTGCTGTCGCGCCTTCTGTGACCTTGTCAGGGGGCGAATGCAATACACGGCTCTTAGCCTTATTCGCGACTCGATCCAGATAGGGTTGAGTTCGACTCATGACTGGTCTCTCGTGAATAGTCTTCGAGACAGGGTTCTCATGACCCGCTAGTCATACTGGTTGATGATGAAACATCGCTCTAGATATTTAGCCAGTGGAGTACTTCCACGCTACTAGATCCAGCTAGACGAACCTTCCACGCGTTCCGTTTTAGGATCGTGGAGAGACGTAGGATTACTACCACAACCTACTCTATCACACTTTATAGTCTCCCGCGGGAAGCCAGATCTACGATCCTTTGATGATGATCTCTCTCGTTGATTAGTTTTCATAGCTTTCTAATCCTCTCATAACTTTCATTCTCTCAAACTCAAAAACACTCGAAAGATCTTTACACTAGCTTTTAGCGTAGTGCACTCAAACTTCGTGAGCCGCTTCTCGCTCACTTTTTTACCGAATTTCACCACTTCCCGCTCCAAAATTCGGTCGCAACCAACAACGCCTACACACCGTTACCGTTTCCGACACCCACCCTCATGCCGCTATCGCAACATTCCCGCCCATTACCACCGATGGCGGACCAAGGGCGGTGGTGGAGGCCGCTAGACCTCAAAGAGAGTGGTGGCACCCAAAGTAAAGCACTTTGATCACCAACCACACTAGCACCTCCAGCAAGCCATGAAGCAGCAAAGGACTAGACTAGCAGCCGCTTCGCTCCAGTCTTTATTTATTTATTTATTTATTTGTAGACTAGGTCTGATGGTCTGATACCGGTAGCTGTATGGTACCTGGTACTCAGTTCCAGGTGCTAGTAGTACTGCGGTACTGCTAATTGCTAAAACTAGTGCGGACACAGACATTCAGACATTCCCACGTTGCGTCTGGCTTTTTGCTTGACGCCAGCTTGCTTCCGTTATGGCTCTGATGAGAAAATATACTTATACCTCATCTATAAGCTACCTATTTTGGGACATCATAGATTTGGCAGTTCGAACAGACTAATTGAATCATTATTAGACCACACTCTGCCGCAACAGCAAGTTTTTAGAGCCCCCACTAGCTAGCCCACCGTACCGGTATGGCTATCCTGATGGCTTTACTTTGCCGCAGGATACAAATGAGTGTTCCAGGAATATCTTATAAATTTGATTGAATCGAATCATTCGATTCCTAACTTGTCTGGGTTCACACTCATATGGTATTGGCTGTCACTATAGCTTTGCCTAATTGCTTGCCCCTCTGGTGTACCGGTACCTGGTACAAAGTTCTGGTGTGGTTGACCACTCTGGTCGTAGAGAGATATCCCTGCTGGAGGCAGATATGCATTTGATGCCACTAATAAACCTATTCACGCTCACTACATGTACTCATCAGGGATGTTACTCTTGTGATAATCTAGCTGACTAACTACCTGGTACCGGTACCTGTATGTGTCAGGAGTATCTTACATACTAGCTAGTCTAGTACTGTACCAGCAGCTCCAATCTGAGTATGGCAACCATAAGAAATGGAACTTCCGAAAGAGCCATGTACATGTACTCGAGTATATATCTTATATCTTATTACTGGGGATGGATGTACCAAGGTGCCAGTTTGATGTGGATCTCTGTCGATGCAGATGGACCTTTAGAAAGTTCTTTCTGCCAACTTACTTGCTCCTCAATTGTTCAAGGAACTTTCACTGCCAGGATTTAAGCAATTCGGAAGGGAATGATGATGGTTCAAATTGTTAGTGACGTTTCTGTTAAAAGCACATCGACTTGTTGAAGTGACATTACTTAAAGGAGGCATCTGTCTTTCAGAAAAGGCTAATCGTATGATAAGTATGCAGTGCTTCTAAGGTGTTCTTTGTGGGACTGTAAAGACTGCTCAATTTGACCGTTTCGTACTCGAGCAAATTGTTGTTGCGCCTCTTCCAAGTCCGAGGAAGTTGCAAGGCTCTTTGCCCTTTGTGCTGGTAGCTGTGCTGTGGGGAACGAACAGGAGCATCCTTGAAGCGGTTTGGATTGGCTTCGGCTGTCGACAGCAATACAACAACAGCAGCAACAGGCAGAGCATCCATAGTGTCCATCTCTGTCTTCGTCTAGCCAGATATATACTACAGTGTAGTAGCTGCATTCCTACAATACATATATCAATGTCGACCATGGCCGTCCTCTCTGGATTGACGCTTTCCCGTCGACTTGCCGTCTTTAGCGTGGTTGCCTTGCTGCTGCATAGTAGTCCCGCTACTCTCACTTCTACTATGAGTAGCAGTAGCAGTAGTAGTAGTAGTACCATGGTGGCAGCACAAGCGACAGCCAATGATGAGGACGAGAATTGGACGATCTATCAGACAGAGCAAGATCAGGCAGCCAATGGCGATGGCAGTCCAATACTACAGCCAGCAGTAGAAGAACAGGTAGCATCCACTGCCAATGACACTTGCCCGCCGTGTCCCGCCTGTACCGCGAGTACGAGCAGTACGAGCAGCCAGTACGAGGTCGGGGAAAATCCCCCCTCACAGCGAGAGCCGCTCACCATGCAGATTCTCGTAGTCGACAGTCCGGGCATCATCACTATGGGTAAGTCAGTGTTGTTTCATCTGCATGTCTAGCTAGCTATTGGCTGGCTGTGAGGCTCAGCTAGCTAGGCTCAGCCAGGTACAATGCATGCTGCATGGAACTGGCTTGACCTCCTGAGCTGAGCTGAGCTGATCATACGTTGTTTGACCTGACCTGAGCTAACCTCAGTTGACCTGATCTTACCGTACGTTTTTTCACCTAATCTCACCTCCAACCCTCCTCTTTTTGCTCTGATTACATGCATGATTGCAATAGTCAAATGGAACGCTGATGATTATTTCAAGTTCACGGATGGACGCGTCAAGATTGAGATCAAACTGGCTCCCACCATGCCAGAGCTCTTTGCGGAGATTGAAAACGATGCAAGGGCGGGAGGAGGGCTCTACGATGCATACTACACCAATCCCGTCGTGCTTGGAACCGCCGCCATGTTGAATGGATTCCTTGATTTGACACCCTTTGTCAAGAGCTCACCCTATGCCGATTGGATAGATGTGCTGCCCGCATTGAGAAAATACGTCATGAGCTTTGAAGACAAGATTTACATTATTCTGTTGGATGGAGACACACATTCCATGTTTTACAGAAAGGACGTATTGGAACATTATGGATTGAAAGTACCACGCACATGGAACGAATACAATGAAGTTGCAAAGGCAATTCATGGAAAGGTTTTCAATGGAGTCGAACTTTCGGGATCTTGTGTCTCCAGAATTCAAGGAGATCATGCCATGTACTGGTACGTCACGTCAAGGAACGGAAAGGTCCTTTCAAGCACTTGAATTATTGTCAAACCAATGCACCATATATTTTGCTCACCTGCTTGTTTGCTCTTCTTGACATCCAACATACATTTACAGGTACCATCTTGTCCTGTCCACAATCACGCAAACACAAGGAACACACCAAGGATCTCTATTTGATTCGAAAGACATGACACCGCTCACAGGAGAAGCACTCGCAGAAATGCTGCGGATACACGAGGAACAAGCCAAGTATGGGACACCCGACGAATATACAGATATCATCAACCACGTTCAAAATGGGCACATGAATGACGGAACCTGCGCCATGACCTTCATGTGGGGAGATTTATTCAGACGATCCAATGCTCAGGGCAGCATTCTTCACGACAAACTGGGAATTGCTCCAACTCCTGGATCCGAGTTTGTACTCGATAGAAGCACGGGACAATTGGTACGATGCACCAGAGAACTTTGTCCCTACGCCAAATACTATGACGATCTCGGCTTTGTCAATGTGGCTCCCTACGCGGCCAATGGTGGATGGGGAGCTGCCGTCTCGGCCAATACAGATCCGGAAAAACAAAAAGCCTTGGCGGAGTTCTTCCTCTGGGCATCCAGCAGAGAACAAGCAGAGCAATATGTCATCCCAAATGCAACACTCCCGTGGGACATGATCAACGGACAAGATCCATGGCGCAAGAGCCAACTGGACGTGGATAAGTGGGTTTTGCGAGGATTCCAAAGAGAAGTCTCAAAACAGTACGTTGAATCCATCGTAAGTAACCTGATATCGAAGAACGTCGTGGTTGAAGCTAGGTTTCCCAAGGCTGGGGAAATCATGAGTGTGCTAGACAAGGAAGTTAACGAGTACCTTGTAGCGGCACATGAAGGTCTCATTGCGGAACAAGACAAGCAAACGGACAGACTAAAGACGGCTCAGATTATAACGGATCAATGGAATCAAATCATCAAGAAATACAATGCCAGGGGTGACACTGTGACACCCATCTTGGAAATATATCAAAGGCTGAGAGGTGTATACGTCCCCAACGAAGAAAAGAACCTCTTGACTAGAATCCGACCTGTTGGGTTGACTCTCATGGCAATCATCATGGTTTCTTCGATGGCCGCGGCTGCTTGGGTCTACGTGAAGAGATCAGCCACCGTAGTCAGGGCTTCACAGCCGCCATTTTTATGGCTCATTTGTTTGGGAACCATGGTCTTGGGTTCCAGTATTCTCGCCATGAGCGTTGACGATGGAATGGCAAGTCAAGAGGGATGCAGCGCCGCTTGTATGATCGTTCCATGGCTTGTTGCCATTGGATTCTCAATCACCTTCGCAGCACTGGCAGCAAAGATTATGAGACTCAAAAGGCTAATGACGAGCGCATCGAGATTCCAAAGGATTCAAGTCAAGGTATGTGGTTTTTGTGGTTGTGGTTGTAGTAGTGAGGACGGTGCCTGACATATTGATTCTCGTGGCTGTACCATGGATTGTAGGTTCAAGACGTCCTGTTACCATTCTGTCTAATTCTGTTGTCAAACGTGGCGTTTCTGCTGACTTGGACTCTGGCGGATCCTTTGTACTGGGAACGTGTCTACACTGGCCGAACGGAAACTGGAGAACTGGAGTCCTATGGAAGCTGCATCTATGCTGGCAGGGTGTCTCAGGTCATGCTCGGTTTCATCGCTGGGCTCAATATGGCAGCTCTCCTTTATGCCAACGTATTGGCTTATCAAACCAGGGAGCTGACGGTGGCGTTCAATGAGAGCAAGTTCGTGGCCCTTGCCATGGCTTCCATCCTTCAGGCCGTGCTTATTGGCACTCCCCTCCTCTTTTTGGCCAACTCCAATCCCACCGCCAGATATGTTGTGCGGTCGGTCCTGATTTTTGTGGTTTGCATGTCAGTCTTAGTTTTCGTCTTTGTTCCAAAGGTGTTGAACCAGAATGACAGGATCACGGCGGTCAGGGTAAGCAGCGTTGGGGGGCGCCGTGGAAGTATCAGTGGACTGTCGAGCGGCTTTAATAAGAATTCGGACTTTAGCAACGGGGTCAGATCAGGTGAGATGAGCCTTCGCTCGGCTGACATCCGCGGTTCGGACTTGACAAAGATAACTTCGCCCACTGTGGAGAGCATCCGTCAGGCTGTCTTGGAAGCCGCAACGCAAGCCCAATCGCCACCAGTGAGAACAGACGAAGCTTCTGATTTTCCAGGTTCAGGGATTGATGACGACGTACCGGTAAATTTGATCATGAATGATGAAACCGGGTATTCCGAACAGCTGGATGGAACTGCGCACTCTACGAAGCTTTTCTAGGTTACTAGATCAAGAGATGTTCGGGTGAAAGCATCATGCAGGTGATGGTCATCTGTGTGACCATGCAGTTGAGGCCAATTCGTTGCGCAGAGGGCCGCGAAACGAGTTCAGACTCTTGGCAGCCAGGTAGCTAGAGAGCCCTGAAACGCTGTTTCTGCTTGTCAAAGCGGGCACTGCTGCTGCTGTTGAAGCAAAGGTCCCCCTTTTTAAAGGGGCTCGTGCGTGGGATTAAGTGCGGCCAAGTCATGGACGGTGCTTCAAACCGAAACCATAGACTACCGGTACTGTACCTAGGTACCGTGCCAGTACAATCTCTAGCTATTACATAATTTGCCACAGCCTAGTGAATGACTAATTTAAAAAAGTATGTAGTGTTACATAGCTCATGCCGCTCGAACGGCGACACAGGGATGTGCAGATCTAGCTTCGTTAACAGGAAACTTGGATGTTCGTCTTCGACTGGACTTGGACATGGATTTGCTCTTGCTTTTGCTACGGCGGCGTCGACTGCCCGATTCACCAGAAGTATCACCCAATGGATCGTCGGAGCACTCGACAGAAGACCGACTCTTGCCGGAGGAAGTGGTTCCAGCAGAGGTGTCTTTGAGAGCCGTTCGAGTGTTTCGTCGAGCAGACTTCTTCTCAGTGGGACGCTCGTCCCGTGGCTGTCGCTTACTCGAAGTGGCGGGATGCTCATCCTTTGGTTGTCGCTTCAAGTTCGCGGGATGCTCGTCTCGTGGCTGTCGCTTGATGTTGGAGGGATGCTCGTCGCGAGGCTTGCTTCGACTGGATGGTTCCTCACGTGGTTTGCGCCTCGACGATGACTTGCTATCCTTGCTGTCCGTCTTTCGCGCGGACTTGCGTTTGGAAGGAGGTTTATTGGAAGCGTCAGTCAGGTTGCCTTTGGAAGATGATCTCGAAGGAGCCTTGTTACCGGAACCATCCGACAACAGATTTCCCTTGGAAGATTTTTTGGAAATGGGCTTGTTAGACGCATCCGTCAAGAGATGGCGTTTGGAAGATGCCTTTGAGGTACTGATAGTCTTGCTGGATGCGTCGGAGAGGAGGTTGCGCTTGGAGGATGATTTGGAGCTGGTCTTTCCTGATGCATCTGTCGCTAGATTTCGCTTGGAAGAACGTCTCTTGGTTCGTTTGCTGCTATCTCTCTTGGTAGCTGTGGGTGTCTCGGCAGGCTCTGCGACTTTGACTGGTGTTGACGCGGAAGCCAAACCGTGGGCAAGGCTGCCACGACGACAGGACGAGGACGTGGAATGTTGAGATTGCCCAGAGCAATCCATCAAGAGCGCCGCTGCCGCTTCTCGCGCCCGATGCGATGACACAGACGAATCAAGCATGACATAGGCTGCTTCCCGAGCCTTGTGTGACGGCAAGGGTTCATTTGACGACACGGACGAGTAGGAAGAACGAGTGGATGCGGTTCCCTGAGAATTCGCAGACTTGGATTCCATGTCCACCAACGGAGGCAATTCGTCCTCTTTGACGCGCGGTCGAGCTCTTTGTTTTCGAGATTGTCTCCGTGGCTGTACCGGTTCTTCTTCTTGATCTTGTTTGATTTCCGGTGCCAAGGATGGAATAAGAGTGTTATTGTCGTCGTCGTCATGGTGACCATCCTCCTCGCTTTCGTCCCGGAACGAAAAATCATCGGAATCTCCCAGCATGTGTCGAACGGACTTGGACAAGGTTCCCTTGGTAGATGATTTGACGATGCCGAACCCATTGGTATCAATGGAAACAAGATCGGCCGTCGTTGTCAGGTCACCGATGGACTTGTTCAACACCAAGCTCAACGATTTTTCGGAAGCACGATGCTCAGCAGAAGGCTGACTGCCAGTAATAATATCGATATCGGCGACGGACTCATCAAACCGATCGGATGCAAATTCGAGTTCATCATCATCGTCATCATCATTATCCGTGTCTGTTTTGCTGGAGTGGTTGGACGCAGCTCGTCGTTGTGGTTTCGTTTTGCTGGATTGACTCCCCTTGTTGATACTGCCATGACCACTCTTACTGCCATGCTCACTTTCACTGTCATCATCATTTCCCTTGAAGGATGGAATGGGCGATAGGAACAAAGTGGACGCTCGTTGCTTTGGTTTGTTGGTAACGACGGGCGATTGGAATAGATCCGGGGCGGACGAGAGGGTATCGTCAATGGTGTTTATGGTGTTTTGGTTGTGGGGACTGGGTGGTGCATCCTCGTCTCTGACGGCAGGGTTTCGACTGGACTTGCCGTGGTAGAGTGCATCGTTGGTATCAACCGAGCTGCAATCTGAAATGACCGGGAACAAGTCTTGATCTGGTGAAAAGTGTACAAGAGAAGCATTGAGGGTCCTGCTGCTGCTGTTATGGTGGATGTGACTGCTGCTAATTGGTTTTGGTTTGGTGAGTATATTTTGCGTGACGGTTGTTGTTGCTGTTGTTGATGATGTGAGTTTTTCACTGTGTGAACTGAGCATGAGTCCACTGCTGTTGTTGCTTCCCGAGAGACTGCTGTTGTGACTGCAACTGAAACCACTGGATTCACTTTGATGCAGATACACGTGTGCCGCTTCTCTACTTTTGACAATGGAATGATCCTTGTGATCCTTGGAGGGAGGACTGGATGGAGGTGTGAGAGAGGATCGCTGTAGCTCTCGATGTGCGGATCGACTGAGTTCTTCCTTGCTATTGTTCTTTTTGTTGGCTGCAGCTGCAGAAGCCCTTCGTCCTGCAAGTCCATGATGACTAATTTTGAGATCATCAATGAGTTTTCGTTGTGATCGTTGTCGTTGCATTTGTCGATGTGAGCTTTTGGTACTGATAAGAAGACTGGATCGATTGTTGGACGATGTAGAAGCGGTTTTAGCGGGTGTGGATGGTATGAGATCTTCAATTTGCAGAGATGCTTCCGTGACGAGTGTTCGTTGCGACTTCATCAGGTGTGACGATTGTTGTTGGAGACTGTGTCTTCCCACAATGGCTTCTAGAGCCGATTCATTGGACGTTTCACTAGCATTTGAGTTTCGTTTCTTAGCCATTTCTCTGTGTGCGGATCGACTGAGTTGTTGCTTTTGTTTCAGTTTCTGTTGTTGTTGCTGCTGCTGCTGCTGTGTATCTTCGGGGGTGGTAGTTCGTTGCAGACATCTCATGGGAGATGTTCTACTTGTACTTGCACTAGTGCTGACATTGCTGGTGGTATGATTGGACGTTCGTCTGAGACTCATGTTCATGCTCTTGCTCATACTGCGCCTACTGCTGTTGATGTTGCTGACTGAGGATGTTGTTTCAAGGTCCCGTTTGGAAAGGGACAGTGACCTCATGGAAGCACTCATAGATCGTGGTTCGTTTTTTGGAAAGGAGCGTCCTTTGGAGTCTCTTCTACTAGTATTCAGCAGTGCGACAGTGTTACTAGTACTTGTAGCAGATCCTCTGAGCCTGTCTCTACTTGCACTTCGATCCTTGATTCGTTGCGTGGCAGTTCTGGCGCCTCGATTGGTACTGTTTCCAATACTTCCACGGCGTGGAGTGGAGTTCGTGGAAGTGGGCGTGGAGCTTTGAGTCACAGTTGGAGATGCATTGGTGTTGGTGTTGGCAAATAGGTCCTCGACTTCCACGTCACTTCCGTCGGTAAAGGGTGTCGTATCGATGCATATAGGCGTGGGAGTGACTTCTGTAGTAAACATCTGTCGTTCCTTACTAGAGCTTCGACTGCGTATTCGAACTCCTGGTTCACTTTCACTCATTCCATTATTACTTGTAGTAGTAGCATTGCTGAGCCTCCGACTTCGAGGTCGTCGTGCTGCGGTAGAGTTAGGGTTTGGGTTATTAATGGCGGGACTGACCTTGCCTTCAAGAATGTCGGTGACAGAGGAGGCAAAGCTGACGGATCGATGGAACTGATTAATATTGTGATTGTGATCGGCTGTCTTGTTGTGGTTGCGTCTACTACTAGTACCACTAGCACTAGTACCTACTATACTGGTACTAGTAGTGCTAGTGGAGAGCCTCTTGTGCTGCTTCACCTTATGCTTGTGCTTGTCCAAGTGAGTCATGCTTGCATTAAGCGAGGCTTGCGACTGTTGGATCTGTTGTTGGTGTCTCGCGCGTCGACCTATTCGACTACTAGTAGTAACGCTAGTAACGCTAGTACGAGCGCCATGGACGTCCAGTTCCTCTTTGGGATTTGAACGGCGTCGTCTCGTAGATCTTGTACCAACACCAACGTTGGACACCACCAAGGTACTCCCGCTGTCTTCTCCTCCGGCCATCATCATCACTGCTGTCATTGTTACCAGTACTACACACGCTGACAGTCAGCTACCGTAGCTAGAGTACAGTACAAGAGAGACAGACAAGAGCCTTCTTCTGTTTGTTTGTTGGAGTTTGTTTTGTTGGTGTTGGCGCTCTTCTCTATTGTTGTTTCTACCGCGATACAAGGATACATACAAGAAAAGAGAGCACAAACCACACACTCAATGTATTTACATTGCCGCGACCACGAATACCACAGTGTTACTTGTACTAAACTTGCTACGTTGATCTTGTTGACACTTACTTCAAGAATTAAAGACACTATTGTTCCTTGTGACTATTTGGGAACTTGGGACTTCTTTTTGAAAGACACTTGTAGTCATCCAGGATTAGCTTTGCTAAGTCCAGCACTTCACCAATGCCAATCAAAGAGTCTTTAGCAGATAAAGTCCAGGATTCTAACTTGAAGAGACCTCATTCTAAATCCGTTCTACTGTTGGCAATAACTTGGGCTGCCTGGTGGTAACGGCAATGCACCAGCGAAGTGTACACACAATAGTATAGTACTTCTTACTAAAGAATCTTTTACTCGAGTACAATACTTCACAAAGCAGAAACTGCTTTGAAAACTCTTAACTTTCATTAAAGCGACGACAAAACAAGGCTTAGAGGTATCCTCACCACTGGTATTAAAGACAGAGATCTTGGAGTACGCACATAGCCAATCTACAGATGGTAAAACCCCTCACTTTTTTGTCTAGCTAGGTCCAGGATTTTGACAGTGTGGCTGGAGTCTATCTTACTACACGGCGCTTTTAGCTACTAGTAGTCACGGTGTCGCCCCTGGCATTGTATTGCTTGATAATTTGATTTGATTCCATTGATCCGTTATAATCTGAGACGTCTTTAGTCTGTCCGTTTGCTTGTCTTGTTCCGCAATGAGACCTTCATGTGCCGCTACAAGGTACTCATTAACTTCCTTGTCTAGCACACTCATGATTTCCCCAGCCTTGGGAAACCTAGCTTCAACCACGACATTCTTCGATATTAAGTTGCTCACTATGGATTCAATGTATTGTTTTGAGACTTCTCTTTGGAATCCTCGCAAAACCCACTTATCCACGTCCAGTTGGCTCTTGCGCCATGGATCTTGTCCGTTGATCATGTCCCACGGGAGTGTTGCATTTGGGATGACGTATTGCTCTGCTTGTTCTCTGCTGGATGCCCAAACTAAACAATAAACAACTTCTTCAGAGGAAACTTGGGACAAGCTTCTGCTTGGCTATGTTGAATGATGTTATTGATGGGTGTGCCCATGAGAGCACTGGCTTCGTTGTACCTAATAACGAACTAGACCCGTATCTCCATTGCCCTTGTGACAGCTACCCATTTATGTCTCCGTGGATCCCGCAAAGCCAAACCCTTTGCCCCCTGTAATGGTCCTCCATTTCTTGCCCCTGATCCCACAGAACCTAGTCCTGAATTTCGACTGTTCTTTGCTTACGCCTGGCCCCGGCTGGCTTCCGTAGCTAATTTCCGTACTCTAAAACCCCCGTTAACTAAGGTTCTGGTTCAGGTACCGTACTGGCGACTGTCACTCCGGTCGTCGAGCCTTCAGTCAGGCTCAATTGGTCTCCGAGTTGGCTCTTTCTCTAGCTAGTTCGGGCCCTAGCCAGTCGGTTCGATACTGTACTATACTTGATACTACTCGATACACTACTTCTTTGCATGACACTATTGTACATGAACGATACGCGGGGTGCCTGTACTTGGCGACGACGTACCGGAAGGACCGTGGCTGCGACGATGAGGATGCTGCGTCGGATCGTTGTGATATTGTGAGGAGTCCATCGTCATCGGATGCTTACCGTTCCTGACCCCCCTTCGTTTGCTGCCTTGTGGTTGGTGCTGTTGCTGTTGCTGTAGCTGTTGCGTTTCGGTACGGTTGTGCCTGGCGACAGAGCCATGATCTCGGACTAGAGTGGATGTTGCACTTCGCTTGCTATCATCATTCATGTTGTGGTGGTGGATGTTGTTGTCCTTTGCCTTTGGATCAGGATTCTGCGGTCGCGAGGGTGGCAAATCATGGTTGCCGGTACGGCGATGGTGGTGCAGATGTCGCTTGGTCAAGATTTCCACAGCATTGTCGGTCTTCGAGCCGTGGGAGGACGGAATGAGAGACAGCTTTTCGTTCAAGGCATTGTCGTCCGACCCATCCACCAAAAACATTTCCATGAGGCTAGGGTTGTTTCGAATCTTGTCAGCAATAGCCTTGTTGATGGAAGGCGCTCTTTCCAGTGCAGCTGCAATCTTGGTAGGATCAACTCCATTCTTGTGGAGTGGTGTCTCTTTTGGCTTGCTGATGTCTTGTCGTTGGTCTTTCTTGCTGGTGTTGTCTTCGCCCAACAAAGCTAAGATCAACGTGCTGCTTCCGGCAGCCTGAGCCTTCCTATTGCTTGTCTGCAATGGACTCGGCGATCGAGACCTTGACTCTTCCGCGAAGGAGGGACTGGGGGATCGATGTGGAGATGACTCGTCCTGGTTTCGTTTGCTGCGTCCCAAGCCTGCTGCTATTCGATGTCTTCCGCGGCTGTGCGGGGTCTTGTGGCCTGCTGCTGCCCTCGCGATGATTTTACTGCGAGCTTTTGGACTTGGACTGGGAGATGGTGATCCGGATTTATTGGATCTATTGGTGGTCTTCTCTTTGGTGGATGGGCTTTTGGAACGAGAGGGAGAAGGGGAATGCTCCTTAATAGCGTTTCTCTTGTCGGTGCCTAGTCTAGTTGCGGTTCTGCGCTGGCTGTTGTCAAATGTTTTGACACGACGCAAGGGTGTCTTGACTTTGCTGCTGTTTACATTCTCCAAGTGATCACTTTTGCTGCGTGGACTGTCCAGGGTAAGAATTCGTTGTATGGGCCGCCTCTCCCCCCTTCGGTTGCTGTTGTGGCTGTTATTGATACTGCTACTTATACTGCTTCTGCTTCTGCGGGAATCCTCTTCAAAGGAAGGGGTGTCAAAAAACATGAGACTATCTTCCTCCCCCCAGCCAGCAGGCCAGGTGTCATCGACTTGCAGTCTAGCTTTGGTCTTTGAGGTCGCAGCTCGTTCGGATAAGCACTTTTCTAGCGTGCATTTTGGCTGCGTATTCGTAGTATGGTAAGGCACTGGAGTGCGCTCTTCCGGGTGATGCGCTGCGCCATGAGTGGTTCGACTTTTCAAGTGATGATGATGGCGACCGTGCTGTGCATGGTTTCCTTTCTTGGTGTTGTTGATACGCGTACCAGTAGGTGCGGACTCGCAGCTGTCCTTACTATGGTTTCGAGAAGGCTTCTTTTGGATGGCCTCGTCCGCAGTGCCTTTCCTTGCGGCACAGTGATGGCTGCTACTAGTACATGTACTTACGGCTATCGGTATTTGCGGCAAGACGGCGATTTGACTGCCAAATTGCCGACGACCCGGGCGATGGGGTTCTTTCTCGAAAAACGTGTTCAAGCTGATCAGGGCACTCTCATAGTCCCTCGATCCAGAGCGCTGCCGTGGAGGATCTTCATGGCTGAAGCTTTCGGATTCGCTGTTTTGCGAAACGTCGTGTGATCCCGCGTCATTGTGAACTTTGCCGTTCTTCATTTCTGCTGATCAAGGAAACGAACAGTCGGATTGAAACCAATCGCTTGTGTAACCGCAGGACTATGGTAGTACTAGTAAAAGTACAAGGGATGCCTTATTCTTGTGGCTCTTCTAAATCTGTTGGATTTTGTGTTGTGGCCTTGTGGTTGGTTGGCTTTTGGCTGAAAGGTGCCATCGTGGAATGTCTCTGTCTCAAACTCGAGATTGCCCTTGTGAAAGCTACCCATTTATGTCTCTGTGGATCCCGCAAAGCCAAACCCTTTGCCCCCCGTAATGGTCCTCAATTTCTTGCCCCTGATCCCACAGAACCTAGTCCTGAATTTCGACTGTTCTTTGCTTAAGCCTGGCCCCGGCTGGCTTCCGTAGATAATTTCCCTCCTCTAAAACCCCCCCTTATCTTTCTCTGTCTCAAACTGGTTCATTGCTGTTCGGTTTCGTGTCGTTGGTGCGAAGATCAAAGCGAACACCTCGGCAATCATGCAGGCTTGGAAAGAAGCCTCCTCAAGAAGCCAGCTACAAAGCTGCTTGAAGCACTTCCAAAGCTTTGCAAGGGTTTTATGCGGGGGGTTTGGACTGTCACTCGAGTGGGGGGGGTCTGGTCACCTATCGAACGGTTTCTAACCTACCAGTATGTCAGGCTGTCCAGATAGAAGCAGAAGCTGCCTGCTAGCTAGCTAGCTAGCTAGTAGATGGCTCCATGAAGTTATGGATGATTAGCTAATGTACTGGTCTGATTCGACTTATCTATCTCTCAATTTTAAGCGCTAGCCCCAAAGTTGCACATGGCATCCGTTTGTGCAATGTCCAAGTGGCCACCGTCTTCCCTCAGCGAGACGGATTGAATCGTCCGTGAAAAGATAAAGCCAAGGTTGCTGCAGTCCACTAACAAGTTCTCGTCTTTGTTGTTGACACATGTCCTGCATTCGTGTCCTTCCACAAGCACTGAACAACCATTGCTGGGCTCGTCGGGCATGGAAGCCGAACAACCAAAGAACGAGTGAACCGTGATGTGATAATATGACTCGAGATTGCTGCTGCCCATGTCCTCGTTGTAATAGTGATACAGTGCCGAAATGCTCGTACAGCCATCATCCTTCACCTCGGTGCAAACGAATCTATCCACGGCAAAACAGTTGTCTTCCTCGGCAACGCCATTGGCCCAGTCATCCAAACAGTTTTGCGTACTGGTGCCGTTGGATGGAGTGCCCGTGCGAGGGGACAGAGAGGAACCATTCGTGGAGCCTGGTACGGAGGAACTTTCAGTGGGGGAGGAAGTAGCCATGATGGACGGCGAAGGTGTGGAAGATCCCGAGTCAGTAGGGACACTCGTGAGCGCGATGATTGCTGGGGTCGGTGCATGATCACTAGTAGGAGCAGCAGTGGATGTCATGGATGGTGGGATGGTACCGGTGGTGGAGTCCTCACCGGATGGAGCGAGCGTATCATGATCAAGAGATGGAACCTCAGTCAATGAAGACTCTGTGGAGGGAGTGAAAGAGGCTGAATCTTGGTCAGAAGGAGAGGATGTGTCATGATCAAGAGATGGGACTTCAGTAAATGACGATTCCAAAGTTGGTGCGTCTGTTTTAGGTATCAAAGTCAAAGAGGGCGTGATAGACGCTGAATCTTCACCAGACGGAGTGGATGTGTCAAAGCCATGAGACGGAACATCAGTAAGGGAAGACTCATCGGAGGGCGTATTAGTGGCCGAAACTTCACCAGACGGAATGGATGTGCCAAAGTCAAGTGATGGAACCCCAGTAGCAGACATTTCAAGGGTCGGCGTATCACTGGTGGCCAGCGAAGTAGTTGGAGCCAGGCTGTTTGGAATTGGGCTTGACGTTGGAATGTCACTGGCAGGTATTTGCGAAGATGTGGGGGGCATGCTTTGGGGAACCGGGCTTTCGGTGGTTGTAGGGCCCCTCGGTGCCAGAGCAGGGTGATCGCATTTGGTATCATCAGGAGCCAGTGGGAAGAAGTCCGTATCACAAGGTTCGTCTCCTGTTTGGGGGTTGGAGAAAAATGACACACTATGCTCGCCACGCTGGAACACGCCTGGGAGATTCCTGCAATCATCCAAGGTCAGCATGTCATCATGGTATGAGCAACGATTACACATGCCATGTCCATCTGCATAAACAAGACATGTATTTTTTATGCTTGTGTCGAAACAGTCATGCATGACGTCTGCCTGTACTGTCAAGTAGTCTACACGAGGAGTGCCGGTTTCGTTGCCACCATTGAAGTACGTGTACACAATATTAGTGACCACACAGCCAACCGGGTCCACAAACGAGCTCAGATTTCGCTCTACGGAGTAGCATTCTCCGGCCGCCAAATCTCCATGGAAAACGTCAATGATTTCATAAGCATTGGTCGGGGCTGGATGCCATAGAGGAAGAGTTCATTGTGGTTAGGTCATTGTCGGCTGTTAAAAGAGTACCCCTTCGGATGGAAAGATTTCGACACTTACCAGAGAGCCCCAAGGAAAGGTACCATAGTAAGAGGCTCAGAAAAGTACTTGCGAGCTTCATGTTGTTTTCTTTTGCTTTCAAAGGTTTTCAATGAAATTGTGATTGAGGCAAAATATTATGAGACTCGACTGTCACTCAGACCTGGGATAGATTCCAAAGCAGGAAGCTTACGCCTTGCCAATCTAGTCTAACCAAACACTTCTTTGCATCCTTAGTGGGTGAAGACCTTGTGGAAGCTTACACGGTGGCATAGAGCTTTCAAACAAGACTAACCCCAACCACCCCTGTAGCACAACCTCCCGCTCGGTCACTGTCACTTTCCCAGTCATGTTTCGGTCACGCTTACGTAAAGGGCGGAGACACACTTCAATGCACTCTAAATCTTTCTCCAGGATCTTGCAGGGAGCAGTTGGCCACTCCCGGATGCACCCAATTCGGATCGGTTGGTTTGTTGGGGTTGAAGCTTGGGGTAGTTTACAAAAGAGGTAACCACCGGCTCCTAGATCTCCTTACGCTGCCTCTCACAGAACATCTCAGTGCAGTGTTTGATAACGATTCAGTCGTTTCAATTTGACCGGATTGCATTAGACGAAGAGTGCTTTTACATCACCACGTCTCTTGTCTCAGAGTGGCTGGACGAAGGAATGCCTGCCTGGGGCCCAATGACTGCGAAGATGTTACCAAAAACGCCACAATCATGTATCTTCTTTTAGAGAGGAATGACTTCCAAGCACACGGAGTGCGCACGGAGTCGGAAACTGGAGGATCGACGAGCAACGTCTGTGTCTCTCGCGAACTGGCAATTCTCTCCCTTGCTACCAGCCATCGGCAGGTTTCGGCGCGGCTCTTCCAAGTGCCCAAGCCTTGTAGGTCGCCATGAACAGGCTACTGTGACGTAGCAACAAACGTGAGACTCGATCGTCCCCCACAAAACTGGTTCACAAGGTGATGCATGAAAGACGCCGACTCACAGTTCAAAGCAATTCTGAAGGACCAGAAAGGGCGAATTGTAGGGGAGAGCAGCAATGGTCAGCTGTGGTTGTCTATCAAGGCTTTCCAGAAGATGCCTGTGCTCTTTTGGTCCTTTGTGCGTGTTGCAAACCACATCGTCTTCCTTGATCATCCTCAGTGCGAAGGCTCTCAGAGGAGAATAACAAAGAGACGAGGGATCTGCCTTACATGAAGGACAGCCCGAACGCTCGCGCGAAAACGGTCTTCTCCCAAGTCCCTTTCAGAAGCAGCAATGATGCGGTTCATACGGTATACTAGCTAGTAACTGAAAAGGCTGGAAAGGAGGAATAGTAAGAGACATTTCGAGGAGTGCAACGGTGCTTACAATGGTATCAGCAACGTACTTCATCACAGCCATGACATAACTAGCATGTGCAAAGTGAGCGAAGAACAGTCGGACACGTCCACTGCGTGAATAGTTAGTTGGCTTCACTTTGTACCCTGGCAAATTCGATCTAGCGTCTTTCGCTCTCCAAGTGCCCGTACTCCAGACGCAAGAAACAAAGTCGCGTCAGCTGCGCTTCTGTGGCGGTTGCCCTTCATACATTAATACTTCTGGCCTTTCCTTTCAGAAAAGAATGAGTTTTTGAGCGTGACGATTCGATTCGATTCCAGCACGAGGAGCCCCGTTCCTCCCTAACGATAAATTGCCAGCTTGGTTAATAAAAGCTTTGGCCTCTTTTTAATGCAACGTGGAGCAAACCGTGTCATGCAAAGTGAGAACATCTCTGGAAACTCTAGCAATGTTGGATGACTGGTGAACGTGACAGGAAGATACCACTGGGCTCCAAAGGAACCACAGGCCCCCAAAGGGGCAGCTCCCGAAGGAGCACCGGAAATCAGTGTTAGTACATGGCTTGAAAGTAGAAACGATGAAACTTGTGGCTGCTCCGAATGCTTCTCCAGTACAAATCCAATCCGAGCGAGAATTACTTCTTCATGTCAGCGCCTTTAAAGAAGCACTCGGAGCAGCCTGCAACAATCATACTACCACATCCCTGCTCCCAGCCAATCGCAAGCAATCCAAGAACTCGCCATTTGTTTCGGAACTGGATTGGTGCCTTCCTTGGCTGCTGTCGATTCGTCTTGTTCTTCCACCGCACTGGATGGCTTAGATGAATCCAGATGAAACTTGTGGCTGCTCCGAATGCTTCTCCAGTACAAATCCAATCCGAGCGAGAATTACTTCTTCATGTCAGCGCCTTTAAAGAAGCACTCGGAGCAGCCTGCAACAATCATCGATTCATCTTCTTCTTCCACCGCACTGGATGGTTTAGATGAATCCAGAACCAACCACGCAGTCGACGGCGCCGCGTACAACCAACGACCGTCAGTATGCATGCATGCTGGTTCACTAGCGGACCGTACCTGTCGTTGTTGAGACTGTCACTCGAACACGAATCAATACCTACATTGGGAACGAAAGGAGATGAGGCGGCAACGGTCGACGACCGTGAAATGAGCAATGACACAAAAGACAGGAACACATGGACTTACCTTGAGAGGAACCACCGCAAGACGACTGAGTCACGAACGGCCAAAACATCATTGTCAACCGCATGACAAAAGGAGGAAAGAAGGAAGGTTAGAAGACATGTTGCAATATCAAATGAAGAAATGAAAGGCTGGTTCCGGCAGAGAGCAAATGGAACGGACTCATGAAATGGCCGCCCACTCACTCTCCTAACAAGGCTCGAAGCAGCCCACGAAGGAGCACCGGAAAATGGCACCCAATGAGACATTTTGAGAAGAATGTGAACTGACCTTGTTTGTTGAAGATGAGGAACCGACCGTACGAACCAACCAACCCACTGGAACCACCGCAAGACAACACCATTGCCGGCGAAGAGTGAACCGTGGGCCCCACAGGGGAAGCCCAATCACTCTCCTGCAAGCAGCACCGGCAAAGGTGTCATCGTCATGCAAGTCTTCGAGAGGAAGAAGAAGACTTTGTTGTGTTGTTTGTTGGAAGAAAAGGCGTGCTTCAGGCAACGGCGTTTCATCAGTTCAGCAAACGATCGTTTCATTTTGGCAAGGTGTCAACATCAAATCAGAAATCAAAATGGAGCTCGTCATTGTTTTGCCGTTTTATTTTCAAACTGAAACGGCCAACGGCTAAACTCGACGCAAAGGTACGCGGTGGTCGACTGACATGTCGCTCGGAGGCTGCTTCTATGGCCAAGCCGAACGAGGAACCACCACAAAACATAAGAATCTCTCCCATGGTATTCATTATAGCATTTGGGGGGTTACCGGTAGAGCAGGGAGGCGTCCCAACGTGGAACTTGGATGATGCCTCGAGTGTCGAGTGGCGAACTGAAAAAGCTTGACAGCGACGGCTGTTGCCAGCTGTACCGGTATGGATCGAAACAAGGAGAGCCTGTCATAGTACGAGTAGCCGCTGAAAAGAGGAGTAGCCGCTGTAAGGAGTAAAGGAACTACAGTACTACTAGCTAGTAACATCATCTTGATGATACAGTGACAGTGGAGTCGAGTCGAGTCGAGTCGAGTCAAGGAACCGTATAAATTGCCATCGGTAGATTATTGGTACAGTAGAGTTGAGGACTAAGTCTTTCTACTTCGTGGGACTCGACTCGGCATGCCTTTTACGCGCTGGTACCTACACAGTGACACCGGTGACCGATTTCTAGCTAGCTTAGTCTAGCCAGCTAGCTAGCTAGCTAGCTAGTGGTCTTGTTCATCGGGATGAGGGGCCTTTGGGTACCACCGAGCTGCAGGCAAGGGCCTCTTGAAAAAGACGATTGATTGTGGAGCATGGCCGGTACCGGTACCGGTACCGCATTCAGTACAGCACGAAACCAACCGAAACTAATTTCGGCCACCGTGCGAGAAGATTGCCGTCAGCTTCCTCTTTTGGTTGTGTCTGCGTACATGTATTGGTTTCTTCCAAAGTACCGGTACAGTAATAGTCCGTCCTTCCTCAAATCTAGCTAGGTGGCCAGCCAAGAGCCAAGAGGGCTGTAAAAGCTTGTGCGCCCAAGCCACCATGGCATCTAGCTAGCTAGCTGGCTATGCAACTACTATGATAGTACTCAAAAAGCAGCACCAGCATTCGATTCATTCCCCAGTGTAACAATGGTTGTTTCATTCTTATGAGCTATTATTAATACTCATTTTGTTATGCGTGTTTCGTCATTTTGTTCTTCTACCCAAATTCTCTACTAGTTTACACCATGCTGCCTGGCTGCTTAGAAGACACTGGCCATGCCAACATCCTGCGTGGCAGTGACATCGTAGATGCAATCTTCACGTTCACCTTCAGGAACATGAGCACATGCCCTCTCAATGGCATCCTCAGAGAGTCCACCTGCAAGACGACGCTTGCGAATCATGGACTTCATTTCCTGCTTGGTGCGGAACTCAGGAAGCTTGCACTTGTTGGGAGCGACAACAGCACCTTCATAAGAGTGGAAGAGCTGGGGATCGTCTTCACGGACTTGCCATTCTTGTCCGAATGCATCGTAGTTGTGAATCTTGGTCTTTCCATCCCGGCCAACACGCTTGCCATTCATGTCAAAGCTTCCAAGCAATCCAAGAGCTCCCTTGTAGTGCTCTGGGTTGATCTTGTAGTCAATATCGACACGAACAAAGTCCTTGTAGGTCCTGAGGCGGAGACGTTCGGGGCGGCCTTCAAGGTAGATGTTGGCTTCACGGTTGACACCCTTGCGCTGGTAGCGGACGTGCATGCCATTGACCTGGGAAGTGTAGTACTTGTTGTCTTCCATCTCTTCGTTGGCGTTGCCATTGATCCAGAGCCACTGATCCAAGTTGCCGGCATTGACTTCCAACACTTCATCGCCAAGCTTGACAGCGGCGGCTTCAACGGAACTCCACCAGTCAGTGATCTTGGTACGAATGTGGACCTCCATGCCCACTTCCTTGAAGAGAGGATTCTTCAACAAGACCAAATCACACTCGCCATGGTAGTCATACTTCTCTTCTCCAAACGTCTGGAAGTGAGGATCTCCCTTGACGTTGGACGTGTCGTCAACAGTAGTTTTGTCATCGGGAGTGGCAACAGGAGACTGAGTGGGAGCATCGGTGGGAGCCGGGGCTGTGGTGGTAGGCGCACGCAAGCCACCAAAACCACGTTCATTGTTGGGGTCGTCCTCAGCACGGACCACAGCAAAGGCAGCGGCGAGGAGAAAGAAAGTCTTGCTGGACGGGAAAATCATTTTGGTTGATAAGATAAGATAAGATGAGTTTTGGTAGACTTTAATAGATGATCGTTTCTTCTTTTCCTTTTTGGTTGTTGGGAAAGCGAAACAATGAGAACAAAACTAGCAAGCCTTTCACTTGCAAATAAATTGGGTTGCCGGTGCCGGTTGTTTTTACTGGTAAGTGCCAGGTGGTGTTACAGTGACCGATGATACCAAAAGTTCGTGGAAAGATGACCTGATCGTAGACTCCAACTTAAGGCATACAAGCCCCTCTATCAAAATCTGGTCATAGATCCCTTATGAATGCCTTCTCTGCTCCTCGATGGAGGTCATTGCAAAGTGACTGACGTCGGTCCAATGCATTCTGGGAAAAGAGACTTTAAATAATCCGTTCCTGAACAACTCACAATTCTAGTATAATGTCCTCATCTCCCAACAAATGAGGTCTTTTCCTGCCTATCGAACTGGCACGGGTACTAATCCTACGTTCCACCTACAGGTTGTCTATTTCCGATCAACACCCAGGATGACTTCAGTAAAGGAAGTCTGAGAAATATTTTCGCTGGTTTCCGACCTTGCGTGCAGAACCATTTCTAACTTGAACCTTACAAAGAAGCTACATTTTCAAGGCAGTCAGGTTGGTTTTTAGAGAGTTGAGGTGTGACTAGGCCGCATCATGTCCGGATACTTCAGGATATTCCAAGGCTCCATACCAGCAACGAGAGTTCGTCCCTGGTAGATCGGAGGTACCGGTACCGTAGCAGAAGTGCTGTCGTCATGATTATCATCCGCCTGTGCTACTCACTCCCATGGAAAGAATGGTTGATTGTCAAATCAGGCAGGAGCCAATGGCAAGCAAGGAGAACCCTGCCTCGAATTGCATTGGGACGATTTCGTGATATCCCCTCAGGACACATTGCAACCCCACCATTGTGGGTGTGGTATCGAGTCAGTGCGCAACTCTCGGCAGAGCCAACCGCCAACCTCAGGTCGACGTGAAAGCAACGAAGGAGTGCATTGGTGCCCCATGGTGAGCGAAGCAAAGCTAAGAATTGCACCCTGTCTTCGTACAGTATTGCAGTATTGCAGTATTGCTTCTGCCCGTACCAATGCAGAGGTCCTGTTGTTATTAGCTACTACTATTATAGCTACTTTTCAATCCTACCGGTCGTACGGAACAGTAGACTACCGAAACTCCATTGATCCATTTGGTGACCGGACTCGAGATTGCCTCAGCCAGCCAGATCTTCAGTTTGCAAAGCGCATCGAGTTGGGGACCGTACCGGTACGGTACGTTGCTTCAGGAGATAAGGACGCCACAATCATGCCTCCCCACGAGCCCCACGAAAACGAAGGCTGAAGGAAGGGTAATCATTTTCCTGGCGCTACCTGAACCGTTGTCTCGTTTGACTGTAAAATCCAAGCCAGAAGGAGGGTCCCAAAACACGTAGCCCCGTGATACGATTCTCACTTAATTAAAAGGATTTTGCTAGTATCTTGGTGGAGCTTGAGGGGGTTCCTCTTCTTTTCCTATTGATCAGGTACAATAGCCTCTGCGGGTCCATTTGTCACTCCTGTGCTGACTGCTCCAGCCTCTGCTTGGCTTGTTCCTGCCGAATGGCGTCGTACCGTGGCTCTGTGTGGCTCACGTGAAATTGCACCGTTTTGGCCTGAGGATACGGTACTGTCGAACTTGCTCTGTCGACCACTCGAAGCCTTGTAATGGTGGGCTGTTACATGCGACTACTGGTTGAGTTTCATACGCTCATACCGGCAGTAGTTGCCGGTGAAGATTCAGTGCTCCGAGTACTGTCGGGGCTTGTTGACTCCCACGGCTCGAGCGCTCGATCGATCGATCGATCGATCGATCGGTTCTCGCTCGATGGACTCGCTGGGCAGCTGCCGTACCGGTACCATAGCTAGATTGTACTAAAAACTATCCGTGGTCCGTCGTTTTAACGTAACGACATTTTCCTATAAAACTGCTCCTTGATCTAATAGTTTGGTTTCGTCCTACCGTACCCTTGACAACGGAGTGAGTCTACCGTACCGACTCTGACGCTGGCTCTGACTCGATCCGATCCAGTTCGACATGTACCGTATGCATGCAGGCATGCAGGCATGCACGCAACAAAGACGTTTTTTAGTAAACATTGGCCATTTCCAAATCTTGAGTGGCAGTGACATCAAAGATACACTCATCACGTTCACCAGGATCGACATGGGCACATGCCTTTTCAATTTGTTCCTTGGTGAGACCTCCGGCAAGTCGACGTCGAAGGGACGCCTTCCATTCCTGTTTGTTTTTGTACTCTGGCAGCATGCACTTGTTGGGTGACACAGTGGCTCCCTCGTAGGTATGGAATAGTTTGGGTTCATCTTCCTGTACTTGCCATTCTTGTCCAAACTCGGTATGCAAGTGGATGTATGTCTTTCCATCTCTAGCAACCCGTTTGCCACCCAAATCGTAGCTTCCCAAGAGCCCAATAGCTCCCTTGTAGTGTTCCGGATTGGCCCTCCAATCAATGTCTACACGAACAAAGTCCTTGTAGATTCTGAATCGAAGACGTTCAGGACGTCCCTCTAGGTAGATGTTAGCCTCTCGGACAATACCGGATCGTCGGTATCTGACCTGCATGTCCGACATCCACGCAGTGTAATATTTCTTTTCTTCCATTTCTTCATTGGGCTTTCCATTGATGAACATCCACTTGTCGAGACTTCCCGCGTTGACTTCCAAGATATCGTCTCCTAGTTTGACGGCAGCAGCTTCAACGGAACTCCACCATTCAGTAATCTTGGTCCGAATGTGAACTTCCATTCCCTTGTAGCTTGGATTCTTGAGAAGGACCAAATCACATTCTCCATGGTAATCAAACTTTTCGTCTCCAAATGTCTGAAAGTGCGGATCTCCCTTGACGTTGGTCGTAGTGTCGGTAGTGGGACTACTGTCGGGAGTGGGAGCATCTTGAGGAGCTGCCGAAGGAGCCGGAGTGGTAGGGGAAGGGATACTAAAACCACGTTCCACGGATTCGGCAGAAGTTCCGGGATCATCCAAACGACGGCGTCTTTGGACTGCTGGAACTCCGCTAACAACAGCAACAGCTTCAATGGGGGCAGCCTTGGGGGCTTCAATACCATCAATACCATCAATACCACTACTGACAGTAGTAGATCCAGGCTGATTCTTGGGCAGGGCCATGAGAGTGCCAATGGCCACAAAGTTGGCAATGGTGGCAAACACCAACAAGTTGGTCTTGCTGATCATCATCTTGTTTTTGTCTTGTCTTCTTTTTATTTAACCTATAACTTAACTAAAAAGCTATCAAAGGTTGTAGATAAGATTATGACCTATTGAAAGAGCCAAGCCAGTTGTGCTGCTGTTGCTCTTGCTGTTGCTGTTTGCTGTTGGTGGTGGGATGAAGTGGCCAAGAGCGATTTGGTTAGCCAGTCATCCTTCCTCCTTCGAATGCTGTATAAAGACACGCAAACACCCTCATTCAACTAGAGTGTCTGGAAATAGGATTATAGGGAATAGATATGATCAAAAAACTAAGATCTTTTGAAAAAGAGAGAAGGAGAGAAAAATATAGGTTCTTTTGGTCAGCTCTTTTAGGTACTGTACTGTAGCCAACAATCTGCAAACGACTTTCGCCGTGCATTCTTGTGTCTTGTTTATGTAAGATTGGCAATCAGAATGCAGAGTGCAATGGCCTGCCTGGTAGAAGCCAAGTTCTAAAGTTAGTCTAGTAGTAGCTAGCTACCTGGTAGCATGCAAAAGAGTTCATTATTAACCGAATGATGAATCAAAAGTACGCAGCCTGAACTCACATCCAAGCAAGGAGCAAGGACTTTTGATTTATCTTGTTTTCTGCTTGCTATCATACGGTACTTCCCTTAGCTTTGCTTTCATGCATGATTGCTGATCCGTGTGTCCCCTTTGGAGAAGATCCGAATGATATCTTCCCATTTTATCTATTTTGATAAAACATTGTGTCATTTTAATAGTTACCATAGTCTCATTAATTCGAGAGACCGGACAATGGTAAAGACTTGGCCCAACCAGATTTCACCAGAACGCCATTGTCATTGTACAAAGGGTTTCTACCCATTGAACGCTGGGTTGGTACGATGGTCGGGCATGGTCATGGAGGGGCTTTACTAACCATTGGGGATAGAAGCGTCTAGGGAGAGTCGGTATCGTTCCAACCGGTATCCAAAGGGATAACATTCATCATGGTTGAATGTCAAGAACCAATAAGATTTAACAGTGTGAGTCCGATCTTTGTGGAACTGAAGCACGAATCGGTGCCTCTGCTGTGTGGAACTGTACTATTAGAGTAGTATGAACCAAGCTACATAAGTCTCAGAGTCCCGTGGAGAACAGAGTGGGAAGCTACCAGTTCAAAGCAAGTCATTGGGAATGCTTTGGGCCTTTAGAATAATTCAATTATTATCATTCGATGCTACCCATGGCTCGAGATGGCTGGATTGAGAAAGATAACCAAGCAAGCAAAGAGCGAAAGAGCCAACAACCAAATCCCTGCATATCTTTTGGCTCGAGATGACAACAACAGCTTGGTAAGTACAAGTACAAGTATAAGTTCATGGTGGATGGGTAACAGATCTTATCTTGTCTTATCTTATCTATTCTTTATCTTTTGTTTTGTTTAGCAATCACTGAAGATCAGATCAGTTTGAGTTAGAATGAAGACGATGAGTTTCCTTGGACTTAAGAAGAAGTGTCTGCTACTAGTACATGTAGTGACTTGCTTGGTGTGTCTACTGCCAGTGACTCCTGTGGATGGAGCTGCCATGGCTTGTGAGTCCGTGTGCGAGATTGCGTTGAATATGAATTGTACGGAAGTTCAGGACGCTCTAGTCTTTCGAGGCGATTGCTGCACTCTTGAAGAAATCAATGACGAATGCTTTATGGTTTCTACGGGAGATTGCTCCATCAAGGCGGCCGGGGCCAATGATACCAGTTGCACGTACGACGACGTGGGAAATCCCGTGGCTTGTCTGCCCGCATACACGCTCTACTCGTCATTCTCCAATGATCCTTGTCCAGCATCTAGCTTTCCCGTGCCCCAATGGACCGATGCTCCCACGCAGACTCCATCTGTCGGAGGCACAGACAGTTCCACAGATACAAATGCCCCAACTCCCTTTCCCATTTCATCATTCGCCATAATGGACATTGTCAATGGAGATCCCACTCTGGGAGATTGCTATGTAGTCCAGCGAACCATGATTGGATCTTCCGCTCATCCAGTCACGGGATGTGTCGAATCCAGTTTGACTTATACATACTACAATGGGGGAGACAAGGCCACTCCCGATGGAAACGATATTGTTGATACCGGATACGACAAGGAAATTTATTTGGTCGCACGAGCTGAGATTGTGCGTGACTGCCACGATCCAGTGGCGCTTCCCGATACATGTACCATTGAAGTCGATGGGGTGGGATTTTGTAACGCATGTTCCTACAGTACTGGAGGACAAGTCACTCTTACGGATTGTACCAACCTCGACAGTCCCCCCATATTTACCAGCTCCCCTCAGACGGTCGAATTCTTTTACGACGGAGCACCCGAGTCCGAATATGCGCTCCATTTTTTGAGGTTGGCATTTGACGAGGAAAAGTGCAACCATCCCGCTCAAGCCGAATATGACACCTCAGGGCCCACCCATATTGACTCGTTTGTTGGAACCACGGCGCCCTCGCAAGTGCCAATATCCGATGCACCCAGCTTTGTGGAGACCTTCGTCTCTACTTCCAGGATATCCATGGAACAGTTCCAAGGACTGCCAGAGTATGGAGATTGCTTTACTGTGGATAGAACCTTCCAAGACACATCTGCGAATCACTATACTGGATGTCGCACAGGACAGGTCACCTATGATTACTCCATTGGACTCATGGTTGACATTGACTACTATGCGGGCTGTGATGATCCCACCGCCAATACCTGCACCGTTCAGGTTCATGGATACGGAACCTGCCAGAGCTGCGAGGTGGACAGCACCCAGCAGGTCACACTCTTAGATTGCAGCAATCTGGCACATCTATCTTCTCCTCCTCTGGTCAACAGCAAGTGGAGTTTGTGCATGAGTCCGTTCCTGAGTATGACCTCCAGTTCTTCCAGCTTTCTGATGAATGGAATGGCTGCGACAGCTCCACACAGGCCCCAGCGGTACTGTCTCCACCTTCCCCAGCCTAGTGCCAGTGTCCGATGCCCCCAGTTATGTGGAGACCACCATCTCATCCCAGTACGCCACTTCTTCCATGATTTCCATGGAACAGTTCCAAGGACTACCAGAGTATGGAGATTGCTTTACTGTGGATAGAACCTTCCAAGACACATCCGCAAATCCCTATACTGGATGTCGCACAGGACAGGTCACCTATGACTACTCCATTGGACTCATGGTTGACATTGACTACTATGCGGGCTGTGATGATCCCACCGCCAATACCTGCACGTTCAGGTTCATGGATACGGAACCTGCCAGAGCTGCGAGGTGGACAGCACCCAGCAGGTCACACTCATAGACTGCAGCAATCTGGGCACATCTATCTTCTCCTCCTCTGGTCACAGCAAGTGGAGTTTGTGCATGAGTCCGTTCCTGAGTATGACCTCCAGTTCTTCCAGCTCTCTGATGAATGGAATGGCTGCGACAGCGCCACAACAGGCCCCAGTGTTACCGTCTCCACCTTCCCCAGCCTAGTGCCAGTGTCCGATGCCCCCAGTTATGTGGAGACCACCATCTCATCCCAGTACGCCACTTCTTCCATGATTTCCATGGAACAGTTCCAAGGACTACCAGAGTATGGAGATTGCTTTACTGTGGATAGAACCTTCCAAGACACATCCGCAAATCCCTATACTGGATGTCGCACAGGACAGGTCACCTATGACTACTCCATTGGACTCATGGTTGACATTGACTACTATGCGGGCTGTGATGATCCCACCGCCAATACCTGCACGGTTCAGGTTCATGGATACGGAACCTGCCCAGAGCTGCGAGGTGGACAGCACCCAGCAGGTCACACTCATAGACTGCAGCAATCTGGGCACATCTATCTTCTCCTCCTCTGGTCAACAGCAAGTGGAGTTTGTGCATGAGTCCGTTCCTGAGTATGACCTCCAGTTCTTCCAGCTTTCTGATGAATGGAATGGCTGCGACAGCTCCACACAGGCCCCAGCGGTACTGTCTCCACCTTCCCCAGCCTAGTGCCAGTGTCCGATGCCCCCAGTTATGTGGAGACCACCATCTCATCCCAGTACGCCACTTCTTCCATGATTTCCATGGAACAGTTCCAAGGACTACCAGAGTATGGAGATTGCTTTACTGTGGATAGAACCTTCAAGACACATCCGCAAATCCTATACTGGATGTCGCACAGGACAGGTCACCTATGACTACTCCATTGGACTCATGGTTGACATTGACTACTATGCGGGCTGTGATGATCCCACCCGCCAATACCTGCACGGTTCAGGTTCATGGATACGGAACCTGCCAGAGCTGCGAGGTGGACAGCACCCAGCAGGTCACACTCATAGACTGCAGCAATCTGGCACATCTATCTTCTCCTCCTCTGGTCAACAGCAAGTGGAGTTTGTGCATGAGTCCGTTCCTGAGTATGACCTCCAGTTCTTCCAGCTCTCTGATGAATGGAATGGCTGCGACAGCGCCACAACAGGCCCCAGTGTTACCGTCTCCACCTTCCCCAGCCTAGTGCCAGTGTCCGATGCCCCCAGTTATGTGGAGACCACCATCTCATCCCAGTACGCCACTTCTTCCATGATTTCCATGGAACAGTTCCAAGGACTACCAGAGTATGGAGATTGCTTTACTGTGGATAGAACCTTCCAAGACACATCCGCAAATCCCTATACTGGATGTCGCACAGGACAGGTCACCTATGACTACTCCATTGACTCATGGTTGACATTGACTACTATGCGGGCTGTGATGATCCCACCGCCAATACCTGCACGGTTCAGGTTCATGGATACGGAACCTGCAGAGCTGCGAGGTGGACAGCACCCAGCAGGTCACACTCATAGACTGCAGCAATCTGGCACATCTATCTTCTCCTCCTCTGGTCAACAGCAAGTTGGAGTTTGTGCATGAGTCCGTTCCTGAGTATGACCTCCAGTTCTTCCAGCTTTCTGATGAATGGAATGGCTGCGACAGCTCCACCACAGGCCCCAGCGGTACTGTCTCCACCTTCCCCAGCTAGTGCCAGTGTCCGATGCCCCCAGTTATGTGGAGACCACCATCTCATCCCAGTACGCCACTTCTTCCATGATTTCCATGGAACAGTTCCAAGGACTACCAGAGTATGGAGATTGCTTTACTGTGGATAGAACCTTCCAAGACACATCCGCAAATCCCTATACTGGATGTCGCACAGGACAGGTCACCTATGACTACTCCATTGGACTCATGGTTGACATTGACTACTATGCGGCTGTGATGATCCCACCGCCAATACCTGCACGGTTCAGGTTCATGGATACGGAACCTGCCAGAGCTGCGAGGTGGACAGCACCCAGCAGGTCACACTCATAGACTGCAGCAATCTGGGCACATCTATCTTCTCCTCCTCTGGTCAACAGCAAGTGGAGTTTGTGCATGAGTCGTTCCTGAGTATGACCTCCAGTTCTTCCAGCTTCTGATGAATGGAATGGCTGCGACAGCGCCACACAGGCCCCAGGTTACCGTCTCCACCTTCCCCAGCCTAGTGCCAGTGTCCGATGCCCCCAGTTATGTGGAGACCACCATCTCATCCCAGTACGCCACTTCTTCCATGATTTCCATGGAACAGTTCCAAGGACTACCAGAGTATGGAGATTGCTTTACTGTGGATAGAACCTTCAAGACACATCCGCAAATCCCTATACTGGATGTCGCACAGGACAGTCACCTATGACTACTCCATTGACTCATGGTTGACATTGACTACTATGCGGCTGTGATGATCCCACCCCAATACCTGCACGGTTCAGGTTCATGGATACGGAACCTGCCAGAGCTGCGAGGTGGACAGCACCCAGCAGGTCACACTCTAGATGCAGCAATCTGGGCACATCTATCTTCTCTCCTCTGGTCAACAGCAAGTTGAGTTTGTGCATGAGTCCGTTCCTGAGTATGACCTCCAGTTCTTCCAGCTCTCTGATGAATGGAATGGCTGCGACAGCCCACAACAGGCCCCAGGTGTACTGTCTCCACCTTCCCCAGCCTAGTGCCAGTGTCCGATGCCCCCAGTTATGTGGAGACCACCATCTCATCCCAGTACGCCACTTCTTCCATGATTTCCATGGAACAGTTCCAAGGACTACCAGAGTATGGAGATTGCTTTACTGTGGATAGAACCTTCCAAGACACATCCGCAAATCCCTATACTGGATGTCGCAACAGGACAGGTCACCTATGACTACTCCATTGGACTCATGGTTGACATTGACTACTATGCGGGCTGTGATGATCCCACCGCCAATACCTGCACCGTTCAGGTTCATGGATACGGAACCTGCCAGAGCTGCGAGGTGGACAGCACCCAGCAGGTCACACTCATAGACTGCAGCAATCTGGGCACGTCTATCTTCTCCTCCTCTGGTCAGCAGCAATTGGAGTTTGTGCATGAGTCTATTCCTGAGTATGACCTCCAGTTCTTCCAGCTTTCTGATGAATGGAATGGCTGCGACAGCGCCACCACAGGCCCCAGTGTTACCGTCTCCACCTTCCCGAGTCTAGTGCCGGTCTCTGATGCCCCAAGCTTTGGTCCCAGCAGTAGTATTTCCAACTTTCCGACCTCCATCGCTTCAGTGGGGCCATCCCACACCTATGTGCCAACTTATACTGGAACCTATGTGTCTACGGCCTATGCTACCTCGTCCATGATTTCAACTCTCTCCCTACCTGGCGATGTCTCCCAAGGGGACTGCTTCACTGTGGAGCGAGTCTTCCAAGATACGTCTGCCGATGCTGGCACTGGATGCCGTAATGGGCAGGTCACTTACTCCTACTTGAGTGGAGTCACAAGTGTGGTGGAAATCACTGTGGATTACTTTGCCGATTGTGATGATCGAACAGGGGATAGCTGTACCATTACTGTTAGTGGAGACTATGGAGAGGGAATCTGCAGCGGCTGTCACGTTGATAGCCGCAACATGGTGACTCTGCTGGACTGTACCGACGTTGACCCACCAGTGCTTGCCACTGGCCAGACGCAGAGTGTCGAGTTTGAGCATGATGTGACCCCTTCGTACGATCTCCAGTTCTTTGGACTGGAAATTGGTACGAGCCTGTGTGATGAGTTGACATCAGTGCCCACTTCTATCGTGACCTACACACCTTCCCAGGCCTATTCCCTAGGGCCTTCCATGGCAGTCACTGGATCGTCTATGGTGACAGATGTGGTGGCTGGTGATCCATCTGTGGGAGATTGCTACCTCGTTGAACGGGAAATCCAGAGTACTACCCCCCATCCTACCACTGGATGTGTTGTGACTGAGCTGGAGTATCGCTATGTCAATGGAGATGGAGCAGTCTATGAGGTGGTTCATGTTGACGCCGCTCATGATTGTGTCAACACTCCTGACACTTGTACAATTTCAGTTGAAGGAAAGGGAGAGTGTGATGGATGCCTGTACAGCATGGGAGAAGTGTCGTTGACTGACTGTAGCAACATCCAACCCCCTGTCTTCCCAAGCGGCAGTCAGAGTGCAGAGTTTTTTTATGATGGCTCTCCTGAGTCTCCATATGACCTCAAATTCCTGAACCTGGCATACAACGAAGAACGATGCCTCAACTTTGTGGACACAGAGATTCCCAGTCAAGAACCTAACACTTCAGAGCCTACTGCTGTCCCTCTGACTTCTGTACCCTCTCCGACTTTGGTGCCAATTAGTGATGCTCCCTCTGGCATTGTGCGATCAGTGTCAGTTCCGGCTATCTTGGATTTTACCTTCTACCAAGGGACTACAGACACCAACCCAACACCTGAGGATGTTGCAGCAATTCTGGATCAAGTTGAACTGTTCTACACGGATGTCCTACAAGGGGCTCTTCCTGGTGTTGTTGAGTCAATCCAGGCTATCTTGAGCACTCCTGGGAGGCGGCACTTGATGTCAGTTGACTATTCTCTCCACTTTGATCTCATTGTTTCCTTCTTTGATGGAGCTGGAGTTCTATCTGAAGATGAACTCATTGAGGCAATGAGTAATGCCAACTACCTGGGTAAGTTTCAATGACAGTGACCTATGAGCTGATAACCGTGTACATTGGAGTTGAATCTGCATCTAACTTCTTGTTGTTTCTATAGATTTTGTGCAATCCTATGCATGGACACTACAGAACTCTGTTTTCTATGATACCGAGCATGTTGCCTTCAAGGACTTTCTGGGCAGTTTGTCCCCATCCTACACCATCCCACCTATCAGCGAGGCTCCATCCTACACCATCCCGCTCATCAGTGAGGCACCCTCATACACCATCCCACCAATCAGTGAAGCACCCTCCGGCTTTGATGAGCAGGGAATATGTGATTTCCCACCAGAGCTGCCGATTTGGGGTCTGATCCAGCCTGCAACACCAGACCCTCTTGCCTATATGAACTTGTACCATGGGGACCCGAGCCAGGGTGAATGCTACAGTGTGAAGGCTGTGGAAACCTGGAACAAGATGGCAACCGATGATGAGTTCTACTGCTGCACCAACAGTGGTATGGTTTTCTCATACTACAATGGCGGAACAGACATCTATGGAGTGGACTCTGGGTATGAGATGGAGTCTTATGAAACTGTTGAGGTTGTTGTGACCCAAGACTGTGGACAAAGAGGCCTTCCCCCAACCTGCATTATCAATGTGGAGAACGTGGGTGAATGTAGCTCCTGTTTGGTTGATGAGTCAAGTGGCGAAGTCATCATGGAAGATTGCAGCAATCTGGGTGCTGTCTTCCCGCCTGGCCCCCTTTCGATTGCCTGGTATGGATTCACTGAACCGGGTGATGACCCAGGCAATAACTTTTTCCCCTTGACCTACGATGAAGACCACTGCAACCACCCAGTATTTTCTGGTGCTGGACCAAGTGATGCCCCCTCTGTTGAATTCTCAGATGCCCCCAGTGGAGTCATCGAGTTTGGAGCATGTGAGGCACCAGCAGACCATTCCTTGTCAGCAGTTGGCATCCCAGCTTCACCAGACATCTCATTCCATGACCATGTTCAGGGTGATTTGAACAATGGTGATTGCTACACTGTTAAGAGAGCTGTCCATGGCATGACCCAGACATCGGGAGCTGACCCTGAAACCTACTGCTGCTCCATCTTTGGCCGTGCATACACCTATTACAATGGTGGTCTTGGAGCTGATGGAGTTGAGACTGGATTTGATGAAGACATCTACTATAATGTCACAGTGTCTGTGGTTGAAGACTGTGGCAACAGGGATCTCCCCACCGAGTGTCTTGTTGAAGTTGAAGGATATGGTTCATGTGGCTGTAGCTATGATGACAGCAGCGAGAGTGTACAGCTTGATGGTGACTGCAACAGCCTTGGGGTCTTTGTACATGGACGCCCAGAAGTGTCTCTCACCACCAACCTCAATGATGATGATGAATTCTTTGGGCTCGGCTATGACCCAGATAGATGCATGCATCCAGCATTGAATGTTGTCAGTGATGCTCCATCTTATGTGCCTGTCAGTGACTATCCATCCCTGGTGCCTGCCAGTGATGCTCCGTCTTTTGTTGCTGTCAGTGACCATCCATCCCCTGTGCCGCTCAGTGATGCTCCATCTCTGGTTGGAACATTCTTGCTACCATACAGTGATGTTCCATCCTTGATTCCTATGAGCCATGCTCCCTCCAGCATTGAGCGATCAGTATCAGTTCCTGGTATCTTGGAGTTCAGCTTTTATGATGGCACAGTTGATACAGTCCCTGATTTTGAAGAAGTTGCAGCAATCTTGGAACAGGTTGAACTATTCTACACCAGTGTACTCCAGGGAGCATTCCCTGCTGTAATTGATTCAATTGAGGCGCTTTTCAGTTCCCCTTCAAGGCGTGATTTAATGTCTGTTGACTATTCTCTCCACTTTGATCTCCTTGTTTCATTTTTTGGTGAATCTGCAGTTCCAACAGAAGAAGAAATGGTTGCGGTGATGAAAAATGTGAACTACGAAGGTAAGCATCAATGGCACTTATGCACAGAAGCCTTGATTCTGCATCTAATGTATTTCTCTGTTTAGATTTTGTTCAATCCTATGCCTGGAATACTGAGGTTCATGGAAGCAGCACCATTTTCCTCAACACTGAAGAAGTTGCATTTGTTGACGTTCTCAGCAGTTTGACCCCCTCCCACATCATCCCACTCATCAGTGAGGCACCCTCATACACCGTCCCACCAATCAGTGAAGCACCCTCCGGCTTTGATGAGCAGGGAATATGTGATTTCCCACCAGAGCTGCCGATTTGGGGTCTGATCCAGCCTGCAACACCAGACCCTCTTGCCTATATGAACTTGTACCATGGGGACCCGAGCCAGGGTGAATGCTACAGTGTGAAGGCTGTGGAAACCTGGAATAAGATGGCAACCGATGATGAGTTCTACTGCTGCACCAACAGTGGTATGGTTTTCTCATACTACAATGGCGGAACAGACATCTATGGAGTGGACTCTGGGTATGAGATGGAGTCTTATGATACTGTTGAGGTTGTTGTGACCCAAGACTGTGGACAAAGAGGCCTTCCCCCAACCTGCATTATCAATGTGGAGAATGTGGGTGAATGTAGCTCCTGTTTGGTTGATGAGTCAAGTGGCGAAGTCATCATGGAAGATTGCAGCAATCTGGGTGCTGTCTTCCCGCCTGGCCCCCTTTCGATTGCCTGGTATGGATTCACTGAACCGGGTGATGACCCAAGCAATAACTTTTTCCCCTTGACCTACGATGAAGACCACTGCAACCACCCAGTATTTTCTGGTGCTGGACCAAGTGATGCCCCCTCTGTTGAATTCTCAGATGCCCCCAGTGGAGTCATCGAGTTTGGAGCATGTGAGGCACCAGCAGACCATTCCTTGTCAGCAGTTGGCATCCCAGCTTCACCAGACATCTCATTCCATGACCATGTTCAGGGTGATTTGAACAATGGTGATTGCTACACTGTTAAGAGAGCTGTCCATGGCATGACCCAGACATCGGGAGCTGACCCTGAAACCTACTGCTGCTCCATCTTTGGCCGTGCATACACCTATTACAATGGTGGTCTTGGAGCTGATGGAGTTGAGACTGGATTTGATGAAGACATCTACTATAATGTCACAGTGTCTGTGGTTGAAGACTGTGGCAACAGGGATCTCCCCACCGAGTGTCTTGTTGAAGTTGAAGGATATGGTTCATGTGGCTGTAGCTATGATGACAGCAGCGAGAGTGTACAGCTTGATGGTGACTGCAACAGCCTTGGGGTCTTTGTTCATGGACACCCAGAAGTGTCTCTCACCACCAACCTCAATGATGATGATGAATTCTTTGGGCTCGGCTATGACCCAGATAGATGCATGCATCCAGCATTGAATGTTGTCAGTGATGCTCCATCTTATGTGCCTGTCAGTGACTATCCATCCCTGGTGCCTGCCAGTGATTCTCCCCACAGTTCTTACACCAACGCGCCTTCCTCAGTCCCCTTGAGTGAATCTCCACACATCTCTTTCAGCTCATCACCCCTCAGTTCTGTAACCAATACTCCGTCCTCAGTCCCCTTGAGCGGATCTCCTATCATTTCCGTCTCAGGCTCTCCCCACAGTTCTTACACCAACGCGCCTTCCTCGGTCCCCTTGAGTGAATCTCCACACAGCTCTTTCAGTGCATCACCCCTCAGTTCTGTAACGGATACTCCGTCCTCAGTCCCCTTGAGTGGTTCACCCATCAGCTCTTTCAGTGCATCCCCCCAAAGCTCTTCCACCAACGCTCCTTCCTCAGTCCCCTTGAGTGAATCTCCTATCAGTTCCGTCTCAGCCTCTCCCCAAAGTTCTTCCACTAATGCTCCTTCCTCAGTTCCCCTGAGTGGATCTCCTGTCAGTGCCGTCACTGGTTCTCCTTCTGCTGTTTCAAGAAGCTTTAGCGTCACCGATGAACCCACCACTGCACCACCTACAGAAACGACGGTTCCTACTCCTACTCCCATGCCATCCACGTTGACGTGCTACGATGTCTTTTCCAATGGCGCTGTTTCGGAAGGCAAGTGTCACGCCACGGACATTTACTATTGCATTGAATCCTGGGAGGATGGGTGCACTGCCACCACGGCTTACTACGACTATTACAACCAGGCCGGTGCCGAAAAGACTTCATACCATTATATTTCCGTCTTCTCGGCAACGGGTTGCGACCCAGTTGCGAATCCGGGTCAACCTTCGAATGACTGTTCGATTGATTCCTTTGATGCTTCCGTGCACACTTGCAACTCCTGCGTGAGCTCTGGCGATACGATTACCATGACGGACTGTTCGAACGTTGCCGATACGTTTGATCCTTCCGCGGATCAGGTAATTTCTTTTGCGCAGGACGAGTTCTTTGATGTGATCCAGACCGATGCGATGTGCAGTCATTCCTCGGTGACTTCATCGTCCGACGCTGGTTCGTATGCTTCGTATGGCACGGAAGACGAGGCATCGGATGTGACGTTGCCGTTGGAAGTGACGCTTCACTTTACGTTTTTCGAAGGCCACGGCGAGAATCCCGACGACCAATCGATTCAGTTGTTGGTAGTGAACACAATCAATTTTTTCACGACCATCTTGTTGGCTGACGATGCGTTCAAGGACGAGTTGAAAGATATTGTGATGTTGAGCATCGACCCAGTGTATTCGTCCGCAAGTCCGGATGAATTTACCATCACCGTGACAGCGGACATTGTGGTGCGAGGTACTCAAGCGTCGAATGCTTCTACGGAAGCGGCCGCGACTGCGCTTGGCAACGCCAATATGACCTCGTACCTCCGTCATTATGTGCGCCACAACCCCACGAACCAACGCAATCAGTTCTATGAGGCGAGGAAGATCCAATTCAAGGCATTTGGACACAAAAAGGAGGTTACCGGCACCCAAGTGAGGTAAAGTACCGTACCGGTATTATCGACGAATCAGAATCGAATCTTCAATGGAATCCATAAATCAAGAACACAAGACGGCAGACCAGTGCCGTACCCTGCAGGTACAGCACCGAGCTTCCTGCCTTTCTCATATATTATCATCTCGAGTCTCGAGATGTATAGACTTTTTGCTTGCATCGTTTGATTACATTTACATTTCAGACTCGCTCTCTAACTACAAGTAGTCTAGCTCTAGACAACATTTTCATTTACTTGCGCGAATCCACCCCGTAGCTAGCTAGCTTTCACTGAAAGTCAGTGTTGAGGAGGTGTCTCACCAAGCTACATGCATAGTTCCGCAGAAAGCGAGGGCCGAGTTGGTTCATAAAGCCCATACTTTCTTAATGATAGGGCTCCGACATTGTACCGGTATGACGTCATGATTGTTCTCCATCCCAAAGATCGGCATCTGCTTTTTACTTGGCAATTCGCAAATCTTCTTCCCACTCCGACGATCTATGGACGGATGTCAAGAGAATGCCACAGCTAATAAAGATCACAATCTGTAAAAGCAAGAGCCAAGCCAAACATCAGACCCAATAAGACCGTCTACAGCTAGCTAGAGGTTTAGCTTACCCTTATCCATCTTATCCATCTTCCTTAGCTTTCTTTCTTGTCTTTATCCTTCTGAGCTTATCAAGTCCAGTCAAGATATCAAGATGTCAGGATCCCTCAAGATTCCTCTACCAGCACAAGCAGTACAATCAGTACAAGCAGTACTAGTAGTATGTCTGCTACTGGTGTGCTTGGCTGAAGTGTCCTTTGGGTTTGTGGTCAATCCCAAGTTGGTCCAGCCTGGTATTCATGCCAACAGTAAGGTTCTTAAGCCTGAGGGGATGAGTATGGTTCAGGTTCAGGTTCAGGTTCAGGTTCAGGTTCAGGCTCAGGTCCAGGTCAAGACCATGCTGTGGCTAAGCAGTGGTGGTGCAAGTGGTGGCAACCCCAATGAAGATGAAGCAGATGAAGCAGAAGGAGCAGAATTGGCTTCTCAATTGTTCCAAATGGCAGCCAAGTATGGAATTACAGGAGGAGATGATTTAGCCTTGGAGGATGAAGAAGATGAGGAGGAAGAAGATGAAGATGAAGATGATGAAGAAGAAGTGAATATTCCCCAAGGAGCCATCAATGCTTTCCTAGGTTATGACACTGGAGATGTGGGAGAAAAACTAGCTGGCAATGTCAGTCTGACCGACAATCAGTTGTACTCGGAAGTCAAAGACAGAGTCCTAGATACGGCTGGAGGATTTGTGGAAATGGTCAGAGGACCCAGAGATGACGACGAGGAAGACGAAGATGGACCCTGGGGAGATGACAAACCCAAGGAATATATTCCTCCTATCCGAGTACCTGATGCCGAACTCACTGCTGGAGAAGTCGTTCTGCTCATTCTAGAAGCACTCAACAACAATGACAATCCATCTACAAACAGAGGAGTAGAAATACTTTTCGGATACGCAAGTCCAGGATCCACCATTCAAGAGGAACGCAAAATTGGACTCACCGAACAAGATTATGCTGACTTTCTGAAAGAATCAGAATACAAGGTGCTCTTTCAGCATGAAAAGGTCGTAAGTACAGATCAGAATACAATAGAGAAGGTACCGGTACATCAAATGATTCAATCTCATCCTATTTCTGCTGTTTTCTCTTTCTATTTATATTTGATTCGATTTTTTAAAATAAGACCATTGACAAGGGCGACTACTCGTTTGACGGAAACAAGGCATTCTTCACGGCGAGATTGCAAACTGGACCTAATCCTACCATGGATGTCGTGCCCGTAAACTTTATTCTTTCTTCCTCGGCCGGGTCCACCGATGAGTCGTGCTGGTTGGTTGATAGCATGTTGATCAGGCCGCAGGCCATGAGGAGGAGGAGACGAAAGTAGACACAAGCAACCAACTACAATACAAACGCACGAGGATACAATGTCATGCACATGCAGCAGGAAACTACAACTAACCACGAAACACGACAATCAATAAGCTATAGCTTTTTCTAATAATCAATCGAATGCATTCTCTGCTATATAGTTAGTTGTGTGCCTTGCTTGGAAAATCCATGTAGTTGCCTCTTTATAATCCATCGCTCTTTCATGATCCGTCCATGTAACTCGTTCCGTGCCTCGACGGCACTTCTTGCGTGCTCATGGCCTCACCTTCATCATTATTTTTGTTTGTTTCACTACTGAACCTGCTGCTGGAGTTCGTCAATCCATTCGCCCAAAATACGGGCCACTTCGATGCGACCTTCCACAATGTCCGGTTCTTCGGGACGGTCCTTGCAGCATTCGTTCAAATCACTGTGGTGGGCACCGGAAGGTAAGTTCAACGCAACAATGGTTTCACTCAAATCTTCCGTAAACGACAAGGGACTCCAGCCATCTTGCAAACCGTTCGTAAAGAGAATGTGAGAAGCACCGTGTTCCACCAACTTGTCAAAGTGCCAGTTGTCCACCATGCGGGTAGGTTGAGGATCCACTTGGAAACGGGCCTGACAATGCTCCGTCAACCAATCCAAGTCAAAGGGACGATCCAAAAACATGCTATTCGGACCAAAGCCAGTCTCAATAATGAGGTCCTTGCAGCATTGATATTCCCATGTGTTTGCAGTGTCGCCATCTCCCATGCCGGACCAGTCAGCTCCAGTGATGGTGGCGTTGGGACCGGATGGAATGTCCCAGTGCAAATCGTAACAAGGTTCTCCTGGATGGTCGGTGGCTCCCGATTCCGCCTTGACAACGAGCCAATTGGCCATTCGTTCCATGGGAGTCTTCTTGTCTTGTTGAAATGCATGACAGCCCTTGATGACATCTGTATTCTTGTCTCCTGGAGGGTGATAGTCCATGTTAAAGTCGGCATTGGAGAATCCAACCATCATGGTCAGTTCTTCCGCTAGAAGCTCACTCGTGGTAATGTATTCGGGAATGTTGTTGCAGATACCCAAGTCCTTGACGGCTTTGTGCATGGACATTCCCGAAATGGCTTGCTTGACTTGCAGCAGGGTGCTCTTGGTGGCAGCAGCACATCCCGGTGAGGCGGTTTCGGCCACTTGTGTCACATAGTCAAAGTAAACCTCGGTGGAACGAGCTTGCGCATAGAGCAAGAGCGGGGCACTGGATGCATAGGACATGTCCACGACTTCTGGGTACACGAATCGCATCATGGCCGACAAGAATCCAGGATAGGATGCTCCCACAGTAATGACGGGACAATACTCGGGGGAAGTACGGTCGGCACTGCATCCAATCTCGGCTTGAATGTGTCGGGTGATGCGGACAAAGTCTTTTAGCGCTTGATCGGGGGAGAGCAACTGTTTGAACTCGTCATTGGTGGGCAAGGCAGCAGCTCCGGCATCGGTGGGGATGGATGTTCCATAAAAGCGATGTTCTGTCTGAAGGACAAAGGCGCCAAACTTTCCGGCTAGAGTATCCTTGACAAAGGGATAAAAGACTTCGTCGACGGGTCCTTCTCCTCCCATGATGACAATCAATGGGTGTCCAGGTCCTTTGAAGTATTCACTGCTAATGTAGTATCGATTGGACCAAGTAGTAGTATCGGCACTGAAGTGATCCACGAGCTGGTCATTGAAGTAGCGTGGGATTTGCCATTCTTCAAGGGGCTTTTCTTCCTTTTTCTCCTCAGGCTTCTTGTCATGATGGTGTTTGGGTTCAGGTTCAGGTTCATGCTTGTGCTTGTGTCCATGCTTGTGTTTGTGCTTGTGATCGTCAAGTTCATGACGACTGCTTCCCCACAGTTGCACCTCCAAGTCCTCCTTGTTGAAGCTGGTGCTGTTGGAGGGAGAAGAAGAGGATGCAAGTGCCATGAAGGCCAGAACGGCCAATCCAACAAGAAAGATCTTGGCAGCTCGAGGAAGCGATGAAGCAAAACTGGCGCCAGGCTCTGAGGTATACTCACGGACAGAATCATCTCGTTGAAGCCGAGCTGTCTCGTGGTTGGCCAACTCTGTGTGGTTGGCCACTTGAGGTACACTTTGATAGCTCATTGGCAAGCTCATGGTCATTCTTGGCAGGTATTCTAGCTAGCTAGCTAACTAGTACGGTATTGTGCTTGTTCGATCGGCAACGAAGATTTGCTTGGTTGTATTTTGTGTGAACTCTCTTGGATTGTTTGGTTTTGGTTTGGTTTTTGGTATGGTATCCGGAAGGGTTGGTTTGCACTTGATGGCTGGAGGAGGTTCTACCAAGAAGATCTTGATTGAGACCACCTACGGTATGATAGCCAGGTAGCTAGCTAGCTAGCAAGAAATCTTGCGTCAGAAAGTCAAGTAGGAGTATACATGCTGCATGTCAACATGTCAACACACAGCAAACAAGCCAAGAGTTCGTCCAATCATTACTCTTCCTGAAGATGCATTTGCTTCGCCACAACCTCGCAGCATCATCCTTTGTGAGCCTTGCATTTTCGTCTGGGAAAATGTGAGGAGGTGATCGTCACTCAAGCTCACGTGGCTTTGGTCGGATGCACAATAAGCCTTTGAAATTGCAGACGGTACTGTTACTCCGAGTAAGCTTTGCCGGAAGCAGTTGGGAAAGATCCAACTCCGTTTGCAGATTTAATTCTCTCGTTTTATCCAAATACGTCTACGTATCTTTCCAATAAGGGTGACAAAACTAGAATGCCTCTTTTATCCAAGCTTGGCTTCAGTTCTCTGTTTTTGGTCCAACCATCGACGAAAGGGTTAAGGTGTTGTGCATGCATGCGTGCCACATTCGGAACCCTGAACAGCAAACAGCATTGGCCTCCACGGCAATCACTCTCACAATTCAATTCGACAGAAAGATCTCCGAAGTCTTCTGTCCATCAAGCAACCGATTCAATTGAGAGCAAAAGGAGTACGAGTAAGAGCCACAATGGGCTTCCTCGAACGGGATGGTGGAGAATATCCTAGAGAAGATAGAGAAGACATGGAAGGTTTGTTGGAAATGTGGTGTTTTGATGACAGAATTTCACCAGAATGAAAAACCAGCTCTGTGAACTCCACAACCCAAGAAAGCCTATTGATACAGTGCAAATTACGTACTTGGACGCCTCTACCTTTGCTGACTACCCACGCTACAAGCAAGAGCTTCTGGAGTTCTTCAAGATTCTCTTGTTTTTGGAGCCAGGCATCAGAGAGAGATAATTTTTGATGAGGTTCATCTTCCACTGGAAGTTTTCCATTTCATTCTGGCCAATGCCAAAGAGCTGGAAAATTTCAAAACTTCTCCAAGTTTGTACTGTCTCGATCAACAAGAAGCAGAGATGTCAATGCTGAAGCACCAACCCAGATGCAGTCAAACTTCCATTGGACCACTGTTTTTCCAAATTGGATTCTACCAGCTTGCCCCAATGCAGAAGAGATTTGCCTAGATCACGGAGACTGGCTCGTGCGTCCCCAACTTCATGAAGTAGGGATGAATGTCACAAAGTGCTTGCAGGCCAAGAACATCAAACGATTGATGGTCGGCGGCGAGGTGCTTCTCGGTGAAATGCCTGCTGGTATTTTCCAACCATTGGCAAGAATCCCAAGCACTCTGGAGGAGCTTCATCTCAGTATGCTTGACATCACTCCTTCTCTTTGCGAGGAGCACCTTGGGGAGTATATGAAACACCCATCACAGCGTGACCACCTTGGAGCCTGCACATCATTGTCAAAAATAACAATTCAAGCTTCTAGATTCCCCAACAATCAACAGACAGTCGTCGACATGTTCTCCAACGTTGCAGATGGCCTCAAGGTCAATCAGACCTTGGAAGAATTCACCATGACACTATACTGCTTTTCTGAAAACGCTGGATTGGCAGTCATGAACATGTTTGCTGAAGCCGCCAAGCACAACCGTTGCCTCAAAACGTTGAAAATTGACCCTTGGTTCCGTTGTCCCACCGGTACGGGGTGGGACTTTGTCCCTCTGGAATCATGTGATGCAGCCCGCCTGATTGAAATGTACACCAAGCTCAACCAGAATGGCCTCCTCGGCGTGCTACAGCGTGAAGAATGCAACAATGCCCATCTCTGGGCCCATGCTCTGGGCCTTTTTCTGGATGACCTGGACTGTAGTTTCGCGTTACTGCAGATAAATCCTGCATGTCTGTGCCAAACTGGGTCTCAGAATGAACGGTAAGACTCATCCTCGACATGTCTTGTTTGTCTTGGCTTGTCTCGTCTCTGACCATTTGCGAGTTCAGTACCCAGAATGGTCAGACTTTGACCTCTGATGTGGATCAGTTCCGTGATCAGGACATGGAAGCACTGCCAATGGCCAATCCCGTGCTCCGTCAAATCGGGTCTTTGAATGAGAGGTAAGACTGTCACTCATCGTTACGGCTGGACGTGTCTTTTTTGTTCCCCTTTTTCATTTCGAATCGCTTCGCGATTCCCTTCGGGCGACGGACTCCTACCTTCTTCGGTCGGAAGTGTGAACGCATGTGTCTGGGGCAAAGCTGGTTGGTTGTTGGCTGTCTCTCAGTCTCGCGGGACTGAGGGGAGAGCCACCAACGCTTGAGCTGAGCAGAACAGAGCCCCAGGAGAGACATGACACAGACTCGTGATTGAGTCTGGGAATGGACTCTCCTGACCACCTCGGAGCGGGCGGGCGGGGCAACCAAAGAGCAGTCTTGTTACACCGATAGAAGAGAGGTGGATCAAGACAAACAAACAATGGGCTCTGCACTCAAGGTTGGTGATCCTCGTGAAGAGCACTGGCTGGATGAATAGATTGGGGACTCTCGTCTTCCGTCATCCGTCTTGGCCAAGAGAATCGCTTCGCGATTCCCTTCGGCGACGGACTCCTACCTTCTTCGGTCGGAAGTGTGAACGCATGTGTCTGGGGCAAAGCTGGTTGGTTGTTGGCTGTCTCTCAGTCTCGCGGGACTGAGGGGAGAGCCACCAACGCTTGAGCTGAGCAGAACAGAGCCCCAGGAGAGACATGACACAGACTCGTGATTGAGTCTGGGAATGGACTCTCCTGACCACCACCCAGGCATGGGCCACCACACAAAGAAAAAACAGAGGTGGTTCAAGCCGAGCCCAGAGAAGCGAGGAGAAAGAAAAAAGCAGCAAAGAGACAGACAAAGGGGGGGAATGGAAGAGGCTTGCTTGGATAGAGTCAGTGCAACACTTAACTGATAGCCATGGATAGTGTCCCTAAGGGAAACTTGGTGGCGGACTGCCTTGAGAATGCAAAGATGCAACCAAAAAAGACAGTTAGTGGCAGTACATGAAGAAAGTATAAAATAAGAAATCAAGAAGATAAACTCAGCCAACAAGATCCAATGAATCAGCAGAGTCAATCCCTGTGCTTCATGGCAATCTGAAGAAACTCAGAAGGCTCAATTAGGATGGGATAGACAAATGATCCAAAAGGGGGTCCAACATGGGGAGGCAGTTCCTGTGCCAGAAAGGGCCCAGAAAAGGGGACCACGCACACCTGTATCGGCTGTGCTCGAAAAGGATCCAGAGATGGGACCCCGCGCAGGCGAGTTGGAATTTTTTGGCCCAAAGATGGAGCTCCGAATTTGTGGTCCTGAAAGGGACCAGAGATGGGGTCCCGACCTGTATCGGCTGTGCCGAAAGGGATCCAGAGATGGGACCCACACAGTCGAGTTGGAATTTTTTGGCCCAAAGATGGGGCTCCGAATTTGTGGTCCTGAAAGGGACCCAGAGATGGGGTCCCGACCTGTATTGACTGTGCCCGAAAGGGATCCAGAGATGGGACCCCACACAGTCGAGTTGGAATTTTTGGCCCAAAGATGGGGCTCCGAAGCCAGCAATGATAGGCCCAGAAAGGGGACCCCAACCAGGATCCAACTGTGCTTGGAAATGGGCTCAGAGAGGGGACCCTGCACAGTAGGCTGCTCCAAACAGATGGTTTGGAAATGGGCCTAGGAAGGGGGCCCTGCACAGCCAGTGGGGATCCAAAGGATTTGATTGCATTGGAGATGATTGTTGGAGTTTTGCCATTACCAAAGTAGTCGACTTCGTAGATGCGATTTTGGTTTTCATATAAGATTGATGTTGGATGATGGTTCCAGAAGGAGTGACAAAGTGGAATTGGAGTTGTTGGAATTGGAGTGCTGCCAATGACGGTGGCTAAGACGACCTCCTAGGGAATTAGAAATTGGCAGCTAATTGACAAACATGGTTGGATGGAGATGATGCCCAAAACGGACCCAATGATGATAGAGGCTTGCTGGCATGAATAGATTGATGAATGAGCACATCAAAGGAGATGACAGTGGTAACTGATGTGTTGGTTGCATAATGGCTCCATATAGCGAGATCCTAACTGGTGGCCAGGAGTAAGTGGCAGGGGAATGAGCAATGATGATTGAATGGCATGGTTGCCCCAGAGTGATTGGATGGATGGATGGAAAGATAGACTAGGAAGTGGATTGTTGAATAGATTGTTGGATTGAAGCATGGATGAATAATGGATGAACGTGATGTATGAACTGATGCATTCATTGGCTGTTGGAGTGAAGCATAGAGGGACTGTATATAGACTGAACTGGCAATACGGATGGTTGGACTGACTGATGGATCGTGCCCACACTGGGATATGCATGGATTGAATGACGGATGTATTGATGGATGAACTGATAACTGATGGGTCGATTGGTGGAGGGATTGGTGGATGGACTGCTGGATGGGGATCTTTGTTGCCACTGATGGATTAATAGGCTGGTGATGGGATAATGAAGTAGTGGATGGTCTGATGAATGGACTGCTGGGTTGCTAGGCTGTTGGAGTGATGTAGGATGAACTGATTGTTGGACGGATGGATTGATGTCTACACTGGTAGATACATGGATTGAATGGTGGATGGACTGATAACTGATTGGTAGTCTGATGGAAGGAAGGTAGTCTGATGGAATAATTAATTGATGGATGAGCTGAAGAATGGGCTGATGGATTGACTGACGGATGACTGCTTGATTGATTGGCTGATGCAGTGAATGATAGATAGGTTGTGGAAAGGATGTAGGGGCTGAAGGATGGGCTGATGGACTGTTGGATCCATAAAATGAGGGAATAAAGGATTGCTGGATGCCTAGATGGCTGGAAGAATGAAAAGGCTGGCATCAAAAAGAATGCACTGATGGATAAGCTGCTGGACTAAGGGAACAATAGGTGGGAGGATGGATGGGCTAATGTCAGATGGACTGATGGATAGTGAATTGATGGGTTTGTAAAGGAATGGGCTTATTGAGTGACTGATGGATGGGGGGACTGATGTGTTGGCTGATAAATGGGCTGATGAGTTGATGGATTGATAGGCAGACTGATTAATGGGCTCATGAATTGCTATGTGGGTGTGGAGATTGATGGAAGGATGTATGTGGTGATAGGTAACCTAACGGATGGGTGGATGGATGGATGGGATGATGATGGACTGCTGGTTGTTGGTTGATGGGCTGATGCAACATAAATGATGGGTGGGTGCGGAGAGGATGGATGGGCTGCTGGCTGGTGCAGAGTGGATTGATGGCTAAGCAAATGGACTGATGGGCTGATGGGATAATGGATTGAAAGATGGGCTAATGAACTGCTGGATTGCTGGTTGGATGTATTGCTAGAAGGCTGGAGAGGCTGGGATCCAAAGAGACTGATGAATATGCTACTGGGCTGATGGATAGATTGCTGGGAGAATCTATGGGCTGATTTCCAGAAGGAATGATGCATATTAGAGTGATGGCTGATGGATAGGCTTGTTGGTGGATGATGGGGTGATATGTGGACTGATGTGTGAACTGATAGATGAAATAATGAGTTGACGGATTGAAGTGCTTGTGGGCTTGCTTATGTGTGATGTATTGGTTGATGATCTGATGAATGAGTGATGGATGGCTCTCAAAATTTATGTGCCAATTGATGGAATTATGGAGTGCCTAAGTTGTGTTGAAATGGCAGGATGAATGAATGGCTCAGTCAATCGCTAAATGACTGGGTGATCGAAAGACTGGATGAATAATTGGCTGGAGGGGTTGAGAGCATGGATGATTGGAGGATAGAACGACGTGATGGCATTGAGAACGATGCTGTATGATGGTCCTAGGGAGAGTGGTCGATTTGGAGTTTGATTGTGGCCAAAGACGATAGTGGGTCCCAACGATAGTGGGTCCCAAGGAATGAGAAGTGAACAGCTGATTGTGCAAATTTTGCCGTCACAGTAGTAATAGTAGAAAAGATTTGATAGCATTGGGAATTATGGCTGGGATTTGCCGTCATGGGAGGAGTGGGCGGTAGAAGGAATTTGTTTTTTTCATAGAATTGATATGGAATGACCGCCCCAGAAGGGAGTGACGATTTGGAGTTGGAGTGCTGCCAATGACGGTGGTACCGGTATTACTTCTTGAGGAATTTGAATTTGAGGACGGTCTAATTCTGTACACCGAGATCGCGTCCTGGTAGTAGTGGTAGAAAGCAATCAGATGCATTGGAAAATGGATGATGTTTTCGGAAGAGAGTGGTCGATTTGTAGTTTTTGACTGTGACAAGACGGGATACGATAGTATGTGTGCCGGGCCGGGGATTTTCCATTATAGTAGTACAGTAGTGACCAGAAGAAAGGGATTTTGATGGTATTGGGAAATTGACACTGAAGAAGGGAGTGCCGGGGTGGAGTTGGAGTGCTGACAATCGATGCTGGTAGTACCTCCCGAGGAAATAGAAATTTATTGACTACTGGTTGTGTAGAAATTGGCTGTCACGGTAGTAGTAGTAGAGACAGGTTATCGTGGAAGTGGGAAGGATTCTGAATTATGGTCCCATTTGGGGTTGAAATGCTGCCAATGACGTAGTAGTGACGGTACTCGAGAAATTGATTGGTCGCTAATGGATTGGTCGGTTGTGGAAGTAGTGATCGCTGCCACTACAAGGAAAAATTCCACGGAGATTGCAAATAGATTGAGTGGAGTTAATGGGAGAGTGGTACACTGGAGTTTTTCCCAGGGGTGGGTTCGGTTGGATTGATCCCAATGACGGGATGTACTTCTTTGCTCGCTGGATTGATGGGAGAGAAAAAGAAAAGGGCCGAGGAGAAGAAACACAGCGACGGCAGTGGGATTGATGTAGATGGTAGACAGCTACTAATGATGGTGTCTATTAGCTATCAAGGCAATTACACTGATGGAAGCAACCAAAGAGCAGTCTTGTTACACCGATAGAAGAGAGGTGGATCAAGACAAACAAAACAATGGGCTCTGCGACTCAAGGTTGGTGATCCTCGTGGAAGAGCACTGGCTGGATGAATCAGATTGGGGACTCTCGTCTGTCCGTCATCCGTCTTGGCCAGAGTCGTCGTCACTAACCATCTCTGAGTTCAGTACCGGTACTGAGAATGATCAGACTTTGAACAGTGATGTGGAACATCGCTTGGGACGACAGACACTCCTCACTCGTTTGGTTGGGATTATGTGGAAGATGCTCAGGGGCGCTTTTGAAATCTTGGTTTTGCTCTTGTCGGTGTTTATCTGTTTCATATTTACCTTGGATCCCGTTCGAACCACTCAGGCTTCGCTCGGACGGGAGTGAGCAGCTCCGATCATGGTTCATCAGTGAGCATCACCATGAACCGATGCTCACTCTTTTGGTGGTTCTTGATGGCGGATGCTATTTGATCTTCTTTTGGTTCCTCCACTTTGTTCTTGTTGTGTGGCCGGTGCGATTGGATTCGATTCATATTTTGGGAAACTGGAATCGAAGCACCGACACCCACTTTTGGGGAAGGCGTTGATGGTAATGGGCTACCAAGGCGCGACGTTTTGCTGATCCATCCTTGGATACTTGGTTGGATCTGTTTAGCAACAATAATGTTTTATATTTTAGTGACACGTATTGATACAATGGCTCTGCTATCCCTAATGTCATGTACTGTATAGGTTTTGGTTTCGTCGCTTCAAAACGGTCCCCGGCACCACCATTGCTCAGTCATTCCAACACAGGAATGAATCGAATCATCAACCAAACTCTAGGAAATGCCAACGGATGGATGAATCCATAGTAGGATCCACTCGAGATCTCTCGTGTATTGTCGTCTTGGCTCCTGTTGCCATTGCCTTTGGGCTGGAGATACCCGGAGCCTTGGTTTCGCAAAAGAGAGTTCAGTTGATTGGACTGTAACAGGATTCCTCGAGATGCCGCACCTCCTCCTGTCGACTGATTTTGTTCAGGCTGGCTGGAGTTGCTCAGGCTTGTCTTCAACTTAAAACCCAAACTGGTACAGTAGTGTACGATTTCACGAGGCGACCGGAGCCACACTCACTCAACCAAAGTCAGGATTATATCACAGAGTAACTCACCCCGCTCTCGCCTAAGTAACTTTCTGTTTTCGTCCACCTGACTAAAACATGTTTTCGTCGCCTTGACTAAAACTAACATTGACCATCCTTCCCAAATCATGTTTTAGTCAACAAGTCTAAAACCTGTTTTAAACCTAAAGACCGAAACATGTTTTAGTCCGTAAGGCGAAAACAATTCGGCGCTCGTTCACGTGCGTTATGCCAGCGAAATGGTCATAATTTCATTTGGATTTGGATTCACTCCACAAATCAACCCACATCCACAACAAGAACAACCTCCCACTCCATCCACAGCCAAATCTCCACATCTATCCCCCCTCTGCACTCCCCACAGCCCAAGAAGACACACAGAGAGTCTCCTTACCATCACTACTACTACTCCAGCACAGATCTCTAGCTGGAAAGAGCCCAAACACAAGGAACAAGCCTGTAAGTGCCCGGTGCAGTTTGTGACACGTTTTCGTCGTACCGACCAAATCATGTTTTCGTCGTACCGACCAAATCATGTTTTCGTCGTGTTGGTTAAAACATGTTTTCGTCGTGTGGGTTGAAACATGTTTTCGTCGTGTGGGCTAAAACATGTTTTCATCGTGTGGAATAAAACATGTTTTCGTCGTGTGGGTTAAAACATGTTTTCATCGTGTGGGTTAAAACATGTTTTCGTCGTGCTGACCAAATCTTGTTTTAGTCGTCCCTACCAAAACATTGATGCCTGTGATTATCTTAATGTTGAGGAATATTTCTTGAGTCTCCTGATCCTCATTGTTGACTCATACTCTTTCTCTTTTCTCTTCCTGTTCATTAGACTGACTGCCTATTGACATTATGTCTACTTCAAAGAAGGGCAAGGGTAGTCGTGGCAAGCAGAACAAGTCTCCACAGGCAAAGTCCAGTGAGAAGTCCGCCAGTCAGAAGGCTACCATTCTTGAAAAGAAAAGGAAGAATGTTATTGGTGCATCCTATGCCACTCATTGCTACATGATCGGAGATCAATTGATCCCATTCAAATGGTACTTTGATGATGTGCCAGCACCTCAGCTTTATCCTCCCGAAGAACCCATGCCCGAACGTGGTGCTGTTGACAATGGCGAGAGACAAGAGACGAAGTACACCCAGTTCCTGAACCACAGCAACGCTTCCTTCTATCACCGATATTGTTTATTGGAAATAGCAAACCCCAATACTTGTGCGGTGTTCGAGCAGAGATATGGACAACATGACTGTTGTCCTTGTACAGATCAGCGGCTTTGCTGTTTGCGTTCTCTTTTCCTTGGTAAGCGATCTTGTCTCGAGGACTGCTGGATAGGTTTGATTGAGTTGTTTTGTTTGTTGATGTTGCCTCGAAGCGTGTTGTGTGTGCTGCTGAAAAAACATGTTTTGGTCTCAGAAAGAAACAAGGTAAGCGAAACTTTGACAGAAAGAAAGAGGAGCCAAGCCAAATTTTCAAGTCTTTCTGACCTGTTTCTGTGTTTTGGTCATCTGGACTAAATCATGTTTTCGTAATTGGGAATAAAACGCGTAATAGTCATTAAGGTTAAAACAAGTTTTAGTAAATCGGAATAAAACGTGATTTAGTAAATCGGAATAAAACGTGTTTTAGTCATTAGGACCAAAACATCAGTTGGGTTTGCAAAAGGTACACATTACTAGTACACATTACACATTCGATCGATCATGGCCTTCAAAGGACGACAAAGAGGTTACTACTGTATGGGTTAGAAGGGACTATCGGTGCCGTACCGGTATGGGTCCATGGGAAGGGACTCCTCCATGGACGGAACCGATGCCGTAAGATAGGTCTAATAGCTCTAGCTATAGACAGCTATGGGTGCATCTCATGCTTATGATGTCATCTGAGGATTGATGATGTCATCAGTCATGCATCGGATCTTTCCAAACAAGATCCAATCTGCTTCCAAAGGTTTAGAGGGTGATTTGTCCACGGTGAGAATTGAATTTGTTTGTCCTCGTCTTCCATTGGAAAGATCCATTATTTGCCAACCTTGTATTGTCTCAATGAGGACGAAGCCAAGCAGACATTGCTCCAGCTAACCAATTCTTCTACTACATGCACCTGCAAGCACATTGAGTTTGCTCTTGCGGGAAGATTTTTCTACCTTCATCCAAATGGTCACCAACACGGTGCTCCCAGCTTTCCCAAATGTGGAACACCAAACAATCACAGACTGCTTGCAGGCCAAGCACATCAAGAAACTGATGATCTATTGATGTGAAATGCCTGCTGATCTTTTCGGACCATTGTTCGGATCATTGGCTCGGGTCCCGAGCACTCTTGAGGAGCTCCATCTTGTCATGGATCACTGCACCCCTCTTTTGCCAAGGAGCCAAAATCACTATTCGTGCTCACCAATTCTCCAACGACATTCAGGACGAACAGACTGTCCACAAAGTCCACAACATGTTCTCTGATATTGCAGATGGCATTAATTAAAGTCAACCAGACAATGAAAGAATTCACACTGACATTTATCAAGAGTCCTCAAAACTTACAAAAAATTTGGAGAGACAGCCATGAAAATCCTTGCTGAGGCATGCAATCAAGCACAACCGCTGCCTCACCAAGTGTGATTTCATGTTTGAGGATCCAAAATCCAATCTCACCTGGTTTGATTGGATTTTTCTCAATCCAAAACCCTGCGATGGAGCCCGTATCATCGGTGGCCTCCTCTCCGAGCTAGAGCATGACCACAACAATCACCATCTTTGGACTCATGCTCTGGGCCTCTTTCGAAATGACCGGGACTGTCACTTTGTGTTGATGCGGAGCAATCCTGCGCTCTGCCTTTCGTACAATGATGTGAAACAGGTGGAACTCAACCGTGATGGGAAACAGTTCTATCGCAAGGAACAGATGCTGGCTCTTTTGGTGGTTCTTGTGGGAATTGCAATGGTGTGGATGAAGTGTGCAGGTTTTTCTTTTTCTTCCCCCTTTGGGTTGTGTGCACATGTCGGATGCCATATGAAATGTCGTGAACGGGGGATCGCGCGCTATGAGCACTGACACCCACTCTTCGCTGGCGCACTTTTTGGGCTGGGTTGGGAATGGTGTAGACTCCCCCTTTTGCTGATCCATCTTTGGTGGATCTGTTTAGCAGCAAATAAATGTTTCAGATTTAGTGACCAACATTACAATACCGTACGATGGCTCTGGCTCTGTTCTTCCTACTGTACAGGTTTTGGGTTTTGGTTCTGTTGCTTTGGATTAGTGCTTGTGCTCGCTCGGCTATGGTCTGTCTATCACGGCGAAAGAGCACGAGCACCCAAACCCAGCCACCAGCGTACAAAGTGTCATTGCAGGTAGAACAGTTAGTTTTTATTTATTGTTACTAGTATAGTTATCCAAAAGGCCTCCAACCTTTGACCGCACCATGAGCGCCGCCGAGGACTCCTCCTCGCGCGATGCCTCTCTTCATGCCATTGACTCCGCCAAATACCATCCCAGCGGCACCGTGCACCACGGCGCCACGAGCAGCATGATTTCCAATGTCCTGGCCTTTTGTGGGTTGCTGATGATTTTGGTGAGAAGCGCGTTGTTGTTGCCTCATCTCCTGCACCCGATATTTGGTTTCCTGGGCAGAACTCTTGGCGAATTCTCCTGCCTTTTTCGTTCCTGCGGCGACGCCATGGACAGCACTTCTACCCGCATTTCGAATGCCCGAACCAAAGGCGGATAAGCCACTCGAAACTGGCTTGGTCTGTTCTGGGGGCGAATCTTGCGATGCCCAAGAATCTCCGGCCGATCCACCCATCATTGGGCCCGAAAACCCGTCATTGATGTTGTCATCTGCGTTGTAGTCCCACTTGTACGCCGAGACGGCAGGGTCGTCGGCAACAGGGAATGCATAAGCTACGGGAGGTTCTGGTTGTTGGTGCAAAACCAGATAGGATTGAGGGCACCACCCCCTCCTCTTGCCTACGGTGTGGGCGCCCCAAACCCAGCCGTCCGATTGCTTGGCGGTGTCGACGCAGATGATGTCGCCTGCGTCGAAGCTCAGCTGGGAGGTACTGGCGTCCCCACGGAAGGGATAGGCTGCCTGGAACCTGACGAGTTGTTGTTGTGACATTGGTTTAGACATGAGACCGTTTCGGTAGAATGAAAAAGTGAGAAGGAACCCAGACAGCAGAGTGGCGGATGCAGGATAGGATCACGGCCTCGCGAGTGGAGTTGCGGGGAATGGGCTTTCCCTGCACATTGTTTGGGTCAAACTGCTAGTTAGAGCTAATCTTCCACTTTGAGTCATGCTTCCAGATTGTGTTATTCTTCCAGATTATGTCATTCTTCCAGATTACGTCATCTGGTACTTATTCCTACGCGTTTTCACGTATAGCCTTCCAGATTGTGTCATTCTTCCAGATTGTGTCATTCTTCCGGATTGTGTCATTCTACTATTTTCAGTCATTCTTCCAAAACAAAACACTGAGAACCTGGCAAACTGTTAATACACGTATTCCCGCAACTCCAGTCTTGTGGCCTATAGCGATGAGCGATGAGTCGAGTCGTTGCGACGCTCGGCTGTACGGAAGTGGTTGCGTGGAGTGTGTGACAGTCCTAGCCACAAGGAAACTCATCCGCAGACAAGCTACCCAAGCTCCTTCTGGTTGACTGGGGGATGGAGAAAATCAATGCCAATCCATGCCCACCACTGCTCTCAGTCATGGGATAACTACCAACCACTGTCAACCACTGTCAACCACTGTTTCGCGAAACAGTGGTGTCTTTCAACATGGCATACCAGTGTCTTACCACTGTTTACCATTATCTTTACAACTGTTTTGGCACTGTTTACCACTCTTTACCACTGTCAAAAAAGGTAGTGGTTGACAGTGCCACTGTTTACCACTGTCTACCACTGTCTTGGTCATGGTTTACCTTGGATGACACTGGATTTCTCCACCCCCCTGGAGTGAGCTCTGAGCTCGACTATCACTCGCAAATGCATATCAAAACATCAAAACCAAGACAGCCAGGAACACACGACAGGAGTCGAGTCGCGGGTCGTGAATCTGGAAACACACAAGAAAGATTTTCACGATGCAAAAGATCTATTAGCGAGTCTACTGGCTTATTCACAGGCCCCGTACGTGTCATGACAAAGAAACCCAGCCAAATCACGTGCAATGTACCAGTATACCTGCCACCATTGCATGCATGTTGTGTGCAATCAACCTTTTTGCTGAACTCTTACTCAACACGGTTCAGTTTGTTTTTATGGGGGGTTTTAGAGTAGGGAATTGCTGGCTTTCTCCTCAAGCTACCTATAGCTACCCTTGAATGAGGATGATACGGTATAGTATTCCTTTCTTCTTTCTTCCTGTCTTCTGCCCAGCAAATGGCTTTTTACTCCTGATTCTTTTGGTTTCGTTGTCTCTTTGCCGGTTCGTTGACTTAAACATGGCGTGCGTGGTCGCATCCTTCGTTCTTGTGCCCCGTTCTTGCACCGTTCCATTTTTGTTTGAGCTGAAGGCATGCATTCCAAACTACCCAAGATCAAGAATTGAAACCTCAAGAATCGAAACTCAACCAGGGTTGTTGCCTCTCTGATTGCTAGAATGTGCTAGGGTCTGTGACTTTTAACTAGCTAGCTGCTAGATTTGGATGATGGCTCACATGGGAGGGGATTAGATGGGCCACAAGGTTTTAAGTGATGGAGTCAAGTCGAGTCATTTGCAGAGGTGCTATTACTTGTGGGGGGGGGGGGACATGTTGGTTACAATCCAGTTTTCATTCGGTGCATTCCTTCCACTTTCGTCCAGTTGGGTCAGGTCTTCTTTCACTGTGTTCGTTTGGGTCTCGTGGCTTCTGCTGGCTACCGTAGGGTTTGGGCAGTAGGTTCGATGCGGATAGAACGTGTCATGATCATGTTCTGTTCTCTGAGCTGCCCCCATCAAGTTTGAGTAATCTGTTGGATGCGAGAAAAACAATAGTAGAAAGAAGGACGCATTGTCGATTCACAATCAAGTGTATCCCAGGCCCTCCCCTTTTAGGCTGCATCCTGTGGTCGCGTCTCTTCGTCATTTGCTGCCTAGTTGCAGTTGTGCTGCCTTTCCACGAGAAGAGGTTGCCGTTCTTGCGCATCGTTTGCAGCTGATGTAACTGGACCGGATGTCGCAGTATTTGAAATTCTGCTGGTCTGTCGTGGTCGTCTTGGTGGCTGCAGCAGGAGTAACAATGCAAAGATAGCCAATCCCATGATTTCGCCGACACAGGTTGCCAAAAATGTGCCACGATATCCCCAGTAATCGGAGAGGTATCCTCCAATAATGGCAGTGGCCGATTGATGCAATCCGGACAGAGATCCATTGAGAGACATCCACCGTGCACGCTGATTTCGTGGCAAGGAATCTGCCAAGAGTGCTTCCTCCAATGGATGAATGGAGTCTCCAAAGGAGCTGCTCAATATATGCAGAATCATGAGTATTCCAAATCTGTTGCTTCGTACATTGAAAATGGGGATGATTGCAAACACCGAGACGGAACAGGTGCTGAGCAAAACAATGGTTTGTATTCTTCCAAGTTTTCTGGCAATGCGTTCTGCCCACCATGTCATGGCCGCAATAAACAGTGGTTCGATGGCGTAGAGAATCTGAACTTGCGTGGGTGACAGCCCACAATCGTCTTTGAGGAAAAGCGGGAAGTATGCATCGGAGAGTCCCATGGCCCCCGCTGACACGACCTCGGAAATGAGTAGAATGTAGGGAATGGTCCACTGGTATTGTTCTCGCATTGTGAGAGATTCTGGTTGGGTAGTTGGTGGTGACGGTGTAGCTGGTGTTGCTGGAACATCAACCTCGTTTTGGACTTCTTCTGCTTCGTCTTCAGCCACGCCACTACTACTGCTCTCACTTTCGCTTTCGCTTTGACTTTCCTCGCTGCTGCTGCTACTGCCACTGCTTTCTTCCTGATTGTTGTTGTTTGTGTTTGTGTTTGTGATTGATTGTTCTACGAGTGCCTTGTCATCATCAAAGAACATCATGATGATGGAGTTGCAGGCCTCCATGGCTAGACCAACGTATATAATGATGACAATGGCCCTCATGTTCCAATTTTGGCCTTCCTCCTCATCTGGATCTAGTGCATCAATTGCATGTACTGTATTCATATCAATGCCAAATTGCGTCGTGTTGTTGTTGCTGTTGTGTTGGTGGTTACTGTTGCTTGAGACCGAATGAAAAATGATGAGGGATAGGAGAGGTCCCAGAACTGTTGCCAGCAGGTTAATGATTTCGAGGTACGTGTAGTACTTGGTCCTCCGTCCGGGTGGCGTGGAATCGGCAAAGAGAGCTTCACAGGGCCCATCGACAATTCCGGCTCCAATTCCCCAAAGCGACATGATAATGACAAGTAGCACAGTAGTGGTGTGGGATGAGTTGGAAGACGAATGGTCAATCCAGTAGGTCGTGACTGCATGGAATATGGATGTGACGAGAAAGAGTGCGGCTCCTGCTCGAATGATTTTTGCTTTTCCGTGTGTATCTGCCAGATACCCAATAGGCACTGCAAATACAAGTTCGGCAATGCTGTACACGGCTTCGATAATTCCGAGTGGGGCATTTCTGCCCTTGTATAGTTGCTTGCAATATGCGGCAAAGACGGCTCCTCCCCACAATCCTTCACTAATTCCGTAAGTGATCATGAGAACGAAATTCCAAAAGACATTGTGGTTGAGGCGGAGCACCTGACGGTCGTCTCTTCTCGTACTAGTATCATTCGTATCATCCACCTGCGAGGACCGTCGTCTTCGTCGCCTTCGACTCCCACAGGGCATGGGAAAGCAAGATCGAATCACGATATCCTTGTCTTCCACTGACAAAAGGTCCAAGCTCAGTAGAGAGCGACTGCTCCAAGGCGGAGAGACCGTTCCGTTGGTACCAGTAGAAGAGTTCGCAGCAGTAGCATTGGTCGATCTCTGCGGGGTAGTCCCGTTTTGCAGTGTGTTCGGAATCTCAACGTCATTGGTCGACAAAAGAGGCTCCGATAATCCAGCATTGACATGAGTTGGCTCCACCATGGTCACCTCTTTTCTTTCTTCTTCTCTATGCAGTAGTTCCTACACGATTTCTCTACTAAACTTTTCTCGAGAAGAACCGAAAAAACACGCACGGGAAAGTGAGTTTCAGTTTTCAGGTCGTCTATATGGGAGACACCTTCAAAGTAGAGTCGAGTCAGCCGCTTGCTCTCCACTTACTGGTACCACTTAGCAATGGTAGGGCTCTACCAATGGCTTTGCGCTGTTGATCGATTAGATCAGTGGCTTTGGTCTTTCCTTTTAAGTTCTTCTTCCGTCGATTGGATTGAGGTGCTCTTTGGATCGATCGTCCAACGGCCATGCATTGTTGGTCGCAGGTTTGAACGTACGTGCACTGCCTTTCGAACAATTGAAGCCAGTGTGGGCTGTGTAAACAAGTCATGCGTTAATTGTTGGCATTGAATGTGTCATGCTCTTGACTTGGACGGCAGATGCGGGTGCTGTCACTGCAAGCCACCAGTAGGAGCCAACCCAGTCAGTCTCCTCTCATTGCTCTGAGCAGCCAACAGGAAAATTACCATGGGCCTCTTCACAAGATACCCCATTCTACATGTAGCACCATCCCACCAACTGATCCCCAACTGATATGAGCGCAAGGAGGGACTGGCTAAGTAAAGTCTTACTCTGAGCACGAACTCTAGCACTTCCGTTGCAACCTTTGTGGTGGACAATGATGATGCCTCAGGCTGTCGATCATTGCCGTATTGGTTGAATTTGAGCCGACAGGCTGGTCTAAATGTGGTTTTTCAAAAGATGCAAACGGACTTTCCCAAGGACATCTTTCCAGTTCCAATGCTCGCATTGACAAAACACTTGTCAGCTACTATCTGACTTACGTAGTACTAGTACCGGTATGCGAATGCGCCGGCAATGACACTGCCATACTGGAAAGAGTAATCCAAGACAAGCGACTTGACTTCGACAAGCAACAATGGATTGGCATCGCCTTCAAGGAGCCCAGGTGAGTTCTCGTGCTCTCCCAGTTTTTGACGACAGACTGCATAAGGAAGCCAGCTTCAATGGAGTTAGTGTTAGTCTGAGTATACCTGGCGAGAAGCAACACAAAAGGTGGGATATCTGTTCTCTTGTGGTGGTCATCAGTGCATACGGTCAGCCTCGATCCTGACCCAAGCCACAGCAAATCATCGCAGCTGTCAGATCCTCAGTGTAGGTTGGAGCACATGTCCGTCGGATTGTCACGATAGATCCGACGGAAAGTCGGAGCACCGCAGCAGAGAAGCCAGGGCAATCCGGGACATGACTACGTGGCACACGGGAGCCATCTGAAGAGTGGTTGATCAGAACACTGTACAGCGCTTCGCTTCTACATGTATCATACATGTATCATGCCGTCTTCCATTTGGGCATCTTCGCTGTTGTGATAAATTCGATGTCGTTGCTGTGAATTGGAAGTATGGTTGTTGCGTATGCGATTGGTCCAATCAGGACACGTTTTCATAAATAGCAACAGTTGTTGCTTCCGGTCTTCCTCCACTGGTTGCATCGATAGGCCTTCAGTTCAAGGAGAGAGATGCATCATATATCCCAGAAATCAGACTGAGTGTGAGCGTTTTAGATGCCCTGCGGCTTGGGTGTTCTCGATATGCTCGAAACGCTCTTTGGATTATCAAGGCAGCTTCGTGTTCATCTTCTTGGGGTCTAATTTCCAACTCTGGGATTCGTTGTTCGGTGTTGGACGTCTCACTGTCGTCAAGCTTTCTTCTCGAAACACGACCTAGGAAAGGGCGTCGTTCCACATCAACGTTCTTTTCACCAAGTTGCTTTCCTCTCGAGAAGCGGCTCGGCTTTCGTTGCCCATTGTCGCTATTTGCCTCACTCGCCAGTTTACTCCTTGAGTCGTTTTGCTCACTTATCAGCCTGCTCCTGGAGTAACGGCTCCCCTTTGAGGCGCGGGCCAGGAAAGGGCTTCGTTCTACTCCCGAATCACCTCCATCCACTACCCTTCTCCTTCCGTCATTGTGGTCGCTTCCGCCCATGAGGTTTGAGGCTCGACCCACCCCATTGGACACTTCACTTTTGTAACTGCTGTCCGTCATGGAGAAGCGCGTGGTCAGAGTGGACGTGGACGACCTTTTTAGGGCACTCTTCAGAGGGTTGGTAATTGATCGCTTCAGCGGGGCCACGGCCACTTCTACATCGCTTGTTGTTGATATGTCCATTGGGTTTGCCATTGGGTCAGTCAAGGCTCTCCTAACTGACTGGTCTGTGTCCATTCCAAGATCACCAGAGTTTCCAAAGAAGGTAGATTGATACTTTCGGAAACGTGGACGCGGGGGCATTCTGCTCCTGAAAGAGTCTTCATTGGTATCATCAGAACGGAAAGAGCTTGTTCGCATCGGACCCGTAACTGTTCTTTTCAGCGGCTCCACGGGTACTTCGAATTCGGAGCCGGTGTTGGAATCTCCAAAGTAGGTGGATTGATACTTGCGTAGGGTTGGTCGCAACCGGGCTCTGTCAGAGTTCTCTCTCGTGGACATTTCATTACGAAAGAGGGTGGCTCTCCTGGAATATGAATCTTGAGGGTCCGGGGCCACAGTACTTTCGTCCTCAGTTTGCAAACGCTCTCCTTTCGCGAAGCGCCTGTTGAATTCTTCTAGATTTTTTAGATAAACACCACCATCTGTGGAGCTGCTGTGTTCATCCTCGTCGCTGCTGTAATAACTTCGTGCCAGTAGCAGAGCCTTCCGTCGAGACTGACGGCTGAGTTTCGATTTCTCATATCTCTGTGCCATTTTTTGTTTGAAAAGCTCTCGATCTCTTCGTCCAAGGTAACCCGAAAGCACAACGAGTATCGCGCCCAGGTATGAGAGAATCCACAGCCCGTCTCCCCACTGGATGAGCAGTAATGAACATCTTAGTAAGAAACACGTCAATCCAATGAAAGGTACTGCTGCAACCCGTATCGCTACTTACGTAGATGGACAGGGAAAAGCAGAACAGGCCAAATACAATTGGAGTGACCACTTTCCCAAGTCTGTTGGAGAAAGCAAGGAGAAATATATGTGAGAGAGTGGTGAAGGGACGAATGATCAACCAGAGAATGAGAATAGAAGTTTCCTTCGTTGTGCACGGATATCTGGGCTTTTTAAACTGCCGTTTGCCTCCCTTTGCCTTACCTATCGCCCCACCCCAACTCGTTGTCGTTCTTTGCTGTTTTGATTCGGCCATAACTGGACTCGTAGGTTGTGATTAAGAATCCCATAAATTGAAAGACCAAAGATACGAGCAAGAATAAATCCAGGAGGGTGAACGCATTGCCAACTTCTGCCACCATGGTATCCCGAAGGGCCAGAGCGGCCAAGATTGTCGTAATAGCCATGCCTCCCCTATCGAGATTGATGGAGCCCGTTCGAGTTGGAATCCAATGCTGGGCAAAAGAGATCGTGTTGAGTAGAAAGGATGGGACAATGATGCTGAGGACTGTGAACAATGGATCCCGATCCATGTCAACCCGATATTTGATTGTCTCGTATCCATCTCCTTTGACAACGGAAACGTCGGAAGGTCCCTGAAACCAATCGTTGTTCGACACCACGATTTCCAAGTCGTCCTCGTTGGCCACAAGCGTGACCTCTGTCACCGAATAGGATGTCTTGATTGATTGAATACGAGTGGCGTTGTTAGGAACGTAGTTAGCAACGAGGATATGCTACGAGAATACGAATCGATCGAACGATCAGAGCAGATTTTCGTAATCTTACCAAATCGATACCACAATTCTGCGGATCAAAGGGGAATTTCAAAATTTCATCCTCGATAGTACTGCAATGAAATTCTCCTGCGAATACCAGTGAATAGGAATAGTAACATCAACACACAACGTTCAGTGCCTGCATGGACCATGGAGCATTCGTTTTCGTTTCGACTAGCTAGATTTGGTTTGGTTTGGGTTTTTGCTCACCTGTATTGACCGTTTGTTTCCACAATACGGTTCCGTCGGGATAGAGTGTGGTTTGTATATCGGTCATGGGTACGGTGACGCCCGATTTGAGTAGATTGCTGAGTGTAACGACGGGACTCCATATTTTGTCGATACTTAGGTGGATGTATTCGATATTTGGGTAGACGGTTTGACTCCATGCGAGTCTGGTATCGACCCATGTCATGACGAGTACGCCTTGTGCGAGGATGGAACTGGCGCCCGTGTATAGTTCGAGTACGTTTGTTTCTACCATTCTGGCTCGTACGGGCGTGGGTGTTCCCGCAGGATTGGGTGGTCGTACCGCTCTGTTGTAAAGTTGGAGTCTTTCTCGGAGCAAGAGTGACGATTGATCCTTGACTTCTAGGTTGACAGGTGTGGATACCGTGCTGCTGAGTTGAGTGGTGAGGTCTTGCCATACGGCAGCCTGGATCATGTTGTAATCGTCTAGAGTGCATGTGGCGTCGGGCGAGAGTGAGCAGTTTGTGGGTGCTCCAAAGTCTGCGGCTCCATTGGCCTTGTCACTGAGTAGATTTGTGAGTGTGTGTATGAGTCCAGTGGGAGGTATTTGATCGACCGTGGCAAACATGGCCCCCGTTTGTAGGAGTGGCCACGTGTAGGGGTTGGCATCGTATCCCGCAACGAGCAATCTCCTATCTGGTTGCATTTCTCTGGCTGCTACGAGTGCACCAAGCGCCATGTCATCATTAGCTGCAATGACAGCATCGATGGAAGCATCTCTAAAGAAAATGGGTGACATGATTTTGGCAGCGGTTTGAGCACTCCATCCGGCATGGTATGAGTACTTAATGGTGTGGTTATCGTGAGCACAATACTCTTGCAATCCATCCGTAAAACTTTGGATTCGTATGGTGGAGTGTGCAGCTTCCTCTGGTCCATATAAAACGGCAATGTTGGCAGGTGCAATGGATGCTCCAATGCGGCAGAATTCTCTTGCCACCTGATTTCCCCCATGAGCATTGTCTGGAAAGAGTTCTGTGGATTGAATATTGCTGGCTGTGCGATCGATTCCTATAATACCAAAATAAGTGTGAGATGGAGCTGAGCGTAAGAGTATTGTAACTCTCGATGCGACTTGATCGTCGACTGCTCGTTGTCGGACCCAATTTCAATACTCAGACAGCCTAAGTCCAGCCTAAGTTCAGCTTAAGTCCAACTTAAGTCCAACATGAAACTCACCCAATGCTTCATAGTCCGGCTCTGCCTCCAGAAACCACCCCTTGACTCCCGCCATGAGCATCATGAGGTACTTGTCCCCGGGATTGACTTGTCGGCACAAGTCTTGATTGTCGCAGTGATTCCTGGTAAGGAGTGACGCCACCACATGAATGTCCCAATCTGGATTTTCCAGCTTCAAATCCAGCACGGCTCTAGTGGCACTGGCTTCATCTGCTTCAGAGAAAACACAGGTAGAAGAGGAAAAGTTGATGGCTTCTTCCAGCTGATTCTTCATGTTGGTCCAAAAAGGAGTTTTACAGCCTTGAATTATCAAGTGTCTCTCCACCCTTACAATGTCATGTACTTCCTTGGAGGAACAGCAGACTACTATTAATAGGAGGAACACATGAAGAACTGATAGCAACAGTACCGGTACAACAACCCTCATCGTCAACTCTTGCTCTACTAGACTCCCACACACTTTTCATGCAACAGAACTATTGTTATAGAAGACCAAGCAAAATCAAGTTATGCCGTGCCTGGCTGGCACTGGCTACTTTTCAGAGGGGTGCACAGGCGCAGGCGAAGATGATGGTAAACATTTATTTCTTAGAGTAGGTAATTAGAGTCTGTGACTAAAATAAATGTCACCTCTCCTTTCTCTGCTTGACTATTTTAATATCGTTAAACCATTTCCTAGTCATGAGACTCATTTGTTTAACAAATTATCTTTCTTTAACTGCACAAGGGTAAGAGACTTAGAAGTTAGTTGTTGTCACAGCAAGAGCAAGCAAACCTGCGACAAACCCCACAATCCGCAACCCGCAACACCCTCCAACCTCCAACCTGACGTTTCCAACTTCCAACCATGGATGAAGCTCTCCCTGCCAGACAAAGCATAAGGTGAAGCTCTGAACTCTGAACTGGTCCAGGCAGAATTGTATCCAATCGCAAAACTGCCAAGTGCCCACAGCACCGCGGCAAGGCCAGTCAGCAAGTCAGAAATATAAGTGGAGTTCAAAATGGTTGTGGGTTTCCCTATACAAGCTCCCATTCAAAGACATACTGGCAGATTAGCCCGCAAGCAAAATGCACAAACCCAAACATGTTTCCAGCTCAAAATTGCCTCGATTTTGTCGCCAATACGCTCAACGCAGAGATCGCCCACAGAAGCTACATGTAGGTTTGTTAATGACTGGTATGGCTAGTGTGTACCGGTACCGTCTAAGTGACCAACAAGAAGAACTACTCGAGTAACTGGCAGAAACCAGTCATGGTTCCTGAGTGCCTGGGTGCAATAAATCTCAAAGAAGGGAGAAGAGCAGGGGGAATGCTTCTAATCCTTTTTGGTTCTTTATGTCCGAATAAGAGATAACCTTGCACAGCTGGACTACCACTACTGTACTGCACCACAAACCACAACGCCCAACATCCTTGAAACCCAGTTCACTGGGGATGGTGCCGTACACATTATTGCCATGTATCGAGAGAGTGTGGAATCGAGCCAGGTTTGCGAGTCGGCCCATCGGCAAGAAAAACTCCATTCTGGTGGCCAATCCAGATTTGTCCACTTCCAAGAGCTCAAGGCCTTTTAGCAGTTCCAGTTCAGCTGGGAAGGGCGAAAGCGGTAGAAGGCAGAAATCTGATTGGCTAATCAACCTATGACATCAGGAAGTATGTCGCAAAAATTCAAATATACTTAACGTACCGTTTATAAAGATTACAGGGAAACTGTGCTACCTAGTCGCCATTTTCGTGTTTCGCGAAAACAGAAAGAAGGATTCCATCGAGATTGACAATGACATCCTGCCGCTCACTCGACAGTCATTAACTCGGCCAAAAAGCCAGTAGCAGCAGCAGCAGCAGCAGCAGGCAGAAGAAGAGAGCATCATGGAGCCACAACAGCAGCAGGAGCTACACTCACAATGGAGGAATGGGCTGCCAAAGTCAACAGAGGAACTCGCAACAGAAAGAGAGCCTACCAACTGGCTGCCAACAACAACAACAGATCCAAGAGAGCCAGAGAAGAAGGACCCAAACAACGCTGGGAGGAGAGGTAGCAGAAGTCTTTGATCCACTCAAGAATGTGTATCTGTAAGGCAGACATCTTGGTTCAGAGTCCCAAAAAGATCACACCACGTTCTCTGTATTAAGAATACAGTAACAAGAGGAAGAGGAGATTTGAATGAGCTGACAATGGAAACTATCAGAGAGAGCAGAAGACTCACAAGGCACTTCAGTCTCCTCTTCCACTAATGAGAGAGAGGAAGCTGGAAGCACTCAACACAGGAGAATGGAGATGCCTTCTTTGCTGCTAGAACAAACACCGCCAAACCAAATCAGAGCCGGCAACAAAAATCCACAACCAACACAACTCCAGTAGCTCTTTGTCGAAAGGTAACCACTCTTGTAAATGATGCTGCCTTTGTGGAACAGCACAAGACCAAAGGAGCACCACTGCAATGCTAGCACTGGCAGAAGCTGTGTCAGAATCCATTATCAAGCCAAGGAATCCACAATTCCACCAACATTTTGAAGGACTCACCATGACAGTTCATCCACAGAGGAGCAATTCAAATCTCCACATTACCACTCCATTGTTGGCCAAACTACTCCTTGTGGACTGGAATCGATGTGGAATTACTGTACCTTGTCCCGATGGAAGATGCTCTGGCCAACTCAAGAATGGAGGCACAACTGGTCCAAGAACAAGACCTTGTTCCCTATCTTTGGCATCACTGGTCCTCCTTCTTGGTGTATAGTCATGTCCATGGTTTGTGGAAGCTGCAACAGAAGATTCGATGCCAACTCTGCAGAAGTGCTGGTCTCGATCCCAGATCATGCTTCATTGCTCTATCCAGTGGAGTCCAAGTATGCTCTACCTAACAAGGCTTGTCATTTGGAGCGAAACAGCAACAGAAGTATTCGATCTATCATGTTAACCTATGGAAATGGAGACCTATGCAGCCGCCTCATCTACAATGCAATCAACAGAGAGTATCTTAGAGCCATGATGTCTTACTTCTCATACTGGCAAGGAAGCGACACTGATCCTGATCCCTTTCTCAAAAGGATGGCACTTACATCAGACAGTTTCCTCCTCTTGGTGACACCATCCGTGACATCTATGATGCTGCTTGTGCTTCAAACAGGAATCCGTGGAGGATCAGTGACACCAAAGGCACACAAGAGAGATCCAAAGTGTCAAGTGCAACAAAGGAATCTTCTGTCAAGACCACACTTCCAGGTGATCAAGAACTACAGCAAGAGTCTTGTGCTGCTGCTTGTTTGGGATGCTGCTACTGAGACTGGAGAGATTGCTTCAGCAGTTCTCGTTCCTACCACCAAGACCATCACTTCTCCCATGCGCCATGCAGCTAGCAAGGAGGAGACACTTCAATCCAGCTGCCATGTAAGGACCCTGGCCCCACAAGGATGACTACTGGGAGTTACTCTTTCCAGGTATTGAGGGAAGACTTGCCTGTTTCATTATGAGAAGAGGATCCTGTCAACTTTGAGGAAGGGTCACATTGATTACTTTCAAGCACTGACGACCTCTTGGATTGCTTGTATGAGTATCACCAGATGACTATGAGAAATCCTCCATGCATTGAAACATGCCTCTTGTCCTCCAATGGCAAGCACTACTCCATGGCAGAGATCTCCGACATGCAAGCCTCCAAGGTCTTCAGAGCTCGGTACTCCAAGTATCTAAGGAAGCAGATGAGGTCACCAGAGACAATGAGGCAGAGGTTGCAGCAGTGGTTCTGCAGGTACAAGGTGACAGCCAGTGATGGTTGCCAGCCAGGACAGGGGCGACTGGATCCAGCCAAGAACTATACCTTGTTCACTTCTGATACCAAGCCAGCAGTAGAGAACTGTGTTGACAAAGCGGCATTCACTTGGCTGATCCCTGGCACTGGAAGACATGTATGACACAATCCAACCTTCTCCAAACTCCAAGCACAATCTTCCAGAGTACCTATCAAGGAGAGGAGAGTCAAAGTTAGAGGCTTTCCATGACAAGTTTGCCCACTTTGGAAATGGTGGAATGAGGAGGAGCCTTGCTGATGCACTCAACTTGGCTGGAACTGCAAGATACAACCTCAAGATTCGCACAAGAGAGCCTTCCTGTCAAGAATCAGTGTGACAGAAAGGAAGTCAATTCCAGCTGGATGGAGAAGGTGTTCCATATGGAACCATTCAGAGTTGGCTTACCTGAATGAGCTAGCAGTGGCTGTTGGTCTCAATGAACCATTTCTACTGCAGAGCCACTGCCACAGGATAATGGAGAGAGGTTCTTTTCAGAGTTCATTGTTGCATTCAAACCACAGCGGCAGAAGTATGCTCCAAATGATTGTTGTCTTTGTGCGGCTTGCACTGGAGCACCACCGAGTCCACCAGCAATCGAGGCACCAAGTCCACCAGCAATCGATTCACCGACTGCAACAGCAATGGTTCCACCACCGCCGCACCACCACCACCGCCACCACCACCACGCCGCCACCACCACCTCCACCACCTGCAGTGCCACAAACTAGAAATGTTTATGTTGGTAATTTGATTCTATACCAGCAACAACAACAAATTCAAATGATGCAACTTGCCATGCAAATGCGGCAATTCCAACCATACTGCCATATCCTTTCCAGCCACTCCTCCACCGAAGGCTGCTGTCAGAGATACTGCCAGTGGTTGACCAACAGAGAGGAAGACCACCTCATGATGCCAATTGCCAATCTAGATTGACTGGATACTCTGCATAAAATAAGATAAGAAGTATTAGATGTGACAAATTCGTTTCTAATGTAGCCATTAACTTACATTCAAGGTCCTTCTTGGTTGTTGTTGCTCTGTTTCCATCTCCAAGAGTGTCAAAGTCTTCAAAGCAATCTTGAACAAATCTCTCACTCATGGAAACAAAGCTACCAAAGAAAGTTTTGTTGTTGTAGTCATACCAATGGATGTACTCATTCCAAGCTTGCACAATCGTTGTGTCCTGCTGTTTCTGAGTGAAGGTGCATACCGCGTTCAGCTCGGCAGTGAGTGCGTTTCCTTCACTCCAACCAATAGATGCACTCAATGAAGATGTCCTTCCTCTCACAGCCATCTGGTCCCAACAGCATTTCAGAAAGGGTGGAGACAACTTGCTTGTACCATTTTGGACCGACACTCTTCTGAAGACCCCCGGACTCAAACATGTAATCCATGATTATTGTCATGTCAGGAGGAAGAGGCTTGCATGCTCCTTGCAATATCAACTCCTCAAGAACCGTCACTTCCATGCTTGTTGTGGGCAAACAGAAGTTTTCATCATCATCACTGTTGTACCCACAAATGACATACTTGCAAGTGAATCCATGCCTTGTAACTCTCAGCTCATTGAATGGGTATCTGTTGACACTTTGCAGCCACTTGGAGAAGGCCGAAGAAGTAGTTGCGATCCTCATGGTCGAGTTGTTGTTCTTGTCGTCGTCGGTCGGTAGTGGTATCCGTAGAGGAAGACCGTCGGTAGAGGAAGGAGGAAGTAGTAGTTGTTGTTGTTGTTGTTGCCAAGAGTCTTGCCCCTACCCACGTAGTCGCTGACTTCAAGACAAAATAGACCAGCAGTAGTGGTGGAGGAAGCGGCGTCGGTAGAGGAAGGATCGTCCGAAGGAGTGTCGGTAGAGGAAGGAGTGTCTGTAGAGGAAGGACGACGTTCGAACGGGGGACGATAGAACGATTAGTAGCATGCCATGGTCGCCATTGTGGATAACAACAACAACAACAACAACAACAACAACAACAACAACAACAACAGCATGCAGCAGCAGCATTCTTACCTTGTCGAGTACGACCTTATGGGAGCGAAGTTTGTGGTCGAGTTTTGTTGTTGTTTCGGTGGCTGATTTTCAAAATGGGAGGGTTTCGTTGGAGCGAAGGAAACAGAAAAGAGAGAAAGAGCGAGCCAGTGGTAGCCGTTGAATGGATTCAAAATACCGAAGCAAAGGATTGATGTGACGTATTTGCTGACATATTCATGTTCTTCGGACGTCTTACCCATGGGGGAAATGTCAGCTTTACAATGGAGACGGTTGCAGTCATTGCCATATCCCCTCACCCGCTAAGTAAAAATGGTCATTCGGATGTCTCAAACATGCCCTGCACACTCTCAATTCGGAATCTGGAACTCAACCGATAACCCTCTCCCTCTTCTTCTTCTTTTTCCCTCCCCCGCGCTCATGCCTAACCCCCCCATAAAGTCTCAACAAGCCTTCCATCCTGGAGTGGCAAAATGAAATTGTTAAGCCGAATATCTCTAACCACTCCTTCGAAAATGGTACCGAGGTTGTGGCACATGAGATTCGTAGACCACTTGCATTCAGGTGCTGTGGAGTTGAGCCACTGCTGCCGATCATCAGGATGCCACCGGCCACCTCTCAAGGAGAAGAAAAGTGTTGCTAAAACAAATAACTGTTGTAACCTCCACATGGGCATACTTCTCAGTTGTTCTCCAGGATAGCTGGAAACAAACCACATGTATGCCTTGGATTGTGGAGAGAGTGGATCTTCCAGCTTTGGGACTGTGTATCCAGGAACATCCAGTGTAGCCCCTGTTGTGCCAAGATTGATGGTGACGAACCCATGGGTATCCTCAGTATTGCTTATGGTGTCGCGGGTCATGTTCAGTAAGATTGCAATGGGTGGCATGGTGGTATCTGGTGGGATGATGGAAGTCGGTGCCATTGTAGGAAACTCAGTGTGTAGGACATTGCTAGCGTGATCGTTACCGTTGCCGCTTTTCTTCGCTCGACACAATCCCATACCACCGCAAACCAGCATAGGAACCGCCACTGCAGCGAAGATCAATAGACAACACAATAAAGCTAAGACTTCGCTTGCCATGAGTGATCTGCGATAGTCCTGGTTGCTGAACTCTTCTCCTTCTTTGTTGCGATAGTACTGGAGCGGTGTAGCATCGGACCTCCCACTGAGCCATAGCTGGGAAGACCGCTCTTTAGTAACCACCCAGGCTAGGGAACCCAGGGAACCCAGGGAACTCGTCCAGCGACTTTTCCCGGTGCTATCGGTAGTACCAGGTTGGTCATCTTCTCCTGCGAAGTATATGACCAAGGGTCGCAAGCTGGAGACCTCCTTGAGACGCTCCGAGAACCTCAGCTTTCCAGGCTTCTTGCGTGCAACGTTTCCTTCCTCCTCAGGTGGTAAAATGTGCTCTTTGGGTGGAGCTACATCAAACGACACCTTCAAGTTGGCTGGAGGTCCTGTCATTCTTGGGTTCTCTTGGTCTTCCGGCTTTTCCGAGAAGGATTCAGTGAGAGGTCCTCTCAAACGTTCCAGCTCTTCTTGTGTGTATTTTTCGCTGTCTTCGTCTTCATCTGGCTGCTTCTGCAGCTCCACATCCAGGTACTCTCCCTCTGGACGAAAAAAGTGTGTTTTATCTTCGTCTGGCTGTTTCTGCAGCTCCTCATCTGGGTATGCTCCCTCTGGTGGTAAATGGGTTTTATTTTCATCTGGCTGTTTCTGCAGCTCCTCATCTGGGTACGCTCCCTCTGGTGGTAAACGGGTTTTGTTTTGATCTGGCTGTTCCTGCGGCTCCTCATCTGGGTAAGCTCCCTCTGGTGGTAAATGGGTTTTATCTTCATCTGGCCATTTCTGCAGCTCCTCATCTGGGTACGCTCCCTCTGGTGGTAAATGGGTCTTGTTTTGATCTGGCTGTTTCTGCTGGTCCATATCCAGGTACTCTCCCTCTGGTGGTAAAGGGTTTATAGAGTAGGTAGGTTCTCCCTTTGGCTGCTGCTGCTGCTCATCAAGGGCTTGAACCTCAGCTTCGGAATGTTCGTGGAGGGGAGCAGCATCCGTGTCACCTCCTTCATCCTTGGTTTCTACTTGAGCGGATTCCTCTTCTTCAAGCTGATTCTGCAGTTCCACATCCAATTGCTCGTCCGCCGCATGGATCTCACTCCCGGCAGTATTCAAAACGGCGTCTCCGTCATTGGCAGGGTGGCTCACGGAATCACGATTGGCACCAGCTGAGGTTGACATAGTGAGACCTATGCAACAATTCAAATGAATTAACTCAAGGACTGATCGAGTAATAGAAACGAGCTGAATGCAATGCAGAATGGCTTGTCGCCCTTTTAAAATAGTGCTTTTAGAGTGCGGCTATCGGGAGGAATTGGATGACAGTTTACAGGAACTGGCAACGTCGAAAGGATCTGGCAACACTGGTGGACTTATGGGCATTGTAGTCGACTGAGTCGATTCGATTGGATTCCCGCCCAAATGCGGTATCTTGGTCCTAGCTAGTATCTTTTCCGAGTTCGAGATTCGATTCGTCATCATTCCCCAAGAATCGCGACCACAATGGCGCACCGGTACCGGTACCGAGGTCAAGGTCGGTGTACACGCATGTTGATGCTCGTGCACCCGCTACGACTATACCGGTACACCGTACAGTACAGTAGCTCACTATTGAGCCTCGGTTTGTTGCTTGCTGATTGACTTGATTTGAACGAGGTCGCAGCCTCTCGGTCGGGCGGTTCTGCCACGGAGCTGCATGGGTTTGCTTCAAATCTACCGATATACTTGCCGCGTTGCGTGAATCGAATCACATCCTGCCTACCGGTAGTATTATCCACGCTATAACCATCAAAAGAGAGTATCGCATCTGTACTTGTCAATACCAGCACGGTGGGGATCCAGCTGCCAAAGAAGGCAGGGAAGTCGGTCGAGTGACTCATTCGAGTCGAGTCGTCGCATGCTTCTTACTTCCCTCGAGAACTCGGTGAGGGATACATTCATTCGTTTGCTTCCCACTATAGCTTCTTTTCTCTGATAGCTATTGGAACGGCGAGTCCTCCCTCGTCTCGTGCTCATCATGGTAGCCTCCGAATTTTGTGCGTAATCGTCGTCGTGAACCTTCCAAAGACGAGTGTAGCTCAAGACGTCAGCGATCATAGGAAACGCAAATCGACCCAGCTAGCTAGCCTACCTGTGATATACACTTAGCAGTGTTTGTTTGTTGTTACTTTAGACTATGCAATCATGAAGACTTTAATGATTTATTTGTGATGAACCACACGTAGAAGGAAGTCACATAATCGACATTTGATCCGACGGACAATCAAGGAATGGAGACACACCTGCCGAATCCGTTCATTCCTGTTTGTTGATTGGGTGATGTTGTTGTTTGCTGCTGCTGCTTAGGTGCAGTCACAGTTGCAATTTTCTGGACAGACCACTGTGGCACAATCCACATCGAGATCCACACCACCCCGTTGGATAGTCATTTGGCAAAGAGGCATGGGAACTTGACCCGATAGGTTGTTCCCGTCCAGCCACAGTTGTTCTAGACCAGCCAACAAACCCAATTCACTTGGAATCGCTCCGGTGAGAGCATTGTTCTGTGCACTGATGGACTGAAGTGCAGAAAGTAATCCAAGTTCACTCGGCAGGGTTCCACGAATTTGATTGTCGCCTACAGACAGCGTTTGGAATAGCGAGAGGCCCGTAAGACGTGCAGCAGGGAAGAATGCCTCCATTTCCGTGGTCAAACCAGCCCCATTGACTTGCAGCATCCGTAGCTCAGATAGCAATTCCAATTCCATGGGTAGAGTGCCGTTGTTGAGTGGGAAAACGAAATCGTTAAAACTAATGGTTTGAACGACTCCTTCGAGTTCTTGTTGTGTGTTGTCGTCGGGACCGTAGCAAACCAAATCGGAGGACCATTGACACTCGGACATGGACGAGTTGAGCCATTGCTGTCGATTGGTGGGATGCCAACGACCACCTCTCAAGGAGAAGAATAGAGTGGCCAATGCAAAGATTTGTTGGATCCTCCACATGGGCATGTCTTGCAGGATTTCCGCGGGATAGGTGTAGATGAACCATGCATATGCCTTGTATTGTGGAGAGAATGGATCATCCAATTGGGGCACCGTGTATTCTGGAATGTCAATCATGGCTCCTGTTTGTCCTAGATTGACCGTGACAAATTCGACGTTGTTGTTGGTGGTGGTGCGGTTGTTGTTTGGCATTACTGAAATGGGTGGCATGGTTAGATCGGGCGGCACAATGGTGGTGGGTGCCATGGTGGGTATGTTATCATCTTGACTGGAATTGTCACTATTGTCGTTGTCGTTGCTGGAGCACATTTCCGCCAGACTGCAGACAGCAACGGGTACGATAATGGCCGCAATGATGAGAATGCAAAAGATGCACATGCATGTTTGTCTGGCTTGGAGTGCTTTTTGAGAGGATCTGTTCGCGGGCAAGACCAGGTCATCTGCTCCAATGTCTCGTTGTCCATGATCATGATCATGATCATACTCGGGAGGAGTGTTATCAGACCATCCAGATAGCCTTGAAATGAGCTGTGAGACTCTGGAGGAAGTGTTGTTTAGGTGTACGAAAAATGACCTAAAGCTCTTTTGTCTGGATCCTTCCGCATTTGGGACTCCCATTTCAGGTCCTCCCATTTCAAATTTGTCATGATCTTCTCCCTCTTCTTCATCCAAGTCATCCTTGGCTTCTATTTCTTGAACTTTTTCTTCTTTCAAATGGTCTCCATCAAAAATGACAGAAGGTCCATTCAAGTTGGATGCTTGCTTTTGCTGTTCTTGAATGTCTTGCAACTGCTGGTCATAGAGTTTGTCTTGAGCATGCCGTTCAGGTCCACAAGTGCCAGAAGTGAGGGTATCAATATCAATGGTGTTGTTGCTCTGCATGTTATCAATAATAATAATATTATTATTAATATGGTCGATGGGGTTCTGACTGCTGTCATCCGTGGAAGTCATCTCCTGAGTGACAGTCGGAGTCTCTTCTTCTCTTACAACTGGTACCGGCACTGTGTGTACTCCTGATGTTTCTTGATGATGAGGTTGAGTCTGTGTCTGCTGTAGGACTGGCTTGGCCACCATCTTGGATCGAGGCATGATAGGAGGAGGACTTGACATGGCGTCAGAAGCCAACATAGAAGCTTCTCGATAAGAAGGAGCGGGAGGATCACTGGGTCTTCTCTGTTTACTAACAGTAGTGCTAGTACTATAAGCAGCACCAGCAGCACCAGAGGCAGAAGCAAAAGAAGGAGGCGTAAGGGTCGACATGGTCAATCAATCCATCAACTTCATTGAAAGGTGAAAGTGAAAGTGAAAGTAAAAGCAAGTCCGGATAAAAGACTACACCGGTTTCAGAGGCCCGGGAACCACAAAGGTCGCATCGGTACAGAGTATTTATAGTGAAGTAAAGAAGGAGAGTACCAAGTGCATATCAAAACGAACGGGTGCAGACATGCTTATTTTAGAAGAGGGATACTACTTAGTAGTAACTAGTAACTACAGTATCAATGAATTACTGATAGATATGGTAATTCAAGTTCTCACTTTCTAAATTCCAATTGCATGGCTGTCAAGCTCTGATTTTTGACGCAGGTTCCCCTAAATGATTTGAGACGTGGTTTTTTATCCAAGCAGAGCCGCGACTGGCCTTGCATGGATTTCCACGATGGAGCCTTTCCACGGCGGCCATTGGAAGAGGGCTGGTTACTCTTCATCTCTGGCCAGAAGAAATCCAATGTGAAAGAAATGTGCTGCGACTTCACAAAGAGTATATAAAAGAGCATGTGATCACCGGGAGCTCGCATTCGTTGAAAATGATACAGGAGCCTTGGTGGCGATGGTTGTCAACCCCAACATCCTCTCCGACACACTTTCAACGATATCCAAGATGCTCCTTTGCTTCTCCCTAATCCATGGGAACATTCCTTTCCAACGTCCTATTGCACATCACTCCATTTTGTCTCACAAGAACGCCCACGCCAAAGGTTGGATTGGAGATGACCTTTCCCAAGTTGAGTTGAGGGCGTTGGCTCTGGCGGCTCACTCCCTGGATGAACAAGTGCAGACACGTTTGAATACAACATCTGCGTAACGTGAAACGAGTGCTTACTAAGATCCAAGGTACGGTACACCTACGATTGGCAAGCAAGAGCTTTAAAATCATTGATAATACTGCATGGTACCTGTAACGATTAACGAGTAGCAAGTAGTCTGTGGTTGAGAGGGGCGGGCTGGAGCAAATCCTAGAAAAATCGGTGAAAACTTTCCACGGTCCCCACGCCACGTGGAAATATTCAAGATCCAATTTTTCAACCTGAACCTTCGTGAAGATACAAAAGATCGAGAAAGCAATTAACACAGCGCTCCCGGCACAAACAAATTGAGGGTACGAATCCAACTTGAACTCCACTCAGGTCCATGCATAGTCTGATGATATCATAAGTGCATGTTGGCACCATATATACATGTACTAGTAGTATGGGGAGAAGGCAATGCTATAGCAACTGCATTGGAAGGTTCTTACTGTCAGTGCTAGCAGCAGTATCTCTGCTCTGTGTGGTATTTTCGCTCTCTTTGCAAGTGGAATTGGATGTTCCGGTAGATGTAAAAGTAGTCCCGCGACCAATGCCAATGCTGGATGGACCAATGCTGGTCAAAGCTGCAACTTCGATGGAGTTTTCGTTGGATATCCCCACTGACATTCTGTCCGAAAAGCCAACTTCCTTCTTTCGAGACCTTCAAAGTCAGATTGATCAAGATGATCCACAGAAACGTTGTCAACGCTACGGCTATCAATATCAATATCATCCATCTGCCAAGTCAAGACGACGAAGACTCTTTCTAGGCAGTCTGATTGCCGAAGAACCTTTAGAACTGCTGCAAATTGTGGCTGCAGAATCGTATGGCATCTATGCCGGCATGGTCTTTGTAGAAAGCAATCGCACGCAAAACTTTGACCCTAGACCGGTTCGAAGAGCCAATGACCAAAATCACATTCAACAGCTGCAAACACTCTTTGGAACACCACAGCTACAAATACGTCTTTACACCAACGAAAAACCACGGTTCACGGGAATTCGCAGAGAACATGCGCAACGACAAGAAATTCTCAGGGGATGGAAGGAAATGGGCATGACACCATTCGACGTGGGAATCATTGCCGATGCCGATGAAACATTCACCCGAGATTTCCTCAGGGCGGCACAGGAATGCGACATTCCGCACTTGGACTATGCACAACATCAATGCTTTACATCCAACGTCAAACTCGCTGCTTCCTCCTTGGTCTTTGAAACATCACCTGAATGTGTCACGGCCCAACGAGGTTGGTATCATCCCGAAATGATACTGGGAGCTTGTATTGAAATGATTGGAAATAGATCCGTACATCCACTCGCGTTTCGGGATGGACCACGACGAGCTCACGGATACGGACGAGCGTGTTCCAAAGATTTCTCAAAGTTGGTGCCAGGTCGACATCCTCTCTGGAATGCCGCCGACTTTCGCATGCTCTGTGGACGACAAGCCTACGGAGGAGGAAATGACAATGGCCATCATCATCATCACTCCTCCAGATCCAATTATACTGGATTCCATTTTCACAATTGGTTCACCAGTTTCAATGCCACACGTCTCAAATACAAAACATACGGACATGCCATGAAAGCACGCAAGGCATTCACGTGGCCATTGTACCAAATTGGAAAAAATGATCTCAAACTCATGTATCATTGTGTGCGAAACATGCCCGATGAGAAAGAACAAAAGTGGAAACGGGTACTAGGAGGATTCCAGAACATTCTTCCTCCCATTCCAATATACTTTGCCGACACGCAGTATCTTTGGAAACGACATGAATGGATAAAAAAACAAGTACAGATGGATGACGAAATGGTGGAAAAATTGCAACAATCCGCTCCTACTTGATGGATCATTCAAAAAATTTAAAGTTGTCGTGACGAGGAAACTGGCTACAGTACAAGTAAATTCATTCATCGGTCGGAGCACCCACGACGATCAATTGAATGCCATTTTAAATTAAAATAAATCAATACATCGAAGGAAAAGCCCACACCCCTGCATTTTGCTGATTTGGTTTCCCTAATTCTTCAATCAAAGCAAGCACATCGGGACACCATACTGTAATCTTTCGTGGACGAGCCAGCAAAAACGACGCGCATCCATCGACCTTACTGCCCACCTCGAAGCATTCCACGCTACCAGGTACGGTATGCGATAGCTGGATGGTTTCCACGATCTCTCCACTCCCCGATTGGTCACATTCGTATACAGTTCGACTGCGTGCTCACGAAGCAAAGTAACTGCAGTACCATGGTAGACGATACAGAGACGACAATTGCAAGATCAAGCGCGAGTTCCAAGAACACCGTTGATGTTGTTTCGAATGATATTTGTCCAGTCCAACAGCAGAGTGGACGCGAAAACAAGGGCACGAAAAATGACAGCAAGAACGAAACTGTCCAAACCGAAACCACAGCAGATGACAGTCCAAATAATGCACAGCGTGGACTCACGGTTGAGCGGCGCAATGACGAGTCAAACGATAAAACGGCGACAACCACCACTACAGCTGCAGCTACATGTACAGCTACAAACGCTACATCAACTCGAGCTGAATCCTTGTATCTGAAATGGATATCGAACGGGGCAAACTTTTGGGGAAACTGGCGGCAACAGGTCGACAATGCCAAAAACACGAGGAGCGCGTTCGGATACATTGTTCTGGACAGTCGTGGCCTCTCCTCTCTTTGTGCTGCTCGTGACGCTACCGTGGATACTGGCAGCTCCAGTCAGCGTCATCATTGGGTTATTGTTCTGTTTCGAAACTGCATCAACGAGTAACAGCACGGGGAAGCAATGCTACGAAAGAAGTACCGACGACAACGAGCAAAAGGTCATCGAGGACCGTGACATCAATAATGCCAGTTGGAGGTCCAATGAAACTGCATCAACGGGCGACAGCACCGGAACGCAATGGTACCAAAGAAGTAAGGATAGCCGTGGTGGTGGGTCACCCTCGACCAGGACGAGTTCTCATCGAGACTTGGCATGTATCTTCAAGTTTGCAATGGAACGTCTCGTGGTGGTTCCAACACTCGTTCTGTTTTCCTTTCCCTTGTGCGTCCTATTGTACTGCCGAATCGTACTCCAAATGCTCAAGGGAACCACGTGGCCAAACAATGACAATGACAGCGATCGAGATTGGAAACAAGAGGAGCACTGGGATTACCATTGGGACTATACCGGAGATTGGGACGAAGTGCTTTTGGACCTTATGAAACTGGGGAACCAGTTTTACGACCAACAGATCCTGAACAATCTACGGTGTTGGTATCATATCCACTTGCGATTCTACACGTTGCTAGGTGCGACGTGGAGCGGGCACCTCGTGGATACGGCAATGACACCGCTGTTCTTGACCAGGCTCCTGGTTTGCATTGTACTTTCCCTGCCGATTGCAGTACTGTATACGGCCAAGATTTTGCTGTATTATGCGCGACAAGTCATGAATGCGTTGCCGGGACGGCTCTTGCAGGATGCATTCACTCTTGCATTTGGCTCTCTCGTGGGACGGTATTTACGAACGATTATTGTGCAACTTCCGTTGCTTCTGGGGACAATGTTGGTTCTCTCGAGCATGTTTCTGCCACTGTTGCCTGTGACGTACATTGCTGTTATCCGCATGGCGATGCATTATGAGCGCTACCGTAGCAGCTAAGGACGATTCTGGTATGCTTTCAACTGAAGTTATATTTAGATGGCTGCTATTGCTCAAGAGCACATCTTTCTTTACCATTCTTCAAATGCAATTCACTAATTCACTAAACCATACAGTGCAGAAACACCATGCACATCTCAACTCATGCTTCTGGAGGCCTTTCTGAGGCTGCTCTTCAGCAGACACCATACTGAACCATCACTCAAGCTTCAATTCTTAGACATTTGTAGCATCTAATCCTCAAAAGAAAGCATGGCACTCATTCTCGCCAAAGTAGGCAGACCAAGACAACAAATCGTTGTAACAAGCTTCAAATTCCTCAGAGGCAATCTGTTTATAACTGTTGCCATCATAGCCGATGCAAATATAATTGCCCGGACCAGCAGTACCCGTATTATAGCTGCTGGTACTAGTTCCATTTTTCAACCAAACACCGGCCGAAATGTCAGAGCTGGCCTTTCTAAACTCACTAAACCAGATGGTGCGACCATCGAGGCCTGGAAAGATGGGAAAGGAGCCACTGGTGTCAGATCCATCCCAGCAGGGACAAGTGGTGGTAGGTGCTGGGTAGGGAGTACAGGAAGATTTGATATTGTTCCCAACTCCACTGTTGGCTGCGGCATAAGTCAAAATATCGTTAGTGCAAGCAACAATATCTGCTTCTTCCAAACCTGTAAGGGAAAAAGATCCATCATCATTGTATCCGAGGCAAATATTTAGAACGATTGCGGCTGAACCAACATCAAAATTCACGCTATAGTACCCAACAAGAGTACTATAGACATCACCAGCAAAGCTGGTACCACCAGAGATGTCTTCAATGCTGTCCCAACAAGGGCAACGGGATACTTCACAGGGGAACCTGGTTTCTCCTGTCGACTGAAGGAACTTTTCACGCAACCCATCACAGGAGTTTTTGTCAGCATTGGGCCCTTCACAGTCCTGGGCTTCACAATAGGCATTGCACACACCATAGTCACGTCCGTGGTATTGGTCACACCAAGTCTCCAAGGCAGGGGGGAGGTCATCTGGAGTTCCTTGAGCAAGAGCCACATCTGAGAAGAAAGGCTGGACCAGGAAAAGGCCAGCAGCGGCAAAGATGGTGTTGGAGAACTTCATTGTCTTGGTTTAGAAGGGAGTAATGCAAGCCAGGTGGCTGGGTGAAAGCAAAGTTGGGCCGATTGTTTGATTTTGCTTTTTAGCTTTTGGTTTTTGTGAGCCTACTGGAGCTCTGGATCCGGAGCAGCCAGAGGTTGATCCTCGTGGTATGATGGCCAGCCAGGCAGGCTCGAGCGGAACGTACCTGGACTGGCTGGGACAGCGACCTCACTTCTTTTTTAAAACATCATACGGTATCCTTGGAGCGTCCAGAGCCTGGCCTGAAAGTGGATTGACGGATTCGATTGAATGATCAATCAATCATTCGACGCGCAACTAGATCTCTAACTTGGTTCGATTTGTTTGATTGGTGATAGGTTTTGTTTGGTCATTTGGTCCCGGATGGAGGAACAAGAGGACTCGACCTTAAAAATACAAGGAGAACTACTAATTTCTCCTATGATTGCACTGGTATTAAAAAAAAACTGCGGTGCACTGTTTTCTATTGATAAAGAGGCCCAATTTGTGGCGCGTCTTCGACAACTGCATGAGCGAATTGTATTATGGGGAGTAGTGCACGAAAGATCGCCGAGAGGTGTTCTCCTAAAACTCCACAATCCAGAAGAGTTAACAATTGCATCCAAAGAAAACTGGAGCTGCGCTGTACTATTTTAAAATAGACTATGTACGCGAGAATCATGAGCGTTTCTGTTATTGATACGCGGCAACGTTACCGGTGGTAGGGTTTCTTGAGGTGGAATATGGAGCAACTTGTCCCCAAGCGGCCCAAGCGGCAACAACGCTCTCAAAAATGAACTTCAAGCAACCTATTCCATTTGTTGCCGCGTCTAGAAATTCAAGGCAAGAAGCGATCCACCACTTCACGGGTACAAGTAACGGTATGCATTTGCGCGTCTTGAGGATTTGAATCATTCCTCAATCAGATGATACCGTCGTTTATACCAGGATCGATCGTTTATACCGGTATCAATGAGCTGAGCGAACGAAATGTGGTTTATACCAGCATCGATCCTTGTTTCGTTTCCATTTCCCTTGGACCCTTCCTTTGTAGTTAGCCTACCGATAGCAGATAAGCTAACCAGGCACTCAACTGCACAGTGATTTTTCCAATCAGTTTTGCAAGCATGGGTATGTTCTTGGTGGAACTTGCTTGTTCATGAACCTGAGCTCTGCTGGAACAAGCTTCGTGAATCGCTGTGGTGCTGGGAGTGGCTTGGATGTACCATACTCCTTGACTACTAGTAAATGAAGTATTAATGTTTCAGTGATGTTGCCTAGAACCCTTGGATCCTCTTTGATGAGCCCTCCGTGAGGCTTCGAGTTGTCAATCACTTGTGAAGGTACCGGTATGGTCTAACTGTTGGCGAGCGAATTTCAATGACTCGACGATGTAAATCCCTTGAAAATGTGAGCGCAAATGGTTTACAACCCGGAGCAAGCTTTTGGAATGAAGAGGTTTGTCCTTTAAGTGAGTACCGGTACGGAAACTCATTGCTGGCACAGATCTTTTATTAACATTACCGTACCGTTAACCGAGCGGTTTTGAAGAAATTCAAGGAATTAAGAACTTCAATAACGCAGCGCACACACCGCACTCTTTTCAACTTTTCAACCCCTAGGCCTCGGCAAAGTCTGTCGACTGTGGACACTGGAGCGGATCACGATGATGAGGTACAGTACCAACAACAAACATGTACATGTAGTAGTCCACAATGATACTTCATAGTAAAGCTCATGTACTGTAACCTATTTCGAGGAGGATCAACTTACAATACCATTACCATGGCGGCCATTCTCGGGGATCCTGCAAGTGGGATCCTGCACCGACTTTCCCACGGCCCACGGACTTCGAGTGACAGTCGACACGATATGGAGGCGTCCCTGAAACAAACGCTTCGAGACCCGAGATTGATTGGCAATTGCACTGGTATGATACCACTACGATCGGACGTACCCTCCATTCCTGTAGAATGAACGCTACCTGGTACTGGTAATGGCAACAGCGTCCATGAAACCCAACGCTTCAAGCCAATTTTCGAGGTGCACCTGTTCAAACACACAATGTTACTGTACCTTCACACCCTCGCCATCGGCGACTTCCTCCACTCGACCGTCGGTTGTGATCATGGAAATGCCGCCCTTGGCATGATCGCTACGGCGTCTCGTTCTTTCTCTACGTCACTTGGAATGATGATGAATGCACAATGCACAATGCAGAGTGACAGTCAGTCTCACAATTCTTCTTCTCTAGCTTCGAGAAAGCAACCTGAAGAATAGCAACAGTCAACAGACGCAACGACCATGAAGAGCTTTTCGTTTCTCGCCTTCCGATCCTCCCAAGTGTTTCTGCCTTTTGGTGGCAAACTGCCAATGCCAATGCCGACGAACTTTCGGACAAGCGTGGATCCTTTCGTGGTCAACCAATGTCACGAGGTTTGAATGCAGAGCAACAAGGATTGCTTGGACGCACTTGGTCGTGGATCACGCGTTGCGGGCCTCCTACCGGTACCACTACATTATCCCCATCTCCTTCGCCAACTACGGAACCCCCCACACCCTCTCCTCCTCCTACAGAACTCCACAACTGCACCGAAGCCCCAACGACTTCTCCTCCCACTGCGGAACCTCCAACCACCCCTCCTCCTACTACAGCACCCCCCACAACCCCTCCTCCTACAACCCAACCTCCAACGACGCCTCCTCCCACTACGGAACCTCCAACGACTGATCCTCCCACTACGGAACCCCCCACAACCCCTCCTCCTACAACCCAACCCCCCACGACGCCTCCACCTACAACCCAACCCCCCACGACTCCTCCTCCTACCACGGCACCCCCCACGACGCCTCCTCCTACAACCCAAACCCCGACTGGTCCTCCTACATGTGCACCCTTTGACTCTTTCACTACTAGAGAAGAGCTACAGGACGCCATTACACAAGTCAGCGATCGTGGCAATGTAGACGACAGCACATTGCCAGTTTTTTGTAAATACGGACATCCCATGGGTACTTGGAATGTTTCTAGAGTCACGTCCTTCCATAGCATCTTTCTAGGCTACAGAGGGTTCAGTTACAATCTGAATGGGTGGGACACTAAGCAGGTCACAAACTTGGACACCACATTTGGAGACGGGAGCTTCAATGGTGCAGTTGATCAATGGGATACCAGCAATGTGATTGAGATGGGTCGGATGTTCCAAGGTAACGGATTGTTTTCCGGGGATTTATCCCGTTGGGCGACGGGCAAGGTAACTGGCATGAGCACTAGCGCTTTCTCTTTTTCTTTGCTGGTTGGTTCTCACAGTCCGAAACGTTGAACGATTTAGGTAACTGGCATGAAATCCATGATGCAAGGAAATAGAAAAACTATGGAAGATTTGGTGGCCTGGGATGTCTCAAAAGTCCATGACTTTTGGGGCACCTTCGCAAGTTCCGGCATTACTGCCAACATTGGCGGTTGGGATGTTGGGAATGGCAAGGTGTTCAAAGAGACTTTCGATCACGCTCGCGGGTTTAATATTGATATTAGCAGATGGGACACCAAGAACATGGAGACCGCAGAATATATGTTCAGGTGCGTTCGATCGGATAGTACCAATTTAGCTGGTTGATACTATGTCTGTTCGCTCTATTTTTTGATCTGGAGTTGTGGTGTCCTGATCTAACTACTGCTGGTTTCAACTTTCCAGGGCAACGCCATTCAATCAACCGATTGGCGCTTGGGATACATCCAAGTTGTACTCCACTATTGCAATGTTCGCCAATACACCGTTCGACCAGGACCTTTGCAACTGGGATGTCAGACGCGTACTATATGCTCAAGAAATGTTTGTGGATAGTGCCATGACTCATGATCTCTCCTGCTGGTGCTTTGAGAGTTTGATTTACGGAGCAGGTATGTTCTTTGTTGTTGTTGAAATTTTTGCGCCATCGTATCAACACACAATCCTCAGTCCTCTATGATCGAACACATACACTCTTTCCATGCTCACGAAATTTAGGGATGTTCTGGTTTGCCAGAAACTACAATCACGACCTTTGCGCTTGGAGACGATGCTTGCCCAGCTATACCAATTGGAACGTGACCGTCTTCAACCAACTTGACCATCTCATCTTTACCAACACAATGTGCCCTCAACCTTTCATACCCAACAATAATAACGTTGATGGTCCGTTCTGTCATGCCTGTCTCCCATTGCCTTAGGTTTGCTTGAAAGTTGGTTCTGTGAGGCGGAGTTCCATTATTGAGGCTATGGCCCGAAAACAATATTTTGGAAGGTTGGATCCACCCATGGCTCAAAGCAGCTGACGAATGAAAGCCTCGCCTATCAAATGCCAATTCCTCTGTACCGGTACAAGCTCATCCACTGTAGTAGCAATATGCAAGCAATATAGTTCTGCTAATTATTTGTCAAGTAGAACTACTAGTCTCAGTATTGAAGGAGGGAATTGCACATAATTAGGCTCTATCCTTGCACGTCCTCTTGTATGCCAAGACAGGGCCATGCTACAGTCGTAGTACTCCCGATGCCACAGGGAGCTATCTAGCTAGCTAGAGAGCAGGGACGACCCTCCATGCGGAGCCATTGAATGTCCTAACAACGTGATTTCGATTGAGTCTGAGTAGAGTCAGTTGAAAGTATCCATGACTGAAAGATTCAGCTAGCTTGACACCCAACAATGAAACCCGCACCCATCCCTCTTGACTCTTGAGAGCCCCCATGCCTGCTTCGTGAACGAAACCAACCCACAGCACACATGAGGGATCCCTCCCAAATCTTTCATGCGCTTGTTGCCCACAATCCACCCTGATAGAGGGAAGGTTTCTTAGTGATTCAAACAATGGCAGCTACACTAGAGGCGTCAGCGCAGTCAGTATCCGTAGTGGCCCTTTGGGCTGTGGTTGGAGGCGGTGCCAGTTTCCTTGTGGGACCCCCCATAATTGATTCCAGCGAATTTCGGTACAAACGCACAGCAGCAGCCTATTTTTTGTACTTTTATCTGATCGTGTTTTTCCAGTCTGTTCTTGCCATTAAATTGTGGGACGAGGTCAAGAAGAAAGACAAGAAGGTTTCATTGTGGGAAGTCAAGTTTGGGCCCCTGAGTTACACTGATCGAAGAATCGTGGCGAGCAACCGGACCGTTGGAAACACTCTGGAACAAATGGCAATTTTTTTGGTGGGGCTCTGGCTTACTACTCTTCTTACCACGGACGATCATGCCAGCATCTGTGGATGGGTCTATGTCATTTTTAGATCCATGTACCCCGCCCTCTATCTCTACGATCCCAATCTGGTTTTGCTGGCTACTATTCCGAATTACTGCACTGTGGCTTACCTTTGGGTTACAATTGTTCGAGCCTGCTTTGTTTCGTAGGTAGGCAGGCAGTAGGTAGAGAGAGAGAAGAAAACAGGTTGCAAAAGAGTAACGTCTAATATGTAGATTATGGAAGCATTCGTAGCCAGGGACGTCTTTTCTACGCACTAGGGCCTTGGATCGTTTCCTTTTAGCGAGGGCGCAATCCTTTGATTCATTCGATTCTGAGCGACATTCTGGGGGGCAACGTAAACCCAGATAGCCTTGCTAGGGTCTCAGTGTCGCAATCACCGATCGAGAAGACCAGATCGCACACTGCCCATAGCCAATATACAAGTAGTTGTCCTCGCAGCCTTGGCTGTGTGCGGTTGAGCTGGTCCTCGGCCATCTTGCTGTGATTCTAGTGATGATGTGGGATGTGGGCGCATGATGATGGCAATGCTGGTCCAGCTCCCCGTTGACAAGTCGTAAGGGCTGATGCGTGCAAACCCATTGCCTGTCATGACCTCTGTGTGGTTGATCGTCTGGAGTCATCTTGCGGTGGTTCCCCTGTGGAGATGGTTCATTCTCGTGGAGTCGATTCTCTGTTTGTCTGGGGTGCCGTTTTCTCAATCCTTCTTTGCTGTTTTGTCCTTAGGTTGGACGTCCTTTCGGCGTAGAACCAAGGCCACCTTCGAGTGCAAGAGCAAGATAGCAATCACACAGGTACAATGTACGGTCCGCTAGTCAACAGCTTGCATGCATGCCACTCTAGAGTAGGTTGGAGTTTGTCTTGAACCTTGAAGAGATACTGGGTTTCTCCGCCGAGTGAACGTGGCAAGCATGCATGCATGTGGCCTTGCCTTGTTTTTTGCTTCGCTCTCAACTCAACTCTAACCATTTGTTTTCCATGTTGCTTTTTCATAGGCACACAAGTCGACCAACCGTTTCTTTGTCCAACATCCTCTCCTGTCGTTTGTGTGGTCGCCGTCGTCTCATCTACAAGATCAGTCAGTTCACAGTCTTCTTACATCCTTTCGTCTCAATCTGGGGGCGGCCATTTCATGCGTCGGTTCTGTTTGCATCTCCGCCGGAAGATGGCACTGTACCGTACCCAGTCTTTCGTTTCTTTCTCGATATCTTCCATATTGCAAGTCTTGCCTAACCTTTCCGCTTTTGCTTCTCCTTCTCTGCTTGAGTCTTTGTTTGCCAAGGAGGAATATGATTCAATCACGGGACAAAGGCCATGTGCATGCTGGGCTGCCACACTAAAGCGTCAGGTCGCAGTCTTCTCACATCCTGTCACAATGGTACCGGCTCTCGAGTCGGATACGCGTCCTCTCGATACTCATGTCTCGATGCAGATCCTTGCCGGACCGAAAGTTTGCTGCGATATTCCCATGCATGGCATGTATACATACCCTTGTCGGCATCATTCCATACCTGAACAGGCAGTCGTCCAAGTCGATCTTCATGCTCCCATTCACCATCAATCCAAGCCGAAAGCAAGGATACATCTTCTGGAGCCGACCGATACTGTGCTTCTTAGCTGGGCAACGCGCTTGCAAACGATGGCTCCATCTTTTCTCGTAGTTGATTCAAAGCCAGCCAATAAGAAATGTTTCATTGTTCGTAGCATTGGTTCCACGCCCTGTCCTGGTGTCTTGTCTTTCCTTCATGTCATAGCTTGGTTCCTTTCAGATGATGGCATGGCATTGCTTCAACACAAGTCTCGCAACCCTACTTGGAGAGTGCAGATAAGAACGAACCTAGTTTTGCAACATTGTTTTGCTGCGAATGGATGATTCATATTTGTATTTTATATTTATATTTATTTATTCTTCTGCCAGAGCCAACTCTCCCACTTCCACAGCCTGTTTGGCAAATCCCAGCCAAGCGAGTTGGCACCAAGCAGGACTTGTCCGTAACGACAGAATGTCGGAAAGAGATGCTGGATTTGCCTTGAGCTCTGCTAGAATGGATTGAACATCCTGTGCCATTTCCTCCCGTACTTGCAACTTTGACACTCTTGGCAATTGTTGTCTCTCTTCATCTGTCGCGGCTCTGAGTTTGGTGTCAAAGTTGATTTGTTTGGATGCCAGCATTCCAATGACCGCCGGCGATGGCTTAGTATTGTCGTTGTTGTTGTTGTTGTTGTTGTGCCTATGACTATTGAGTCGCACTAGTCCTCTTTGGATTTGTGCTTCTCTGCCAACGTGTGCCCGTTCTCGATGAGGGTCAATCCGTGCCTGCAGATTGTTCAGTACAGCGTCGGGTGTGATTTGTTGGTGCAACAAGTCCAATGCCTGGTCAATTTGCGTTTGCAATGCTTGCTTTTTTGTTGTTGTTGTTTTGTCATCATTGCCGGGTACATGTTGTAGTCCCTGCAGTGGCAGAATGGATTTTCGATGCTGTAGTGCATTCGTGAGAATATTTTTGCTGGCCTGATGAATCATTCCTGCCAGTGTCCAATCAAAGGTGGCCACAGCAATGGTAACATGAAAACTGAGTTCATCGGTACACTGAGCTTGATGGCAATGTCCTCTTGGAATATAGAGTACATCTCCTGGTTGCAACGTGCACGTGAGCGCATCTTCTCCCTGTTCTACGTAATCGGGTACCTCTAGATCCGCTTTTCCCACTTGTTCGTGTGGATAAGGAAATGGAATGGGGACCTCTTTTTTGACTTGCCAATGCTTGGATCCTGCAAGTTGGACGACTAGAACATCGCGATCATCGGCGTGGCAATTGAGAGCTCGCGAGTGTGGAGGCGTAATGTACGTGTTGGTGTAAACGTAGGGAAATGTTTTTTGCAAATCTTGACAAAAGGCGGCCAACCACGGCGACAAGCAATCGGCATGAGCCTGCATGACTGTGGATCCATTCAAGTAAGGAGCGTACAAACTGGTACTGCTGTAGGCGGGCATCCATTCTTGGGGATGTTGGACCAGACCATTGTGGATCACCAAGGGAGGCTCATTCTCGTTGGGCCGAAATGGCTGTTCCATCAAATCGGTCAAAATGGTCCATCCTTGACCAATTAGTTCTTCAAATGGACTCAATTTCATTTTTTCCTCATCAAAATGGACATTATTAAGGGTAGCACTGGTAGCACTGGTACTAATACTGGTACGAATAAGAGCAGGCTGGTGCTGCCAGACAGAGTCGAAAAAGTCAGACAAGCCCGTTTCTCCTCCCAAAATGGAAAGCAATGCCTTGGATTCTTCCGTTTCATTGTCTTGATCAGAACTTGGACTCTTTTGGGTACCGCTAACGGTATTAATAGCTCCATCCACTGGACTGTTGACCAGAGACGAAAAGCCGTTGGCTAGGGCTACGGCATGGACCAGCAACAAGAACAGACTTATTAGCATGGTTGATGGCATACTGGTACTGGTACACATCCTAATACATGTAGAGCTACTAGCTGGACTAAGTCGTCGTCTAGCTGCAAGGGAAAAATAAATGAGATCGATTGCAGCAGAAAATCGAGCCATCAAACGAACTGACGTCATTATCATGAAGGTTGAGCACACTTTCTCACGTACGGGGGTTTTGAGAATTGCAGGCCCGTTGCTAACGAAGGAAGAGGGGTCTAGCTACACCGACCCACCTAGCTAGCTAGCTAGCTAGCTCTAGTAGTAGAGTTTGTAGCCACAGATGCGTCCTTCCATGGGCTGTTCCAAAAAGGTTGATCGCTATATACGGCTATCTAGATACCAGTACAGTATGTCATAGCTACCTATCTAGCTATGATAGTAGCAAGAAGGGATCTTCGCACTGCAAGCTGATGCTCGGCATTAAGAAGAATGCCTGGCGTTAAGAAAACTAATGTTGTTGATATGTATTTATTATGTCTACTAGCTAGCTAGCTAGTGTCCTTCATCCCCAGACCCAGGGCAGCCATTGTCGCGTAGCCACTCGATCACTTCACTTTGGTTAGTTATCTGGGCAGCTCGATATGTTGATGCACTCCATGGACAACCATTGGCACGGGCCCACTTTAGCACTTCCAAATGGCCACTTGTAGCAGCATATATGCATGTCCCTACATTCCATGGGCAACCATTTGCTCGAGCCCACTTCAAAACTTCCAAATGGCCATTCATAGCAGCATCAGCACATGTCCCTTCATCCCATGGACAACCATTTTCACGAGCCCACTTCAAAACTTCCAAATGTCCATTCATAGCAGCATTAGCACATGTTCGTGCATTCCATGGACAACCGTTTTCATGAGCCCACTTTAAAGTTTCCAAATGTCCAAATAGAGCAGCATCTCTACATGCATGTAAATTCCATGGATAACCATTCTCTCTTAACCAAATCAGGATTTCCAAATGACCATTTTGAGCAGCATCTCTACATGCATGTAAATTCCATGGACAACCATTCTCTCGTAACCATTGGAGCATTCTCATATGACCATTTTTAGCAGCTGCAGCACAAGTCTCTTCATTCCATGGGTATCCTTTTTGTTGTGCCCACTGCATAACCGTAATATTTCCAACTGTGGCAATTGCAGTACAAACATCATCATGACGAGGTGTCTTATGGTAGGATTTGTCCTTGTGCCAGTACTCTGCACGCTGCTGGTTACAGAATGTAGAACTGTAAAGAGTGTAGGCGATTCTTGCAGGGCGACTACTAGTAAAAGAAAACCGTACAGGATTATCCTTTACCTTTCTTGGCTTCTTCTTGAGTTCAATTTCGCAGTATGCATACTCTTTGTACAGTCGATTCATCTTTTTGTTGACTGGTCCTACAAAAGCGTACTCTCCAACACCAACAAAGGGAAGAATGCCTTGGAATAAAATCAACTCATCAAGCGACAGGAGAGGAGACTCGGGAGTGCATGCATAGCCACTGCTGGCAACGGCAGTACCAGTACCAGTACCAGTACCAGTACCAGTTCCAATACTATCACCGGCAGGCTCAGATGACATGACTTGGGTCAATGGGTTTGTACATGCATTTCCCATGGTGTGGGATACTACCGTAGTGTACCGTACTACTAGTACCGGTAGAAGTTGGTTTTAGGAAGCGGTGCTGCTGGCTGGCTATTGTGGTGGCTTGGACGTCGACATCGACAGCGACAGCTACTACTAGCTAGTACCAGGTACCAGGTATCGTGCACTTTTCTTAGTGTGGCTGCGGCTCGACGGACTGAGGACTCGACTCGACTCGACTCTTCCCTACTACGTGTAATCAAAAGCTACTACTAGCTAGCTAGTACCCATTTCTGTCTGGGTCTCGCAAAGCCAAACCATTTGGCCCCCGTAATGGTCCTCACTTTCTTGCCCGTGATCCCACAGAACCCAGTCCTGAATTTCGACTGTGGCTGGTTTCCGTACATAATTTCCCTACACAAAACCCCCCCTTATTGATCAAAAGCTGATCAAAAGCTGGGAATGGCATCCCTCTTCAAACCCTTCTTTTCCAATCACGAATCCCGCGACCTACAGTGCGTACCGGTACCGTAAAAGTACATGTACGGTTCGCCCGATCCAGGTGCTCCTCGAGGAGTTCGGTAGCTCAGTATCTACAGAGGCCGTCCACAAGGAGCTTGAAGCTCCAGGCAGGTCGACCAGACTTAGCTACCTGTCCATGTTCAACCATGTTTGAACTTGATGTCCGAGCGGCTTTGGGCCGCTACCGGTAGCTGGTAGAGCCCTGAGCCAGGCTCCAAGCAGGATCTTTCGTAGTATTTGATTTGCACCACTGTGCAACATCTGGCTTTTGCCATCGCCTACCAGTACCTGCAGTTCGTTCTTCTTCTTGGTTGTCGAGGCGACTCGCTTACGCCTACCACTTCTACCATCAGCTCTGTTGTTCTCGCCTATCGTACTGTACCGGTGCGTAGTATGACGCGAGAACCCTTTCTACTAGCTAGTACACTCCGCCCTGACTACTATGCATACCGGTACGAGCGAGGAGCATCCAGCACAAGACGAGAACGAGGCGAGAGCTGCCAACAGAACGTATTTCCATCGAGAAGACGGTCCGGTGGATGTCAATAATGGTGTTGCCATCGCAATCCAAATCAATGAGGACGAAGACGAGACTAATAGTAGTCGTGGAGACTATCCTCACCCGAGAAACAGTAGCGGCGTCGTCATTGAAATGAGAAGCCGCAGCACTGTCATGGATGGCAGCACTGGTACTACTAACGCAGGCGTAAGCAATCGTCGTCACAGCCAAGAATCTCCAAATGTCATCATGGAGGTGCCAATGGCGCCTGATACCCCAGAATTGTCCTCGCCCCACGACGACAACGACGACACTACAAGAGTTGAAGCTAAAGAAACCACCCCTTCGGCAAAACCAATGCTACTGGCTAGTGAATGGCTAATCTTAATTGGTGAGGTTAAAACGTCACGTGGGGGCGTATCCCTATCCCTGAGCTATATCTTTGAAAAACTTCGATTTGATTCCATTCGATTCGTCACCTTCCCTTCACGTCTCGAGTTTTCTCATTGCATTCTGTTATTTCCTTCACTGAGGATCCTTGAGCTTCCATTGCCATAAAGTAACTCAAGTCTGAAGAGTTCAGTTCAGTTCATTTCTTCTAGCTAGCTAGCTACCAGCATATAGCTAAAGAGAAAACGTAAAGATGCCTCGCCACCATGGTCGTGTATTGGGAGCTTCCATGGCAGGAATTTTGAACTCTGATGCGCAAGACGATGAGGAAGCCAAGCGACGAGTGCTGCGTACTTTTGGTTCTGTCTTGGGTCTCTTATTTCTGTTGGACATTGGTTGTGCTTTCTCGGTTCTTTGGATTGCGTGTGCTTCTTCGGATGATGGTGGAGACAGTGTGGGTCATTGTGTCTCCCACGCCGTGGGCCGTGGATTCCGCACGTTTCATCCCATGGCCAACAATGACGGCAAAGACACTCTTGGAGATCTTTTCGCATTGGCCATTCTACGTTGTCTGGGAGCTACCGTCTTGTTGGTGCTGGGAGTCAAGTATGCAAGTCCACCAAAGCCTATGTCCAATACCACTGAAGATACTGCAGGTACTGAAGATTCCCTGACTGAACCCCTCCTGAATACACAAGCCAGTTCTGCATCTACATCTGATGATGATGATCCTGCTGCTGGTGGAGCTGAACCTCAGTCTCAAGAAGCTGCCTCTCAACCCCATGACCCTCAAACTCGTGTTCAAGCTCAAGCTCAGGAAGGACAACCCAACAACAATTGCTTTTCTTCTCTCTTGACATTGTTTGGCATTCACCAGCAGCGTCTGACCCCCACCCTCATCAAGACTTTGGTTCTCGGCATTTTGTTCGTGGTTTCCTCCTTTTATCAAGTTTACGCCGGACTCAAAGTCTCCACACTCGATCATCCCGCCACAGAATCCATCATTCCTCTCCTTTGCTTGACCGTCTTTTGGATCAACGCACAAGCCTACGTATTTCGCACGCTACTACTAGAAATGACCAGAGAGGAGGGACTCTACCTTCCACCCGAAGTACACCGTCATCCCATGTACTTTGAAAATAGTAGAAATGTATCCATTCATTGGTGTGATCTATGTCACAGACCTATTGGAGGAAGAAACAATAATACTAGTAACAACAATCCACAAAACAACAACAACAATGCTTGCTACCGATGCGCCTTGTGCGATTTTGATGTTTGTCTCGCATGTGCCAAGCGAAATGATGCCGCAACCGTCGGAGAGAATGTATTGCGTGGAGATCGGGGTGTACGAGTCGAAGAGGCTCTCACCACCACGGGTTATGTCCAACGATCCATGGAAATTGCCAAGGCCGAATTGCCCCTGCTGCTCCTCTCGTTTATTCTCTTGGGTGCCACCAGTGTGTCGCGACTCTTGCTACCCCATTTTCAGGGACACATTATTGACAAGGTCATTCCCGATCCCAACACGGGCCAATACGACAAGGATGGGTTTCTTCATTTCATCCGAATTTACATTGCCATTATGGTCACACAGGGAGCCGTCTCGACATTCTACAGGGCTATTCTCACACTGGTCAGTCGAAGACTCAAATTCACACTACGAAATGCTCTTTTCGAAAAAATTCTCATTCAAGATGTCGCGTACTTTGATGGAACCGAAAGTGGAAGACTCATTTCACGTTTGACCAATGAATTGGATCTCATGATGGCACCCATACAATCGTCGCTTTCCAGTCTACTCGGCAATATACTCCTACTCTTTGGTGGACTCGTCATGTGCTTTGCCAAATCCTACCGACTCTCTATGATTAGTTTCGTCACCATTGGACCCATTTCGGCACTCTGGGAATCTTATGCCTTTTGGAGTCGAGGATTGGCACGAGAAATGATCTCCTACTGGGCCGAAGGAAATTCCATTGCCGCTCAGGCGTTATCTCATGTCCGAACGATAAAGGCATTTGGATGCGAACACCAAGTTCTGCAAAAGTACTCTGATACCAATCGACAGGCGCTCAATTGTGGAGTCAAGGACGCTTGGGGCAACGCCGTCACGACGGCATTGACGGGATACCTCGACTTGGGATCCGGGGTCCTCATTCTCTACTTTGGTGGGTTGCTGGTCTACCGTGGTGAACTCACTGTCGGAGAGCTGGTCACCTTTCAGCTATTCTGGAACATGATGAACGATGCCTTTCAAAGTCTGCAGGGACTCATCACAACCTTTACTCGAAGTGCCGCAGGGGCCGAGAAGGTCTTTTCCATGTGGGACTCTCATCCCGATATCGATCCTCAAAAGGGAACCAGTATCCATTGGAAGGTGGATGGACACATGCAACTCAAGGACGTCACCTTTTACTACCAAATGAGACCAGACAATATTGTTTTGAACAAGTTCAATCTCGACATTCCTGCTGGGAAAACGTTGGCTCTAGTCGGCCGAAGCGGCGGAGGCAAGTCCACTATTATCAATCTACTCCTTCGATTCTATGATCCTCGAGGAGGAAAGCTCGTGTTGGATGGACGAGACTACGAATCCATCAAGGTTCATGAACTACGTCGACTCTTTGGCGTAGTCACGCAGGAAACCGAGCTCTTTGCCTTGACGGTGGAAGAAAACATTGCCTATGGACTTGACAAGGACGAGTATACCATGGAGGATATCATTACGGCCGCCAAGAAGGCCTACGCCCACGACTTTATCATTGAAATGAAGGACGGATATCAGACCCGGATTGGGGAACGTGGCAACCGACTTAGTGGTGGACAACGGCAACGATTGGCCATTGCGAGAGTCTTTCTTCGCAAGCCTAAGATCATCTTGCTCGATGAAGCCACCTCGGCGCTCGATGAAAACAGTCAGGAAGCAGTCCAGCAAGCTCTCGCCAATTTGATTGCTGAAAGTCAGGCTACAGTGGTGCTCGTGGCTCATCGCTTGTCAACGGTGGTAAATGCCGACTCGATCTGTGTCATTGACAAGGGCACAGTGCTAGAGCAAGGCAACCACGAAGAACTAGTGGCCAAGGGAGGTGTCTATGCTTCCATGGTAGAGAAGCAACTCAAAAAGAAAGACGACATGCTGGATCAGGACAAGAAAGCACACGGAGACAAGGACAGCAAGGTTGCCGCAGATGATATTGATGCTCTGCTTGATGGGAACTAGAGCCGAAAATCAACAGATTGATGATTAGATAACATGCTTGGTGAAGAAAGAATCGAATCGCCTCGTATCACGGGCGGGCTGTTGAAAGTTTGATAGTAGTAATAAAGCAGTTTTTTAAAATCATAGAATGCATCAAATAGAGTCCCCGGAAGCGTTGATCTGTCTTGGCGGTGGAGTTGCTTGTCGAAACTTGGAGCGCCGCAGAGAGAAGGCATGCACTCGTGGACCCAATGGGTTTGTCTTTGCCAAACTAGTGATAAAACCTATACTAGTATGTATATCGTTGTATGTATTCTTATCCACTACCGGTAGGGTATTATGGATCCAGATGATGAACCAGGAACCTGGTTCCCAATTCTAGTTCTTCCTTGAGTTCGTATACATCGCAGTCTTCATTGGCGGCGTAAATGACCATTTGTCCAATATTTTTGAACTCTGCGTCTCTTTCTTTCAACTGCATGTTTGCGTACATGACCGATGGAAGTAAGCTGTTTCCAATATTGTCATCAAAGTCTTTTTTGGTTTGAATGGTGGAAGGTAGAAAGGGCTGTAGACTCTTGAACAGTGCATGCCTACAAACTTCATTTGTTTCTAAAAGTGTACAAAGTTTTTGCAGAACATCTTCCTTGTTGATTCCCGGACGTCCTTCGATTGATTTTCAAATCTTTTTGAGGGACTCCTTGGTGGCCTTTGGTAGAGAGTGCTGCAAGCAGAGAGCGAGAAAGTCTACCATATCGGCAAATCCCCACTCGGGCACGAGTTCTAGAGCGAGTCTGTCTACGGCATCAATTCCTCGTGGCACTCCCAAGAAATCGAACCAGGGGAGAATCTTCCAGACGTTGGCTTTTGTGAGTTTTGCCGTTGCAAAGGGTAGCGTAAGTGCTTTGACCAACGTCCATTCTTCGGGATCACTCAAGTGGGAAGGCAACTCGAGACGTCGCGTACTCGACTCCTTGTATCCTCCTTGCAAGGCAGCATTGAAATAGTCACTCCAAGACGAAAGACTGCGACTTTCTTCAGCAAACTCTTGGTTTCCCACAACCACAATCACGTCCGAACGAATGCTTACATTTACGCGACGCCGCTTATTGCTTGCAGCTTGAATTTCAGCTACTAGTAGATCATGGTCACATTCGGAATCTTCCGAATCACTCACGTCTTCCACGTCATCTTCATCTTCATCTTCATCATGAACTCTACTAGTACCATTACTGACACTCATCCTGATTGATTCTTCAACTATAGCTAGATCTACATGTACAAACAACGCAACGCAACGGTAGAAACATCAGAGCGACTGAGGGTCACTCGGGTGCTCGAATGTCATGGTCGCCGAGTTGGGAAAGCAGTCTCGCCAACCAACCAGTGCACTACATGTAGTGAGAAAGGAACTTTTGTTAGGGTTACGGATTGCTTTAGCCAGCAAGCTGCGTAAATCCGTACAATCGAATGCTAATAACCATGCGTTCCTGAACTTCAAAAGACAATTGAACACAATGGCTAGCTAGCTACCAGTAGCTACCAGTAGCTAGATACGACCGGTTGGTAGTTCTGGGAGGGAAACAGTGCAAGTGATTGATTGATCATTCAATGGAAGTATGATACTGGTACTGTTGGGCATGTACTGTTGGCCAATGCATGGTGGCTCCAAATCAGCTGATGGTGACTCCGCTTCACCTTACATACCAATCCACTTTGTGATTAGTGCCTACGGTAGCTAGCTGGAGGTCGACTGTCCCGGAGATAGCAACCGGTTTGCAGCCAAATAAAGATTACCCGCTCACGCTGGCTTCTATCTGAGGTGCTTCAATGACGTATGTCTCATCCTACGTTGACCATCAGCCGACCTCCATTTTTCTTGGAGGCACTGGTGGCTCGATGATCATCACTTCAGTTGTTTCGTTCGTTGCTCGGGTTGCTCTGGTGCATGGTGACGACAAGTGCGAGGGTTTACTTCCCTTTCGCCTCATACGACTGTACCGGTATCGTACGGTAAGGTACATGTAGACTAGAGACTTGTGCCACCATTTAGTACATACGCCACGGCACAGTTGGCTGCTTTCGTTGCCCTATTGGTGAACAGAACAGCACTAGCAAATGCCTTTTTCTTTTTCGGTGGTGCGGGGCCTTCGCCGTAGTACTCCTGAGGGAGGATCACATCGGGTTGGTGCCAATCCACTATTCATTTGCTGGGCATTCTTCCTCCTTTTCTTCTTTTCCTTCCTTTGGTTTGCTTGGTCGCTCGTTCTTTCTTTGTTTTGTTTGCTTGGTGACAGACATCGTTGTTTTGTTTGCATTGGTCATCTCTGTCGTTTGCTTCCTAGCAACGGGCGTTATTGTTGGGTCTATCCATTGTTTTGTTTGTACATGGTTCCAGTGCTGTTTAATTTCATGTCCCGCACAAAATGTTCATGCAACTCTGGTCCGTTGTGAGCTTCCTTGTTGGTTCAGTTTTTAAAATTCGTCTTGTTGGCTGGTTACAAGTACTTGTCAGAATTGCCATTTTGCTGGTCGGACTATGGTCATCACGTCTTTCCCATGAACCCATCCAGCCACGGTAGCTAACCTTAGCAAACTAACTAACTAACTAACTAACTAACTAATAACTAATGATTTATCCAACTATGGCATGCAGCCACCACGTGTTATGGCAAGCCTACTACCAGTCCAGTACCGGTACCATAGCCAGAATCGAATCCTGGAGCTTGCTCGGCACCTCCCGTCACGGTTGTGATGGCCATAGTTATGAAAAGATAGATGGAAGGATACTGAAAGAACGAATGTGCAGATGAACGATGGCAGTTCTTTGGGGGTGAGTACCTGGTACATCTCTAGCTAGTCAGTTAGCGTCCACGTCCACTCAAGATGGCTTTTCGTTTGATTGACGATGATTTCGGCATTGTAGCCGCCCATCAGCAACCCTTTCTACTGGCTATGACTGCCACATGTATTTTTATGGTACTGACCAGTACCTTCCTGGTTCATTGAGTTGGTTGGTAGAATCCATTTCCGTCTTATGGTGTTCCACATTGTGGTCGGATTGGCTGCCATGCTGTTGGAGTGGCGTGCCTTCAACAAAGACCATGATACCAAGGATGTATTGTGCCTTCGTCAAGTGGCAATTACTTGCTTTTTTGCGGCCGCGAGTCTTGCTTTCTTCGTTGTCTGTGGAGCACGCCATCGCCCCCTATCGACACTCAAGTCCAAGTCCAACAGCCTCACCGCCGCCAAGCAGGCCATCCTCCAGTTTGAGCCAGGGGACAACTATCATAAAGATTTGGAAGAGCTCGATGCCATCATTCAAGCGGCACAGACAACCAAGAGGCGCGTGCAAGTCAAGAGAACCTGGTCCAAGTTGCTGGAGCGAGAGGAGATTTGGATTGGCGTCATTTTCCCTTTCCTTGGTCCTGGTCACTACGCCTTTTTCGGAGGCGTGAACAAGCGGTTCAATGAGCTTTACAAGAAATATGGTCGCGTTGTCCTTCCAACTCGACCTCCTGACATCAAGTATTACCGTGCAGAGGATCCCGATCTTTGGACTCGCGGCCAGAAATCCATCACGGACACTTTTGTCAGTGTGGCTTTCGGTAGTGTGGCGTGTGCAGACTATTGGGATTCTCACTCGCGTCCTGGCAGGAAGGGAATGCCAACGGAGCAAGTTGGCTGGAAAGTCATGGAACAGCAACCGTTCAATCCGGATCTGGTGGCATGGGCCGTGGAAACTGGCTGGATCCTGTGGGATGCTGTGTTGGAACAAGAAGTGGGAACGCGTGGGCTCGTGCAACTTCTGAAGTGGCGTCTTGAAAATGGTGGATTGGTCAATCACCCGATGCACATTGCCATGCATGCCGCTCAAGCTGGTCAAGTGGGAGTCGTGATCTGGTTGCATGCGAATCACCCTGGGCAAATAAGTGATGCTGATAGATCTCGTTGTTTTGAAGAATGCCGAAATATGCCTTTGCTTAGAATAAATAAGTTTTTTGGACTATTTTATCTAAATCCTATCTATCTAATCTAACTCCAAGGCCTTTCCATTGAATGTGCCTCACTGTCTATTCGCATCGTCTCCTTCTTTGTCATTGCCATCATCATTGGCACTAATCTAGTAGTTCCTGTTCGTCGTAGCTGTCACCATCATCATTACGACGGTACATCTCACACCGCTCCGCCACAACTTGTGTCACCGGCATTAGATTCTGTTCCACCTCCCCAGCAATACGACGGAGCATTTGTGCCTTTTGACAGGGCGATCCCGCCTTGAGATGATGCAAACTCTTGGAGAAGTTGTTCATTTCTAGAACTATCGTGGCGGCACTGAGCGCTCCACAGGCAATGGTAGCGATCTGTGCAACCTTGAAGGCATGACTGGATGCTCTGGAAATGGCCACACGTGCTCCTCCCGACGGATCCATGAACATTTTGCTAATGTTCAACAAGACATCATCCAACAGTGGCGCCAGTGGCATGAGACATGCCAAGGGATGTTTGCTGTTGCTCTTGACTGCTACGGTTTGCGTTGTTTGCGAGTTGGTGGTGACTGGATCGAGCAAGAGGGCCTCGGTGGAGTTTTCATCCAATTTGGCTTCCTCATCGCCGATGGACTCGTTGCCGGTGTCACGGGCGTCCACAGAATCGTCGTCGATGGCTGACAAGCCGTATTCCTCAGTCGAGACAGTCTTTTGGATATTGTTGGCTGGTAACGTCGTAGTCTCTTTGTCGGCTGTCTCCTCTGCGTTGTCATTATCATCAATGTCAATGGTCGACGGTTCGTACTCGTTCGCAGCCTGGTGATTTTTGTACTTCGTAGTAGGCACTTCCTCTTCCTCGTCATCATCGTCATCGTCATCGTCAATGGCTGACAATGCATATTCGTGTTCGTGTTCGAGAGAAGCAGAAGCCGAGGTACTTGTAGTAGTACAAGTTGGCTCAATGGTAGCTTGGGTGTCCGGTGTTTTAGGTTCAGGTGTGACATCCTGTACCGATTGTTCATCATCTTCTGAATCATCGTCAATGGCGTCCAAGGAAGGATACTCGAGTGGACTGTCGTTTTCTTGTTCTGGTTGTAGTTTGCCATGGATATTATCGTCGTCGTCATCACTCGTCGGTACATGTAGATCGTCATGTAGATTGAGAGCTTTTTGAATAGACGTGACGACCTGATACCACGCCAAAATTTTGTTGGCGGACTGCTGCGTGTAGGATTGCCGATTGGCATGATGATAGACTTCAGTACCAATGGTGGCGGATGCGGCGGTTCCTCCGAGTACCAGAGACGCGAGTAAGAGAGGCGGTCCCACCGGAGTGAGCATGGTAGCAGCTGCCGTCAATCCAACTCCTGCCGCGGCTTGTCCAGCGACAGCTCCTACACCGGTGACCCCCGCGAGCATTCCGACACTGCTGCTACTGAGATGAATGTGATTGGTATTTTTGGTACTGGTTTCGAGACACGTGGCAATTTCCTCCACAAAGGGCGCGGCATACTGGAGGAGTATGAGTGCCCGGTCGTATGCATCAATCATCTGTACGAGAAATTGGTCTTGACTGAAGGGGTTGTCTTTGTCTTTGTTGTCTGAGCAGTCATCTTGCAGTTGTAGTTGTTTCAAAATGGACTCCGAGTTAAAAAGAGTGGCGCAATCTTGACACACGTAAAGTCCATCCTTACTGGTGTACCTGGTCTTTCTACACGAGTGTTTTTTGCAGACTGGATTGGCACAGACCAGGCAAGGTGGCGGATTCTTGTTGTGGCGAAGGACAAATAGAACTTTGCTGACAAAAGCAGGGCTTGAAAAGGAAAATCTTCTGTTCCCCTTAGCTTGTTCCTTAGCTAGACTGCATTGGTCCTTAGCTAGCCCTGAACTTGAACTTAAGCAGTCCTTGAGACAAGCAGTACAATAGTGATGAATGTCTACTTGCTTGGCAAGATCAGAACCAGCCAAGGCAACTTCCAGATTTGCTTTTCTCATGTTTTCTAGAGCAATGTAAGCCTCGTTCAGAGCCATGGCTTGCTCAGAGTACCCAATGCCAGTAGCAGTAGCAGTAGCAGTACAAGAGCAAACAGAGTCTTCCTCAGCCTCTTCACTAAGAAAACTCACCATGAGATCAGGGAGAGATTCATCAGCTTCAGCACCAGCTTCAGCACCAACTTCAGTCCTCCTGAGTTTGGCTCTTTGCAGACACTGCTCACATTCCCTCTTCTTCTTCATCATCTTCAAGTCAGCTTCATCTTCATCTTCATCTTCTTCATCTGACTGAGAATCTTCGTCTTCCTCCTCCTCAGATTCTACAGTACTAGCTATCTTGCTGTAGCTATACTCCAAGTCTCCAGCAGACATGTTCAGTACTGAACCTACTGAGCCTGCTGAACCTGCTGAACCCGTCATGGTGTCAAACAACAGTTACTTGAAACCAAGCAAAAAGAAAGAAAAGAAAGTAAAATTTTGGTGATGCTACTAGTATGCTTCTATCAAGGAATGATCGGAGTGTTGCGTTAACGTTGCGCGATATTATGATGGAAGCATCGATGCTTGGCACTTGGCGGCCCTGCAAACTTCCGTGAAACGCAAAACGATCAAAAAGGCCCAACCAAAAATCGCCGTCGACGGTCGACGAGACGTATGCGTGGCAATATACCACACTCTAAACTTCGACATAAGATATATTATCTACCGGTGACGGCACAATTACACTGGTCTAACTGATAATATGCATAGGAATAACCTGAGATTGATTCTGAAGGCTGGACTCTATGCATGCATACGGTATTAGACTAATAGTTTGCGGAAAACTTGCCAGTATCAAACGAACAGATCCAACGAGTAAGACATACGGTAGCAGTAGTCTGATGCCTTCTGATTTACAAACGTTTCCTGTCGACGGTACGGTATGATACGGTAGCTCTCTGTGCCTATCCGTACAAGCAGGCATTGGAACGGAAATATTAATAAGGTCTTCCAGGACCGTAGACAGGCTAGGTAATATTACCTTGAATAACCTCAGTTCTTTAATGACAGAATATATGAAACCCATTTATTGCAATAGATACTAGCTAGCTAGTACGGCAATTCTCCAAGTCGGGCTCAGCTGAGAGAGACTCAGTCAAATACGTACCAGTACGGTAAAGGAGCACCACTTTCGTACTAGTAGCTTCTATCATGTCATCACTTTCTTCTGAAAGAGGCAGTGTTGGCTTGTCAGAAAGGTATTTTCGTATGACGGACAGACGACTCGGGATCCACAATCACGGTTCGTGATTGGGGATGTGTGACTCAAATCAGATGGTTATCCGATCATCATCAGATGGCCAGGTGTATGAGGAACGAGGACAATGGTCGTCTAGATGATGCAACTACAAAGGTTAGGAAGTTAGGTCGAAGAGATGAATGCAAGGAGCGACGGGATGGAGCAAATGAATGGACGGATGAAGGTCCATAGGTTTAGTAAAGTGGGAAAGCCCTCCAGGGCCAACCATGCACTTCAGGAATAGATCGACGAGATCTATCTGTAGATGAAACTGCGAGAAGCAGAGGATCTAAAGATCCTGGTTATGTATGCATATCGGAGCTCAGTTGTAGAGCTCACAAATCTGAACGAGAGAGGAAGAGAAAACGAAACGAAAAGCCAGTCTACTAGACAGTAAAGCTGGAAGATATTGATAAATTAGAGAAATTGTGCGTTCAAGTTCACACCTTTTCAACACGTTTTAAAACGATAGCTATCAGGAAAGAGTGAGTGGATCCAGGTTGTCAACAGAAAGGAGAAGAATTGAGAAGTAAGTAAAGATGTCTACGGAGGTAGAGTATCATCGTCGAGCAAGTATCCCATCTTCGATGGGAAAGATGAGAAGTTCAGGTTCTACAAGGTCAAGATGATGGCCATTTATCGAAGTATGGGTACGTAGAACTGATGAAAGACTCTACGGAGGATCAAACCCGACAACTGTGGAAAACCCTACAGGTACGGCAAGTTGTCGGACGACGAAGATAGAAAAGATCGAAAGTCTGCAGAAGAAGAACAGACAGGCTGTGGAATACTGCTGGATTCGGTCAATGTGGAGACCATCGAAGGGCAAGTGCCTTCGACCTACTTGGCCTCACACCAAACGACTACAATGCTGCTGGGAACGTCTTTCTTTTTTATCTTTTTTTTTCTTAGAGGTGTGCGTATTTGGGGATGTTTGTTCTG